TAATGATTATCATGGTTTAATATTAATAATACTAATGGACCGATTCTTGAATTGAGACATTGATTCTCTTAATTATATATTTATATGGTCACTTCGGTTATCTTAGCTCGATAGTCATTGGCTTAAATTATATATCAATCAATACTCGTCAATTGTTGATGATGGATTTTATGTTTTATTAAACAAAAAGAATGAATGTATGGTTCAAAGACAATAGCGATAAGATCCATGGTTGAATTGTGATCCATTAAATTTTAGGGTTATGGTTCGTCCGAATTAATACAATAGGAGTGTTTTTCTATTGGTGTAGAGCTCGTTATATTTGGACTCCTTAATGAAAAGGTTTACAAGTTTTATTTTATCATTAGAGGCTGGTCCTTGTCACATTGTAATTCTAGCACAATAAATACATATTTATAAATAGTAGTTTGTACGCTTAAGTTTTTAGAGAGTGAGAGGAAAACCTAGATTTTTGAATTAACTCAATATTTTTGTTTGCATTTCTTAAAGACCAAAATTATTCGACATCGTGACTATGCAAGATCAAAATTGTTTTAATTTCAACATCATGACTATGCTTTTTCAACATCATGATTGCGCAAGGTATGGAATTTATTTCTTATTAATATTTATTAATTATGTATATATTCTAATTTCTAGCATAGAAACCCTTGAATTGAATAATTCTTAAATAATGAATAAGAAAACCCTAAACAACTAGATTTTTCCAATAGTCTCTTTCTTCATCAACAATCACCTACAAACAACCACACACAGATTACAGTACTCAAAACAACAAAAATAGATCCTTCAAGGAGGAAATATATAAACAAAAGGGATTGAAAATACAAAAGAAAAGCCAAAAGAGATCAGAATGTGATTGTCTTTGTATTTTTTTTTAAATTTTTTTTGACATGCTCAATTCTTTTTATTTTATTTTCTTGAGATCCCTCATAATTAAATGTACGTTATGTTATCAATTTCTAAGTTTTTTTTTTTAATTTTTTTCTCTCTCTTAATTATTTATCATAAAATTTTAGTGTTGGATGTAATGGTGGAATCAAGAGGACACATGTCATCATGACATTGGTTATATTTGATCAACTAATGAATCATGGTCGATCTAACGAAAAATATGAAAGGAGAGTTTAAAATAATCAAAATCAGAAACTAATGGGTTCAATTTGATAAAATTATTAATATAGAGTTCAATTTAATCAAATTATTCGAATAATAGAAGGACAGCCGGTGATTTTATGTCCTTTTCTAAATTCCTTGGTAGGCAATGTTCTAGTTCTCTTATTTCTTCTTCTTGTTTCTTTTTCCAAAAGATTGAAAGTTCTAACCCCATTTCACGTTTGTTTTTTATATTTCCTTGTCAATAAATCTGTTCTAGTTTCCTTTTTTCCAAATAAAATAAGAAAAAGTTAAGTGAATACATTAATTTTCTTCTGTTCTGCTGTAGTTGGTACCTCACGGTAAGTCAAATTCCTGGATGGTAGAAAGAAAGATGGGAAAATAAATAATTGAAGAGCAAGTCAACATTCACGCCAACTTCTTACCTTGAAAGCCAGGACTGCCGTGGTTGGTACCCTACAGCTAAAGCCTAGTTGTGTTGTACAATTCTATTCTATTTTTCATTTCTCAATCTCCTTATTAAATTAATTGAGAATTTAGTAATTTAATCTCAGGGTATTCTCCATGATAACTAAAATCATTTTATTTTATTTTTTAATGTTTTTGCGAAAATTGGAAAAGAAAGGTCCTAATGAGCTAATATTTTATTACTATAAAGATTAATATTCTCAAACATTCTTCTTCTCTTCGTTTATCATTCATTTGAAACCATATATAAAACAGAATATTAATTTTATTGGTAACAGATAGTGAAAATCTAAAAATTAAGAAGGATTGGAGAAATTTTGGATAGTTAGAAATTAGAATCAATGAAAATCTCTACTTAAACATATATTTTATGATGATTTTCATAGCAAAAATGATGTAAACATTTGTTATGTCAGCTACTTATTAACTCTGATGAACCATCTAGCTAGGAGAATAACTCTATAAAAGGTTTCAACACTGTTATAAATTAAGCCATAAATTCTAAAGCTAGAATTGACTACAGGAAGTACGCTTTAATGACAACTAGACAATATATACCTAGGATGTGAAGATCGATGTTATTGGAAATTAAGAGTTTGTTCAAGTAATTCTTAAATTTTGTCTAGTCTGAAAATCACTAAGAAATCATCACAAAATGTACTTTTGTTGAATATTCAATTTCATTTCTACGAACTAACATGGTATAAATCTTTCAGGCAAATGTACGTAGTTGAGAACTAATCAGGGTTTCTAGTATATATCTTTATGTGGTGGTGACTCGTGAGCAATATCATTGACTCAACTTGAGCTCTTAATTTACACCTAAAAAGGGTCATTACGATCTAATTAATTACCTATGGATTTCTCTTTTTTGAATCAAGCGGTTATTGAATCGAACTGCTTAATTAATTATGATTGCCCCCATCAAGAACCTTGATTTTCTGGATGTCCCCTCAATATCTGCAACAGTTAAAATGCACTTTAATTTTAAGTTTTCTTTCTCGACTTTTTTCTTTCTCCTCCTTTTTCTTGACAACAAGGAAATTTTATGTGATTTGGAATAAGGCATATTGTACCAATATCTGTATATGTTTCTTGCTTTTCCAATTAGTTGCAAAATTCATCAACTGATAAAAATAATGACATGTCTTTAAAGGGATTTACTATTTGGCCCTTATGGAAATCAAATTTGAACTTTTTTTTTTTTTTTGAAAAAAAAAAAAGCTAAGTAGATTGTTGGTTTGCTAGCTAGGTGTTTATCAAACCCATAATGTTGCCTTGTGCTTACAACAATGGTGGACCTACATCAGGATTCAGGATTAACTAGTAATTTTATTTTGTTGAGAATCATAACACTAATAGTAAATTATTAAGAAGGACATGCATAATGGGCATTTAAGACATTTAAAGTATTTAATAATTTGAGTCAAACACCAAAGTTCCATGTTGGGGAGTTATAGATGCTGACAGACAAATTTTATCTTGAATGAACACATAAAATTGAAGCATTCGAGATTCGAGAATAGAAGCTTACAAATTTTAATTTAATCCCAAATTCAATGTTTTCATATTCTTCATTTATTATCCTGTGGTTACTTCAAATCAGTTCTCATGTAAACATTTATTTCTAAAACACATAACCACATGGATAGGAGTGCATTTTAGCACGCATCAAGGGACTGCTTGGATACCAATACACAGAATCATATGAAAACAAATCACAGCTCCCTAACACTTTGAAATTTCAACATCAGTAGTAATAAACACTCTCTTTCCTTTGGTTTCATCACCTCAAAGTCCATACCCATTTGGGTATACATATTTATTGTTTACATTTTAATAATTTATGTGGTGTTTTTTGGTGGAATTTTTTGTAACTTATACTTCATTTTGTTCTACTTTTGGATGATATAGTAATTTTCTTAAGGTATGTGGATATACCAAATTATTTGGGACTGGATTTTATTTTTCTGCAAACCATTATTTCCATAATTTCTACATGAACTCGATCTGTAGTAATGTCTATAAAAGTAACGTTAAACGTTATTTTTTAAAAAAAAAAAAATCTTCAAGAATTGAATTGGTGAAACCTAATATTAGATAGCACATATATTATTGAATTTTTTTTCTTGTTTTTGTTCTTTTTAATGTTTAGCATTTTCGCTTTTATGATATAAGGAATTTATAGATGGTATTGAAGACCTAATTAGGTATTTTTGATAGAATATTTCCGAGGGCATAACATTGAGATATAATAATTAACCACGATCAAGCTTAAGCTTTGGTAGGTTAAACAGAGAATGGAAGGAAAAAGATCTAGATTTGAATGATTTTTGTAAGATAAAATGATGGTTATCACCAAATTTACCTATACCAAGTTTATAATAAAAGAATTTTGGTACTTGTTAGGAAATTTGAATAGTTTTTGTCTCGTATACCTATAGTAGGCAAAAGAAACGTGAAATCAAAGGGATGGCAAAATAGACATCCATCTATGGATATATATACTGTGAGACATAATAATTAAGCTAACAACAAAAATAAGATATGAAGGCATATATTAAAAAAAAAAAAAAGTCTTTGGACATATATGTAAGACATAATTTCTTTTTTTTTTTTTCAATAAAAAACTTCATATATGGTTGATAAATTTGAGTGTGTGTTTTAGAGGGTAACAAATCATATTCACATTCGGATCATATTATACCTAGATTTGGTGAAGAAATATGAAAATACAAGCCATGTGGCAACACCAAAGGATAGAGAAGACACCAATTGAGTGCTACTTGGAGTTTAAAAAAAGGTAGAGCTAAGGGATGGAGAAGACTGAGAAGGAAAGAAAGCTATGGCTATGAAACTATTAAAGTGAAAACATTAATGACAAAGTTTTATGGTGGCAGATGCACATTCAAGTTGTGCAATAAAAAGGGCCTGTATATATTGTTGGGTAGGTTTGGGTTTTTATAGTGCTTAAAGTCTTTGTTTCCTCTCTCTCTCTCTCTCTCTCTCGACTTTGGTGCAACTCCAAAGGAACAAAAACAATTAAACACAGATATTACTACTCTTCTTTATCAATATATATGTATCTGAATCCAATGTAGGCAATGATGATCTTGATAGTGAATGTGGAAGAGAGGGGGCCTCTTAATTTGCAGGTTAATTAACCATCTTCACCAACCTTTCTTCTCACCATAAAGACCCTAAAGAGCGATAGTTAGAGATAAGAGTCATTTTCTATTATCTGTTCTGGTTTCTGTGTAGGGTTTGGTGTAAGTGATATCGAAAGAAGGAGCCAGATTTGTTATTGTGCTATTCTGTTTTTGCTAGTAATGGTTTGTTAGTTCCCTCAGTTTCCTTCTTTGTTTCTTTCTTGGCACTGAAAAAAATAAAGACACATGGGTTTTGCAGTAAGGAAAAGAGGGTTTCTAGCTCTTCTTCTTCCTCTTGTTTTAGCTCTTCTTTTTGTCCAAAGTTTTAGTACTGTTGTATCAGCCCTAAATTACACAAGTTATAGGCAAGTCAGTAGCATGAGACTTGAAAGGATTCAAAGGCACTTGGACAAGATTAACAAGCCTGCCGTCATGACCATAGAGGTAATAATTTTACATAGTTATGATCTTCTTAAATTTACACCAAATTTATCAAACTGCTGTTTCTAATTTGTTCATGTTTTGATTTCATCTCATGTGGAGTTTCTTGTTTTTGGCATTTTGCTTTGATCTTTACAGAGCCCAGATGGAGATATTATAGATTGTGTTCATAAAAGAAAACAGCCTGCTTTAGATCACCCTCTATTAAAGAATCACAAGATCCAGGTAAAAACCTTTAAAAAGCACCTCCTTCCCTCTCTTGCCCTATCCATTTAATGAATGTGATCAGCATGTCACATTTGCTAACCCTTTTTCTTCTTGCATTAGCACTATTTTTAACATTTATCATTCACTCATTTCTTAATTTGCTTGTTCATCTAGGTTAACTTTTCGTTTGATAAACAGCACTATGTTCTAAGTTTCCACATGTAAAAGAAAGTTCTGAAGTTTCCCCAATACTCCCTATCCCTTCACATTTTCGGTCTACATTGACACACTCCTAAATTTTGAGCTTCAAAAGGCCTTTTTTGGCTCCATGTATCTTGTCTTGTCATCTTCTTTTTCTCTTAATTAAAAAACGTATTATTCAAGGCGCATATAATTAACTTAAAAGTGAAGGTTTCTTTTTTCCTTTCTCAGCGATATAAACTTCGGTTTATGCTAATAATAATGGCATTAATAATTATGATCGTTATACATAACTTTTAATGTAACAGAGAAAGCCATCAGAAAGGCCTAGAGTGAAAATGTTGAAAAAGGATGATGAGAAAAGAACAAAGAAGAGTAATGTTGAAGAAGGTGTGAGAGATTCATGGCAAATGTGGCATAGGAATGGGACAAGGTGCCCTAAAGGAACTGTTCCAATACGGCGGAGCACAGTCCATGATGTGTTGAGGTCGAAGTCTTTGTTTCACTTTGGCAAGAAACAAGTACAAAGATCAACCTCTCTTGCTAGACGTACAGATGCACCGGACGTAGTTAGTGGCAATGGACATGAGGTATCCAATCTTTTCCCACCCTTTGAAAAAAATTACTACAGTTTTGATTTTTTACGTACTACATAATTATTTCAATTTATTACGCACAAGTACATACAGAGAAATAATTTTTCACTACGAACATAAGGATCATATTCAAACATTCTCCTGCATGTCTTAAGGACGATAAAATTATGCTATTTGGGCTTTGAAAGGTTAAATTATATATATATAAGGTTTCATTTATGAGAGTTAAATAGCTTCTTTTTTTTTTTTTCCCTTTCATGAGAATTATATGAGAGTTCAATTATGAATAAATAGATTCATAATTAAATTGTGAATTTTTCAACGTACTATTAATGAGTATTGGTACGTCAATAAATGAAGATTGGTTTCATTTCTTAGTTAGTTATATTCAATTACTAGCTACAAATTACATATGACCTATTAAATGAGCTATTATCAAATATTGATTCTTGAATATCTATTTATTTAGATAGTTGTGGTTTTTTTTTTTTTTTTAATTGAAAGTTGTAGTTATATTTAGGTCAGACATCAATGCGTATTATTATTATTATTATTTTTTGACAAAAAAAATATTTTTGAATTAGTTTATATATTGATCAAGAATAATTTTTTTCGAATAATTTTAAAATTTTATTTCCTATATCAGCTAATACATTTAAAGAAATTTAATAAATTTTTGTACAAACTACTTCAAAATTTAAAAACAAAAAGTTAATAAAAGAAATAAATTTCCTTAACCCCAAACCAATTTCTTGAGTTTACGTACATATCTATGTGAGAGGAATTTTTTTTTTTCACTTAAATAGGAGGGAAAAAAAAACTTTTTAGTATTTACGAAGGACAAATTTTTACCATAAATATAGAATTGACATTACGTTAAGTTTTGGTGCTTGACTGCGACAGAACCAAAATCTTTGCAGAACCGTTGGATGAGTGAGATCTGTCTTCTGCACAAAAATCAACCATTAGCATTAGGTCAAACCACAAAAATGGGTCCTTGCTTGTAATTGCACACACAAAGAAACAAAATTCATATATTCATTCAATAATCAGTTCCGTTTTGCAAGAGGAAATAATTTATATATTGCATTTTTTGCAGCAGCTTAGGGTCTGCCATTAGATTGAACAACTTTCTGGCCATATCGATGATGGAAGATACTTTTAATTATTTATTAAGGGACCCATAAAACTTACCTTGAAGTTTGTGTTACGTTTATTTTCTAACTTCTTCACTCCCTTTGATCAATCTTTTTCACTCGGTGCATGTGCATGGTTGATAGCATGCAATTGCCTACACCGGATCATCACAGGAGGTGTATGGAGCAAAGGCAACCATTAACGTGTGGGACCCATCAATCCAAGTGGTCAACGAGTTTAGTCTATCACAGATCTGGGTTCTCTCGGGATCCTTCGACGGCCCAGATCTCAACAGCATAGAAGCTGGGTGGCAGGTAACTTCTTCCATTTCCTGTCCCTCCCATGCACAATATCCCACACTCCCGCTTCAATTACTCCATAATTAATAATTATTATACTAATATTTTCTAGGGATTTTCTGAATTTATGATTATTGTACTAGTCAGGTCAGTCCGGAGCTTTATGGTGACAGCAGGCCCAGATTGTTTACTTACTGGACAGTAAGATATCTAATGCTACTTAATTCTCAATTACTAATTAATTAATTGTTTGTTGTTATTGATGTTTTAATTATTAAATGAATATTCAAACGTTATGGAATCATTCTTTGGAATAACCATGTGCATGCTTGCATTGGCATGTCCCCTAATACAACGGTCAAAATAGGGTTCTTATGCTCGAACTCAAACTCATCTAGCTTTAAAAAAATTTGCAACTATTAAATAATAATTGGATAAAAGTCCTCGTCTGTCAGTAACATCATTGTTTCTTTAAATTTTGATGAAAAGATAATAATTATTTTTCTATTCAACGTACATTATGTAACCTGCAGAATCCTATCCCAATTGAATACTGAGGGAGAACAATTTGAGTGATATTCTATTGATACCAAGTCCTTATGAGATTTTTAAAAACGAAAAAAGAAAAGAAGTAATACACACTTCTTCAAGTTAGGCCTGGATATAATGAAGCAAGACAGCCACCCACACTCCATTATTATTGAGAATTCTAAGTAATCCTTTGGTGGAATGCTGGTATGGACATCCTCCTAACTATTTCCTCTCCAATAATTGGGGCTCAAAAAAATTTACTACGCATCTTGATGATATCTATAGATATCTATGTCTAGTTCCTTTTTGTGACATCAAAAAATATTCTTTTAGTATGGAATTATATAAATTACAATATGATAATATGTTAGATAAACAAACATTCATTTATAGACTAAGTTTAAAGTTCGAATTTTGTAACTAGCACTTTTTAATTATGTTTAGAAAAGAATTATTTTTAAAATATGTAAAAATTGATTCGAAAATATTTTTATCACTGAACTTAAAAATAGTATGGGATTATAAGATGTGCATGGTGTCATTTTTTTTTTTTTAATTGTCAACACTTGAGTAGGGCTTTGATCATTTTACTCTCTCTTTTTTTCTTTTTTTTAGGTTATTTATTTGAGTTTTTTAATCATGGTACGCGAATCAATGATTCAAGGCAGGGGCAATTAGTATTGGTGTTTTGTCAAAATCTAGTTGAGGATACTATTTTGTAATTTGATAGTTATGTTTGACATAGACCCGAAATATGACAATTCTTTCTTTTCGATTTGTATTCTACAGAGTGATTCATACCAAGCAACAGGATGCTATAACCTTCTATGTTCAGGATTTGTGCAAACCAATAGCAGAATAGCCATTGGAGCTGCCATTTCTCCTGTGTCATCTTATACAAGCAACCAATATGATATCAGCATCCTCATTTGGAAGGTACAAAATTAAGCATCAAATATTTTCTCAAGTTTCATATTAAGATATTAATTTGATTAAATACAGCAGTGAGACCAGATTTAAGTACTGGAAAACATGGGATTTAGATCAAGTCTGAATTGAACAAAGAAAAACAGTAGAAAAAATATAACCTGATATTTAGAACTTAAAGTTTTTTTTTTTTTCTTCTCTCAAATTAGGATCCAAAGCTAGGTAATTGGTGGATGAGTTTTGGTGACAACACCCTAGTAGGATACTGGCCAGCAGAGCTATTTACACATTTAGCAAACCATGCCACCATGGTCGAGTGGGGTGGCGAAGTGGTGAACTCAAGGGCCAACGGCGAGCACACGTCGACGCAGATGGGCTCGGGCCACTTTGCAGAAGATGGGTTCGGAAAAGCAAGTTATTTTCGGAACCTAGAGATTGTGGATTCTGACAACAGCCTCAGCTCAGTTCAGAGTATCTCAACCTTAGCTGAAAACACCAATTGTTACAACATCAAAAGCTCCTACAACAATGAATGGGGCACATATTTCTACTATGGAGGCCCTGGGAACAATCCACAGTGCCCATGATCGTGATCGTCCTTGTCATTCTCATCGTATCATGAATTGAAAATATTATTTTATAGGTCCACGTAAATCTCTAGTACTGTCAAATTCTTTAAATATGTAAGTATGGGTATGCTATTTCCGTTCTTGTTTCTGCTGTATCTCCTAAGTTTTTGTTTCTTATGAGGAAGGAAAGAATGGGTATTCGTCAACTGAGACAGAAGTATATAAGCATAAACAGGCATGGAAATAGCTTATTTTGGCTAGGTATCTCTTATGTCAATTTTTAGTTGCTTGATGAAAACCTTATTATTTTTTCTAGGTTCAATTGCTGAATTCTAACGTTTGTTTCTATACCTAAATTCATCATCTGCCCTACTGGCTACCTCATAAGCTGCTTATGGAAAAATCTTGATGCTTGCCCCACTGAAAAGCCTGATGGGTTGGCACAAATTAACTTGATATTTTGGACTGGTGGGCTGATCTATAGGTAGGTCCAGGATTGAGTTGTATCATTTCAGTAACATTAGTCAAATTCAACTGAGCAATCATTGCTTCGTCCCCAGTGGCGAATGAAAGCTTTTAGCCAGTTTGATTTTTTTTTTTCCCTACTTTTACCTTGAGTATAATGATTGAAAAAAGAACCATTTGGATGCATTTCTCCAAAACACACACCGCTATCCTCGAACTATCTTTCACCAAATTCATTTCGGAGAAGCCCATCGTGACAATTTTGATGCTCTCCAAAATCATAGGTTGTGAGTGGTTAATGTTGCAGTTGGAATGTTTTTCCTCAAATTGTTTTTGTCCAATCTGTTTGGTCAAAGCAGGAATTTTATAAACTTATTGAAAACCATTTGGAATTGGTCATGAAAAAGTTGCAAAATGATAAGAAAATTTAGTTCTTAATTTCTAGGATTATATGATTTAAAAAATCAAGGATTCAGTTCTTTATCTACTCCAACTCGGACAACATGAGTCCAGTCCATCAAACAAAATTAGAGAACTGAATGCTGGCTGCAAGCAGCCAATGGAACTCTGTCATCCCACAACGGAACAAGAGGAAACTCAGTTGTTACCTTGTGTATAACACTAGAAAAGAGAGAACTCCGTTTGCAAACGAATTTTTTGGCCTGAATGGAACTCTGTCAAACCTTCTCTTTATATGCTCTAGCTGACCTCTAAGTTTGCACATGGATAATGTTCTAAAGTGCATGGGACATGATATAAAGCTAAATGGTGAGACCGAAAAAAAGAATGGGCAACTAACAACATAACCAGGACCCTCAAAACGAACCTATGATTGACTGTATGTTCATGACCATGTTTTTGGTTTTGATATTTGCTTGTTTTTTTTTTTTTTTTTTTCATGAGTGTTTTCCTATTTAATTAGAATTTATGGCAAAAGTAAGTCTCCAACTTAAAACCTCATCCAACTTGCTTATACAAGAGTACAACTAAGCTTCAAGCTCATTGATATCATGACAATGTCTTAACACATTCTCAAAATGGGTAAATTCCAACTTATTCCCTCTGGTGAAAAGTTCTAGTATAACTCAACAAACAAAACAGCCAAGCTTCCTCTGGATCAAACGTAAGATACACAGCAACACCTGAATTACTATTACCTGTGTTATCCCAGGTTTAGGCAGCTTGGCTTAAAAGCTCGTGTGAATTATAAACATAACCAAAGCAAAGTTAAATTTGTCCCAGTATGACTTCCCCGCCAGAAACCTTGAAGTCAGACGGAGCTTCCTCCACATTTAAAACCTTCACCTTTCCATCTTCCACATATGCGGACCATCTACACAAAGTACACAAACAAGTAAAATGTCTTAGGAAAATATAATTCATGACCAAAACACAGACCAGTGGAGTTTTGGGTGGATGAAAATTAATAACCGATATAAGACTATGAATTGCATTTTAAATCCCACCCTAAAGAAAACAACAAAACATAGATAATTCTTTCGAGTTTGCTGGCTCAAAGTCCCCTCAGCGAACAGCCAAACAGAGAAATCAGATGAGATTCCTAAATCAAGATGATTCAGAATTCAGGAAAACGAATGTTAGAACACCAAGAACAGACACAATGGCATACCTTTCAGAGCGACTTCCTAGCAAAGCGACAGAGAGATCTTTATCTAACTCCAAGCTCTTGTGAAGGCTCCCATCAAAGTCCCCATAAAATTCAATCTAAAATAAAAAAGGACTCATCAAAAGAGAAAAAAAAAAGAAAAGATAAAAGATACTGCGTATTGGCACAGTTCACTGCCATGTCTTCAATAAAAAAATAAAGAAATGAAAGAAACGGCCACAAAAAGAGCAAGTGCTATCTTGCAAGAGAAGTTTCATCGGTTGATTATGATAATTGAACACAGAACGTGTAGAACTCACGTCCACCTATCTTGTGAGTTAAGAAATTGAATTAGTCAATATGATGAGTAAAACAGTTTCTTGGACTGTAAAAAAGAAACACTCATTTTTCCTTTTTGTCAGTTACAGCCATTTCAATGCTAGTCTAACAAATTTCGGTATTGTCTAAATCAGTTAATATCAATATCAATGTGCAACATGTTAACAATATGACATTGCTTCCTGCGAGGATAAAAGTTCTACAGCAAGTACATAATAACAGTATGATGCTTCATGGGATTGGGTCGCCAGAAATCTAACTCCGCTCGCAGACATCTTATGAAGCAGCAAACAGTACATGGTTTAATATATCTAATGTCACATAACAAAGCCATCAGGTCATGTCCACTTGTGGAGAATTATTTAGTTTTCTTGGAAATTTTCTAGAGTATAGAAAGCAGTAAAATGTGTCAACTATTTTCTTGGAAATGCATGTTTCTGTTTTCTCAAATTTATAGAAAATTGGCCGGTTTGGTTCATCTGTTATTTAATCTTTTCACCATCAGTTACTTTTATTTCAATCCAAATGAAGCCCTTTTTTCTATTTTAGAGACTATTAGTTAGTTACATGTTTTTCTGGAGAAATGATTTTTGAATACACATGAAAGTGGAGATGAAAATTGGTAAATTGTTTTCTAAAATAAATACAACCTAAAAATTCAAACATAAAGTTTAAATGGAAATTCAGAAAGGGAAAAAAGAAAACGGGAAAAGCAAAATCTAAGCAAATAGAAAATGTTTTTCACATCACACGTATGAAAATAGGAACAAAAGCATAAGGTTTATATGAATCACTTACAGCATCTTTAGCTTGAAGTTTCTCTGCCCAAGCATTCATAGTATATGGATCATTAACAGCCACACATATGACAGAATCAATCCCTTTAGCCTTGAACTTATCAATTACGTTTTTGTAACTAGGCACGTGCTGCTGCGAACAAACCCCTGTGTATGCACCCTGGACATGTTAAACACAAAACCTATAAAATAGTTTTCTATCAACAAAATTAAGTCAAAGGAGTCTCATATTTTAACTATTTATGCCAGTATTTATCAAATCTTCGACTTCAAAATTTTGTTGCCAAAACAAATTACTACCTCTTTCACACTTTCTTGAATAAAAACCGTCCCCTTCTCCTCTTCCCCATTTACCATTACCACCAGTGACCACATTGAGGCAACAACAACTTTGGTTTCCTAGTTCCATAGGTATCATATCAAAAGGAAAAATGCAAGTCTTTAGTTCTGTTTGTGGGTTTGGGTCTAGCCGTCATGGCACAGTTTGTGATGCCTAGCATGAGGCTAACTTAAGTGATTGTTTTCAGAAGCATGACAAATACTTGGAAGCTATTTATTATTTATCATAATCAGACACCAAGTTTTTCAGCAGATCCCAAATATATATATATATATATATATATATATATATATGAAATCCACAGATTAACTATACTGTGGATTGCATTCTATTTTGTGCTTGCATGGACTATGCTTGTTCAGATCAAAAGAACGAAAAAGAAATTAAAAAAAAAAAAGAGTAATAATATAATTGCATTCATTCTGTTATACAATGTCATGTAGAGAGCAATTACAACACTCACGAACATTACTAACAAAAAACTATATACAAAACAGGACATGAACATGTAGCTCTTTCCAAACATGGTATAACCTTGTTGTAGATGAAATAAGAGGCAGAGTTACATATACGAGAATTGCCGCTGGATTATATATAGGAGTAACCTTGTTGCTATAACATCATGAATAGCACAAATGCAGCAACTAAGGACACAAACGAAGCAATATATTAACACTGAGTCATTAACTGTCATCAAGAAATAATTGTCTTCTTTTTACTGTCACTCACTCACAAAGTTTTTGGAAATTTTCTAAACCTCAATTTCCAAGATTTAGCCAGAACACAAATGCACCTAATTGCCAAAAAAAAAAAAAAAAAAAAAAAAAGAGCAAGATAAAATGGATTGAAATGTAGAAGCAACTTACAGGGAGACCAAAGATGACAACTTTCTTGCCCTGTAAATATGAAATTAAACACAAAGAAATTACAGTTAATTAAAATCCAACCAAATAAAAACAAAATATGTACTTTATTTCTCTCAAATTAATTAACAAACCTTGAAAATGTCTTTTATTGGTGTCGTTGAAAACTTTGAGGAAACACCTTCGTCCCAGGTCCGAGCTTTTTGGAGGGAAACATCAGGTGCAGCCGAGACTATGTCAGTCCCAACTGCAACCTTCGCATAGGACCTCCATGATCCTCCGATTCCGAGACTATCCGTCGCTGACTTGAACAGAGAAGGGCCTGTGCGCTTCAGGATTGCAGATGCCATGACTGACGCTGCACTTGCTAGTGCTCTATTCTTTTAATCTGGTCTGTCTTGTTGGTTTGTTCGCTGGTGATTTGATTTTGGAGGTTTGAGGTTTATAGGTGTTGGTGACGTGTGGAAGTAAGGGTATCGATCATACACGAGGATCTTCAAAATGGTCTATCGAAACGCAAATAGTAAACGACATCCACATAGGAACGTTTGGCTTGTCGTTTAAATGAGATTTGATTGTCACTATGTCCCCCACAATTTGCCCCAGAACCTAGACAAGCCTCTCAATAGGATGACAATGGGCATCCATAGATCAGGTTTGTACCACATATATATATTAAGTGGAAAAGTTGGGATTTTCTCAATGATCACATACTCGACTAAGAAAAACAGCAGGGTTGTGGTATGAGTGATGATTTATAAGGCATTTTTTTTGCTGCATTACGAGCAGCCAATTACAAAACTATAAATAAAAGCAAAAGCGACTAATGATAGGGAGATATTCTTCTACTAGCTTACTGAATAATGAATGAGCTTCACTGTTATTGAATAAGTGGGAATTTACAGTATATATCAGTCAGTGATTTAGCATCACTTTCAATAAGCATATGTCGTTGGAGTGTATTGGTCAAGAGTTATAGCCTTTTTAAGGGCCAAGGCTTCCATGGTGTGAGCATCTAGTGTAAAACAATAGTAAACACTTCTTGCAGGGCAAACAACTTCAAGATGATCTCTAGCTGCAATACCTACTGAACTAGATGTATTGTTGACGGAGAACGCACCATCAAAGTTAATCTTGATAAAACTAGGAGCTGCAAGAACCCAGCTACAAAAGGGGATGCTGCAATCGGCAATAAATTCAGGCATGAGTGAGGTGGAGAAATGACAAAAGTATTGATACTTCTCCTGATCTATCTTTAATTGTTTTTGAAAGAATTTGAGAGGGAGACCGGCCAACCTCATTGAAGATGTAGTCATTCAATGCCGAGCCTTTCACAGTCTCTAGCATATGAAAGAAGCGAGTGCAATGAAAGAAGGTAGATCATGTCACTGATTGATTTGGATGAGTAAGGCTTTCCACCCTTCTAAAAAAGAAAGAAAGAGGAAAGCATCTACACATAGTTGGAAGGAGGACAATAAAAGATAGATTGTGACAACTATTTTGGTTTCCGAGTTCCATATGTATCATATCAAAAGGAAAATTGCAAGTCTTCAGTTCTGCTTGCAGTTTTGGGTGTAGCAGCCATGGCACAGTTTGTGATGCCTAGCGCGAGGTTAACTTGAGTGATTGTTCTCATAAGCTTGACAAATACCTGAAGCTATTTGTTACGCGTCATAATCAGATACCAAGTTTTGATTTTTAATCTTGGATCATCTAAACAATTCAAATATAATTGATTTTGATTTTATTTTTATTTTTAATTATTGTCAGTTATTTTCTTTAAAAAAAATTATAATTTTTTTTATTTTTCTCTCAATAAATTAAAATGAAACTCACTTTTTCACATTCAATTAAAGATTTTCATATGTTAGCGGATCGACTATGTCAATATTTTTAAATTTCAGATAGCTGAAAGAACTCGAATAAAAAAAAAAAAATCAAATGTTGGTCACTTAAACAAAAAAAATAAAATAAAATAAACATTAGGTACTCAAATTGCAGCTATCTCTAAGATAATTTTGATTTTTTTTCTAAACAACCCAACCCTTTTTTCACTTGTCAATTAACAATTGTGATCGTGAGAGTTTGTTCTAGATACATTGGTATTTTTCAATCTCACATGATTATAAACATTCAAATAAGAAAAAAAAATCAAAACTTGAATATTCAAATAAAAAGATTTACTGGTTAGATACAAAAAATAATATTAATTAATTAATTACTCAAATTGCAGTTTTTTTTAAAAAAAAATTGTCTTTATCCAATTCTAACATATGAAAAATATATCTTTTTTCTCATTTGTCTAATCTTTTTGCAAGTCATTCACTTGTCTTGCAAAACCTCATTTGCTATACCTCGCCACATCAGTTTCACTAATTCCCCTACCATCCGTCTCGATTTTTCAATCACCAATCGCCATTCAAATCACCGCAACTCGTCAAATTTATCCCTTAACTACTAAAGGATTTCTCAAAAAGTTTTAGGATCTCAACAGCAGCTGCATTGCTCACCAGAATATCTATGGTTCTAATTCGGTCACAACTTGATCAACACCCTTCTTGCAATTGTCTTCGATGTTAATGTCTGTAGCTATGGGCCTATGGCAATAGGGTTATTTGCATCAACTTGTCTTTGCATTTAGTCTCGTCTTCTTGGCGTCATCCTTGTCCCTGTCCTCTATGCCTTCTACATATGTAAAGGCGACAGTTGCTTCCTCTAGTTCAAAATGATAGCATCCAGATCTTCCTATGCAGGAATCACCTCCGGTTATCGGAACCTTTCCCTGCCACGAGTCAGGTGTAGCTTCATTATTGACAAAATTGAAATTGAAATATCTATTAGGTCCTTAATTTATCGTTCCAATGGGAAAAAGACAAATAAATAAAAAACCGAAGTGCAGAAAAATGGTGTACACGGCTACACGCAGCTTGTTAGAAGGCTTGTAGTCAGAGTTTGTGTTGTGGAAGTGGGTGCATGAGATATTCTTTGCCTGGCTGTAGCGGTTGAGTCTGGTGGAAACTGGAACTATTTCTTATTAGTTGCCATCCTCTGCCACTGCTCCAAACAGCCCTAGCCCCTAGCCCACAAGTGAACACTTATTTTATCGTCTGAAAAGGTTTTGGCTCACGAAAAAGAAGAAAACAGAAACAACAAACGAGGGGACCGTTTTACTTGCAATAAAGGACTTGTATAGGTAATTTGGCAATCAAGGTGCCAAGTAGACCGTGACGCAAAAGGATAGTGATCTTTTGCTTAGCTAAGAAGTGCCTTGTTAATTGCCAGGTGAGTAATCCATCTTGCCAGTTTCATTGAGGGTTTTCCGGTCAGCGCGTTGCTCGTGACTGAATGTGTTTTTGGTATTTGATATCGCAGTAAAAGTGTTTCATTGAGGCCTGATCAATCTGCTATGGTGGGCAACAGAGAACAGAAGAGAGGAAAATGAATAAACGTCAGTCTTGAAACAGAAGCTGCGAAATCCCAAGTACCAGTAGCTTTGGTCGCCGTAGATGACAGCTTCCATCAGGGATTAAAAATGTTCACCGATGATGATTCCGAGGATAGAGACAAAAATTTTCGGTATTTATTAACACTTCAAACACTTGCATAAAGGTTCTTACAATTCCTGGAGAACCACAAATGTTACTCCACTGGAAATTCGGCATCCAACCAGTTACCAGAGATAGTAGCACGAGCCTCGGAGACCTGAGTTATTAGGATAGTAAGATTCTAACTTCAAGTCCTATCCCTTGATTGTGGATTTCGAACTTTTGTGGCTATCTGGCATGACCTGGGAAGTCTAGTCCAAAATAAATAAAAAACTGGTTGTGGCCTCCTTTAAAAATAACCAAACCAACTGCTTGTAAATATCCCAGAAAGATAAAAATTAATCATGCCCCACCAACAAGAAGCTAATTTAGACAGTGCACCGACCAAGGAAAAAGGCACGAGACTCTCAAAGAAAACACAAACTTAACTGCATATCTACTCTCAAAGTAATTAATCTGACAGTCGTTAGCAACAGGAACATTTTACCATTTTGATACTTCTGAAGCGAAGCTTGTTTTGAAATGGTTCAAGCGTATAATAGAATTCAAAGTTATTTCTGCTATAGCAGAATCTCAAACGTATGTAAAATCATAAGCATACGGCTTCACAGGAGAGGACAACAGGAATGAAAATCACAGGCATACAACTTAGCATTTTGCAGCATCAAACTGTGCTATCTAGAGCAAGTTCATCAAAGAAGGCAAAGGAACATAGCAACAGCATGAATGAAAAAGAAAAAACTCAATAGCATTTAGGTAAGCACAACAGAAAACAATTCCTAAATTCAGATTGGCAAAATTTAAAACAATCTAAACAAAGAATTTTATGCAATGGGGATAAGGGCGTCAGGGACAAAGTAAGCTGCTATCAAGAGCTGTGGACTTCTTTCTTTGTCTGGATTGTGCATCAATCATTTCATGTTTCATAGAACCGAGTGACTTACAACAGATGAAGTCCTTCAAAGCTGAATGTATGTTGGATGAGCAGGGAATAAAACGAACCACAAGCATCATATGCATGGAATCTGACGCATCTGATGCAGGCGTATCTCAATAGTGAATCATGAATCAACATTCAGAGACCATCAGGCCACATAAAGGTTAAGATATGTATCATCATATCAATGCAATCATGCAGCTAACAATGTTTTTCTTGTGTTTAAAAACAGGAACTGCCTTAGGAACCCATTTCGAAGAAGCCGCAGGCATCAAGCCAAGACCAAAGAACAAGGCTGATTTCATACCTTCAAATAGACTTTCACCTTCCACTGACTGGAGTGAATACAGGAAAGACATGGGTCTTGTCCCCAATGAACACTCATCGCAATGCTTCTACTAAACCGGAGATGCCAAACTTACTGGCAGAATAACTGCGTAACCATAGCTACCCACCTAAACAAAATCTTACACGAACAGCAGCAATACAACAATTTGCACAAGATAATTTACAAACTCAAATTCAGTTTAATGGAATTGAAAAACTACTAAACTAGTCCATTAAACAAATATTGAAATTTTTCCCAAACTATGTCTCAATTACCAAACAGGTTCCAGTCGTGAACTTTGAAACTTGAAACAGCAAGTTTAAAAACATCAGCCATTGGCAAGAACCCTGATTGCACAGCCGGAGCAGGTAAACCAGCACCAACAGTCGCAGCACTTTCACTCAAAGGACTGATCAAAATGGGCTGATAAGCAACAATAAGAACATCAGTGCCAACATTCTTCAGTCGAAGATTGGCCAAATAAACCTGCACAACATTCTGGGCTTCCCTTCCTTGCCGTCCTTTAGAAATCCCCATCTGACCAATTGCTGTTGTAATAACAACTGAAACATTCCCCATCGGAACCTCAACCACCCCTGACTGCTCAACAAGAGTAAACCCTTGAGCGTCTTGCTCATTGGCAAGGTCTTGAAGAAACCAAACAGCACTTCCATTATCACTCACATCAGGCTTCAAATCTAGTAGCTCGAAAATCAAGCTTTCGTCCCGACTTGGGTCCACAAATACCTCTTGATGATCAGGAACTTGTCGAATATTGCTCACATCCTACCCAACAAAAACAGTTTTCACAAATGAATTAGTGAAAGAAAAGAAAAGCTAGGATAAAAGAAAATGATCATGCTCATAAACTAACCTGGAATCTGACAGGAAAGGTGCTGGAAATTGCACCGCCGAAGAGAAGGCGTTCGGTTAAAGAACCCTCCTGCATTTTAGATTGGGAAGAGGGAAGAAGAGTATCGAAATTTCGCGGCGTATCTTTGGTTTATATAGGAGTTCAAGGGGCGTATATTCGACGCCACCGCTTATTTGATAATATTATTTTTTTAGAATGAAAGTTTAAAGTTATAATCGTAAAATATTTAAAAATTGATGAAACTATAAAAGTAATAATTTGGTCATTTAATTATAGTACGTACCATACGCCACGTCTGCTTTATATACAAGCTAAACGGTTTGTTGGTGGAATGCCATGGAGGGATATAGTTTTTCTCTCCTCTAGTTAGAAGCTTGTACCTTTCATTCTAAAACAATTTAGATCCTCATCTTTTTCAATCTCAACTAATTTCTTACCCACGTTAAGCTGTAGATTAGACAAAATATATAAAATAATTTAAAAAATTATTCTAATTTAATGATCCATATTATCCTACGAGTTTATAAAAATACATTAAATCAAAAGAAAAAAATCTAATTTTTTAAATTTTTTAATCCAAATTTTATATTTAACTAAATTTTCTCATTTTTGAATAAAAAAAATGATTTATTATCTTTTTATTCATTAATTCTTAATTAAAATTTTATAATAATTGAAAAGGTAAATTTAATAAAAAAAATTAAAAAATCCATAATATTTTTTAAATTTTTTATTAGAATGTGTTGTTCAAATAAAATAACAATTAATGTAAAAACACTGTATAGAAATAAATAGATGAAAAAAATATTTTAATATTTATGAGAAGATTAGTTTTTAAAAGTATGTATATTTAATTTTGTCATTTTGATATATTTATTCATACAAGTATCAACAATATCATAATAAAAAGAACTTATTTGAATAAATGATTGATTTCACAAAAAAATAATTTTTATTATTCAATTTGAAAAAAAAAGATTTTATAATATCAAAATATAAATAGTAAATTGTATTAGTTTTGTGTTTTTACATAGTTAATTTCTAATAAAACCAACAATTTATTTTTATTTTTTTACATAATATCTATATTGAGTGGATTTAAAATTTATAATATATATAAAAAAATGTAATTTAAGAGTCACGGTCAATCGATATCCATTTAAGTGGAGGACATTGTTACAAAAATATAAAAAACAAAAATATTAAAATGTAAAAAAATAAAAAACAAAGAAAATAAAACTCTCTCAAAATGCTTTTCTTACTAGAGAGACAGAAAACTCAAATCCTAATCCTAATGAAACGAATCGGATCGCCAAAAAGATGAAGGTTCGTGACAAGAAATCATCGCTAATGTAATTGGATAACTCGACGAAAGAGAAGGCATCGGAAAGTTTTGAGTGTCGTTATAAATGATCAAAACAAAGAAAATATTTTTTTTTGGATGAAGATGGAAGAGATTGAAGTGGAAAATAGAGACGAGGAGAAATGGCATGTTATTGAATTGTTAAAGACTTTTAAAACTCAACTTTGCGAACCATGAGAGCTCTGTATTGTGGTTAAGGATTTGACAAAAACAGTGAGATACAAGGTTTCATGTAATAAACATAAAACTACTTGGAATAACGCGGACTTTTTTCATGTTATTGACATAGAAAACGAGTTTTTTTTTTTTTTTGGTCCAATTTTCCAATATATATATATATATATATATATATCTGCTAATATAAATTGAAGGTATAAGTGTCCATTATATAATCTACTAATATCTATTAATTTTATATTTTTTTTTAACATGTAAAGACTTAATTGCACAAATCTTAAAAATTATGGATCAAAAAATATATATAAAAAAACTAGATAGTAAAAAAAAATTATAAATAAAGGACCAAAATGGGAAAAAAAATTCTTGAGGCCAAAATAAATTTTGGGATATAGGGACTAAAATAAAATATTTTCACAAACTATATTTAGCGAGTATTAAATTGACAAGTAACGGGATATATGCTGACTAAATATTTATAATATGATTTCTTAATGGGTATGGGTTTGATGAAAAATTGAATTAATGGACTGGATATATATATGATTAATATGGACAACATGTCATCTTACTATATCACGATATGCCGTCTTAAGGCATTATTAAATTAATTGAATTAAATAGAGAGATAAAAAGAGGTTGCAATAGATCGAATCAAGAGTTTGTAGCAAAAAACAAGAGAGACAACGAAACATGAATCTAACTTGAAATATTATTATAGAAAAGCATAAGTTCCAAAAATAATCCCAACAACATTTTAATAATATAGTCTTTTTCTATTTGGTTTAAATAATTAAATTGATTTAATAGTAGAACGACATATCGTCACAAACTAGGATGACATGTCATTCATATTAACTATATGCACAACTTAATTTTCAAAAAAAAAAAATTAGAATGATTAAACGATACTATTTAAACATTTAAGTTAATAATTAATGTTTTAATCATAAAAAATAACAAAAAAAAATTATATTTGTTTAAAAGTAATAGTTTAGGGTTCAAATAACTTAAATTGGTAGTAAAAATCTTAAATTATCATAATTTTGATAACTTTGGGATAATTTTTGCCATTAAAAAAAAAACTAAAATACTTAAATGATATTATTTAAGTATTTAAGTTAACGGTCAATACTTTGATCATCAAATATACAAAACAATGATGACATTTGCTAAAAAAATAATAGTCCCGATGGTAAAAACTTTGGCACGTTCTCGGGTCAACAATGGCTAGTCTGGTAATTATAGACGGATGACACGTTGTCTCATCGCGTCTACAGGGGATGACGAGTCGTACATCTCCTGTTTCCTATATATATATATATATATATATATATATATATATATATATATATATATATATATAAATTTTTTAATATTTTAAAATAAATATATATTTCATATTATATTAATCTTAATGTTTAATTTTTTTTTCAATTTCTCATTTTTTTTAATGAAAATCATCATCTAATAATAAAGTTCTTATAAAAAAATCTATATAATTTGATGGCAAGGTTTTGAATTTTGGATAAAATTTTCAATTTACATTATTATAGCATTTTATTTAAAAATCATTTCATCAAGAAAAACGAATGTTGATTTTTCTTGGTTGAAAAAATATAAAAAACATAAAGAATAATTAAATAAATATAAGATTTTGATTAAAAAATTTAAATTTTTCGAGTTTTTTTTTAATCTTTGATTAGATATGTTTTTATAAATCCACAACATGATATGAATAAAATTTTATTATGTTTAACCCACAGCGTAGCTAAAGTAATCAGATGTTAATAAATATAAGATTCCACGACACATTTAAATATTTAATCCGTCTGAATTGAAAAAAAACAATATAAAAAAATCTTATTTAAATAATAAAAAAATGAAAGGACCAACCCCAAAATCCCTATTATTTCCAACGCAATTTAGAACTCGTTCTCTCTCTCTGTCTTCTCCCTTAAGAACAATCATTGCATTGACGGTCCTATCAATCTCTAATCCTCTCCGTGAAGAGATTCAAGACTAGACTTGAAGCAAAAGAGAACCCTTTAAAGGATCACACCGTCCAAATCCACACGGATTTATTCCACAACCCAACATGTCAATCACTCATAAGTTGAATTTAAAGATTACATGTCATGTGAGATTAAAAATAAATAAAATTATAACAGAGGGTTTTAAGAAATAAAAAATCTTAATCAAGAAAAAAAGATTTCAATAAAAAACATTGAAAAGTACAGAACTTAGATATCAATAAATGGGGAAAAACCAAATAAAAAGGTGAAAAGATAATTAAAGAGAACACTGGAACATGTTGCCACCAGCTAACTAGAGATAGATTAATGTAGTGGCTTAAAAAATGAAATGCTGAGGATGAAAACACTGTGCAGCAACAGACTTGAAAAATCGGAAGCCTTCGCCATATATGACAGGCCAACAGGAATTATAGCTCCCATCAGGGAAAAAAATGTTCCCTCGCATCAAGCACTAAGAACATGCATCTAGGTTCCTGCAACAAGGGAATCAAATGAGTTTTAGACCAAAACACATGCATAAAGGTCAAAATTCCGGGAGAAGAACAAACGTGATTATGCACAGAATTCAGGATTCAGAAAGAGACATTCTTGTAAAGACTAGTTCTTGGAAAAATAAGGTTCTCAGAATATCAAGATACAATAACTATTACATAAATGTCAACAGGCACCAAAATGCTAAAATTAGATTTACACAGGATAGACCAAAGGAGAAAGGCTTGAGACTCTCAAAGCAAACAGTGCATCTCCAGTTCACTGAATACAACAGCAATAAAACAGTTGGCATATACCTTAACAGGCATCAACCTTAATTTTCTAGACTGATCAGATCCTAAGAAACTGGCATTAGCGTTACCAAAACACGGCGGGCTGGGTGGGTGGGTGGAATCCATATATATAGTTTAGCAGTCTAGAAACAAACCCTAATTTGAGGTTTGTGAAATTTTAACAAATCTAAATGCTCCTCTTTTCCATATTTTTGAAGTTTAAAAATGCATATAATGTAACAGGGACATAGAACATAGTAACAATGCCTGATACTAAGACTTATCCCGCACCCAAACCCCACACCTCTTTCCCACGTGCAAAACCTGATCGAGTAGTTTTTCCCAGCATACAAAGAAGAAATACACAAGGAGATATTGGATACTTACGATGTGCATGCCACTTTTCTATGCTTCCATACCAGTTCCACTGGAAAAACAGAGCTACAATACGTATTACGCCCGCGGCAATAACCTCAATAAATCCCATCAAGAATGATCTCTGAGGAGATAGACCAGCTGTCACTATAGATAACATGAATCCCTCAAAGTTGCAAGGAATAATAAATCTAGCCAATTTGATCCCATCTAAAGCTTTCTTGGCCACTTCATCCGCTTCCATTGCTCCAGAGGAGGCTACTATGATGCTTGCAACCTGTGGCCTTTTTTCATTTTCTGCATCGTGCATCACTTAGTTCATAGTCTCACAGAGCCAATGTACTGACAATAGAAGAAAGTCCTTCAAAGTTGAATGAATGTTTCATAAGCAGGGCATATCAAGAACCACACCCATTTTATTCATGTAGCCAATCAGGCAATTTTTTTAAGGAATTTTCGGTTAAAAAATTAATGGGTAAAACATTCAGGTATCCGTATTTACCCAAATTATTTGACCCGCTAAAACAAATTCAGGTAAAAGAACTGAAGTTTCAGTGGGTAAAAGAAAAAAAAATGTAAATAATCCTGGTAATTACTCGAAATGATTTTTTTTTTTTTTTGTACATTGCATTACTAGAATGCTCACCCCTAAAATCATCTACTATGGATTGGGTGGACCCCAATGATAGATCCCACTCCGCAAAAGACCCATCATTGAGTAGCTGATCTTACTCAAACCAACATTTATGAAATGCAAACTCTTGAAATACAAAATAATTAGTCTCAACCCAATTAATAGTTTATTGCATGAACATATAACAGTAGTGCATATATCTTGTATATAGACAAACTGCATCAGTCATTACATGATAGAGTATAGAGTAACCTAACAATGGAGCTGAGACAGATTCATACCTCGAGCTGAACCAGGAGTTTCTGTTTCTGGAGGGAATACAACAGAGACATGGATGTTCTCTCCAATAACCTCCTGCTGCAATGCTTCTGCTAAACTCCGAAGACCAAACTTACTCGCTGAATAAGCTGTATAACCATAAATCCCCACCTATATATGCGCAAACAATGCCACATTCACAAAGACGACAAATAATTAAACAAAAACTGTCTTCATAAAACACATAGCAAAATTTTGAAAACCGAATATCAATGAGCCACACCTGACCAGCCTGTGATGACATGAGAGTAATAGAAGCAGGCCCACGATCCTTCCTGCTACTCTTCATCGCAGGCAGAGCAGCTTTGATCATGTTAAAACTCCCCATCAAAATTAACATCTAACATAAACTTGACCTCATCCATTCCCTGCTTCTCCAGTTCTTGAGACACAAACACCCCTTGATTCACATTCAACACATCAATGGGCCCTGCTTGATCCACTGCAAATATCGCTACCTCAGCGCCAGTGGAGAGCTGGATTGCGTGCTTCGCGTCCTCAAGCTTGTCGAGGGAACGAGCTAGAACGGAGACTTTGGCACCTTCTGATGCTGCTTGGTGGGCCAGGGCTAGCCCGATTCTTGATTGGGACTTTTACGGGGCGAGGTCTGACGATAAGAGCTAGGAGGAGGAGAGAGGGAGGGATATTGAAGAGGAGGAGAGTAAGGTAGGCTAAGCTGGGGTTGGCCATTGATGGGGGATATTGAAGAAAATGTATTTTGAGGGGACAAGCCGAGCACCGTGTCTATGAGTTGGGAGTTGGGACAAGTGATGCGCGGTAATGTGGTTTTGAGCGAGTCAACGATGATCATGTTAGCATTTGGAATCCACTGTGAGTTGTTTTCACATGCTGCAGGCTGGCGGTGGTATGATTCCAATCAGTGAAGAAGAATATCATTCCAACCTTGGAGACAAGTACATGAAATATGGGATTAAGATATCTGTCACATAATATGAATATACTAACGACTATTCTTGAAACATACTTTAAATTTTCAGATATTAAATATATTATAAAAAAAGGAATTTAATAAGTAAACAAACAAAAAAAATAACACAAAAAATCAGTATACCCAATAACAATCTATACTCAATTATATGCACAAATATAAAAAAATTATAAAAGAAAAGAACATATATATCATGTTAAGAGTATTCGATTAAACGTTAAAAGTGTTCTGAATTTAACCTAAAAAAATAATACTTTTAATTTCTATTAATGTGATATCTAAACCAAAAATATCTTACTATTTGCAAATATAATAATAATAATAATCTATAATCAATTATATTATATGCATAAATATATAAAATTATATAAAAAAAAATGATAGCTAATAGTGATCATTATTGATTATATTCATTCACTTGCATTGATTTTTTGAATTTATTTTTAAGTTAAATATGCTGAAATAAGTTTATTTTGTGATTTAAGAAAAAAAAATTAGAGACAAAGGAGCAACAATGCATTAATTAAATTCAAATTCCAATGTTGGTAGAATGACCTTATGAGGAAGAAACAAATATTTTACATCCTTACAACTTTGGAATATAAAAGAGGCCTTCTTGAACATTAAAGTAGACATGGCAACCTTTTCGGATTGGATTGAAACGCATGAAGTTATTATGTTTTGAGAGGTCAAAGTTAGTTGCTAAGCAAGGGTAGAAATTCAAATCTCTTGATAATTCATAACAACGACTAGTATTTGAACTATATATGACGTTCTACACGTTTGATTAAGATGATTCAAAATCCTAAAGTAATAAGACATTCGGGCCTACAAATTTTATGAAGAGTTTGAGTCCATATTTTGCCTACTTCTAACCCTAAATTAGTTCAAAAGTTTCAATATAGAATTTAGAGTCCTAATCGGCAATAAGTCTTAATTAATTTATGTAACAATCTTATATAAACTTTTTTAACTCGTCATTTTTTATATATATATTTTCATGTATATATAATCTCTAGGGTTGCACATTAGAGTTACTCTTTCTTTTACATAATTTAGAGTTTTATACTTCATACAATGTACGGCTAAGTTTTCTCGGTTCAAGAATTTCAACTTCAATTAATTTGCAAACATATGGATTTGATTTAATAGATCTCTAAATTAAATTAATTATGATTGCATAGGTAATTATCGATTATGATTTATAGTTAACTAACTTTCTTAATCTGCAATTGTTATGAAAAGTTAGTACAAGTAACAATTAAGTTTTCATGATTATGATTCCAATTTTTGCGACTAATTAAGGGAAATAAAAAGATTAATTCAATTATTTAGGCATTCTAAAATTATTATTCACTCTTAGCTATCTTTCTAATTCATAATGCTATTTTTGATTTGATTATGATTGTTTCAATATCAAAATCAATTGATAAAAAGAATTTAATTCGAGTTCTAAGTTTTGAGTTAAAGAATATGAGAAGATTAACGTCAAGGTAGATCTAGATTAAGTATTCGATGAAAGAATAGTAATTTAGATATCGATAATCAATCTGCAAATTGAATGATTGAATTTCTCCTTCCTTGAATTAAAGTTTCTTTAAATTGAAGTTTTTTTTATTTAATTTTAGCATACAAAGAAGGCCCCTCAATTGTCAAAAATAATAGAATAGATTGACCAATCTCTAGAGTTCGATTCAAACTTGCCTTTACTATAAAATTTGATAAGAACGGAATAAATTAAATAGTTATCATGTTATTTATATTTGTTTAGAATGAAATAAATTTGTACCTTTTTCAAAAATCAATTTATCTCAATAATTACTATGGTGATCTGATGATCCTTTTTTCTCTCTTTCTAATTTATTTATTACTATATATCTTTAATCTACAATTTATGATAAAATTAAATAACTTTAATATCATATTTTTCAAGTCAAAATCACCAAAAAAAAATTGTAATATTTTTTATCTTTTATTTCAAAATTTCTCATATAAAAATATGATTATATATCATTATTAATTGATTAATATTATTATAAAAAATTAATGGAAATACTATAGAAGTAAAGTTCTATTTTTAGGTATTTTAACTTCATAAAACAATATAAAATAATATTCAACTAAGTAATAAATTTAATACTAAAAAGTATCATGACGCTCGCGTCCATTGCCACATGTCCATTCGTATCCATCACATATCTAAATTATATGTATACTAGTTGGATACATGCGATACACTTGTTGGTAGACAACTATTATATATGCACGGTTAACGATTTATATAGTATAATGTCGGTAGAAAGTTTTATTTTTATGATTAACATAAATCGAATCTATATATAGTTAATTTCTAATATATATATATATATATATATATATATATATATATATATATATATATATATATATATATAACATATTGATAGTATATAAAACAAATAAATAAATATACAAAAAAAACCTACTTAAATTGTAGAAATATATTGAATTCAATAGATTAAAATAAAAATAATAACAAAATTGATTCGATAAATTTTGAATAAATATATATAAAAAAATAAAAATTATAAATTTTTTAGGTCATTATTTTTTAAATGAAATAAGTCAAATTATCTAAAACATACTTTTAGCTTTGTGTGTGTGTGTGTGTGTGTGTGTGTGTGTGTGTGTGTGTGTGTGTGTGTGTGTGTGTCTATATATATATATATATTAAAAAATAAAACACTCATTTAAAAATAAAAAAATAATTTATTGCATAAATTATAATAATATATTTAAAAAAATAAAACATTGATGTTCTAAAATAAAAACAACAAAAAATTTTGGTTTTGATAAATTATGAATAAATACATATAAAAAAGCAAATAAAACTTATGAATTTTTTAACTCATTATTAGTTTTTAAAAAAACAATTAAGTCAAACTATCTAAAACATACTTTTAGCTCTCTCTCTCTCTCTCTCATATATATATATATATATATTAGAAAATAAAACACTCATTTTAAAATATAAAAATAATTTATTTTATAAGTTATAATAAAATATTTTAAAAAATAAAACATTGATGTTTTAAATTTTATCCCAAAATTCATATATTAAAAAACTAAATTTATCAACAAATAAAATTATATCAAAAAATTATCAGCCTTTACAAATTTGTAATAAAATCAAAAATTAAAAACGTTTCGAGTAGTAAGTATAACTATATATATATATATATATATATAAAGTAAGAAAGAGGCCAAGTTGGGCAACCAAGGCTCGGCACGTGCATGCCTAAGAGCTAGGCCTTGGTTGCTGGTCAAGCCCAAAAAACAAAAAAAAAAAAGAACTAAGGTATTGTTCATCATTATTCATTTACTGTGGATATACCTCAATTCTTTTAGTTATATATATAGTTTTTTTGCCCACGCTATGTTGCGAGTTAGATAAAATATATGAAATCATTTTAGTTTGATAATCTTTATTATGTTATGAATCTACAAAAATATATGAAATAAAAAAAATCATTCATAATTTTTTAATCAAAATTTTGTAATTAACTCTTTCTTATTTGTGTTTTTTTCATAATTTTTCCTTTGGAAAAAAATTTATTCTTGTCAATTCATGGATTATTAAGTAAAAAGAAAATTAAAAGAAAATTTTTTTTAAAAAAATAGTATTTCATAAGATTGTGTCGAAAAACAAAAATAAAAATTAATAAAAACTTACATAGAATTGAATAATTTTGTTTATTTAATATTGATGAGAATATTGATTTTTGAAAGAAGATAAATTTAATTTTTGTATATTTAAGATTGAATAATATTAAAATAAAAAACTATATTAATTTGAATCTTTAAGTGGTTAAGCCATAACATAATTTTAATTATTTAATATAAAATTAATAAATTTTAAAATATTCAAAAATAGATAAATAATAAATGCTTAGTGTAGTAGTAGTTGCATAGTTAATTTCGAAAAGAAAACAACAATCCAATATTTTTTTATACATCATAACTATACTAAATAGGTTAAGAGTTTTCAGTATAAAATAAAAATTAATATATAAAAAAAGGTTAACTTGCAAGTAATATATTTATTAAATTTGAAGTTAATAGACTAAAATAAAAATTATTTCAAAATTGATTTTGATAAATTTTGATTATATAAATAAAATAAAATAAAATACTTGAGTTCTTTTTCTTTTTCTTTTTTTCCTCCTTAAATAATTTTTTATTTCTATGCTATATATGGCTAGTCCTTGAATAAATGTTTTATGTGCAGAGCAACTATCTTCTTTTTGTTTTTTTCACACTTGAATTTCAATTATTAATTAACTCATTTGAGTTTTTTTCCTAAAACAATTGAGAAACAAATCATTTAAAATACACTTTTAATCTAAAAAATTATTTCATAAAAATTATATATATTAATTATGCCACTATAATTTAAAAATTATTTAAATCTATTTTTCAAAAAAAAATAATCATGTTCTAAAAATTTATTCCAAAATCCATACATATAGAAAAATAAATCAAAACTATCAGTAAATATAATTTTAAATTAATTGGATGAGAATTTAAAAAAAATAAAAAATTAAAGTATTAAATTTTAAATAATGAAAGTAATTAATAAAAAATACTAAAACAAAATGGGATCAAATCACAATACAATTGAAGTTTGAAATAAAAAAATATGTATATAGAAAAATCGAGGACCAAAGTATTACAAAAATGTTTCATTAACCATTAGATAATCAAGTAATAGAGCCTGAGAGAGAATTAGATGCCCACTTTTTCTTTACCTTGGATTGGGAAAGTTACTTTTATATAAGAGCATTTTTCATTTCACAAGTAGAAACGTTGTGGAATCGAGCCCCGATTTATTAACCTTTAAAATTGGAGGGGTTATATGACAACTTTTTGAACTTTATTAGTGATATATGAAAAAAAAAATTACAAAAAATTTCAAAAGTGCCAAATGATGAACAAGTGATTAAGGCAAATAAACGAGTAAATGAATAGTGTTTTACTTGTTCATTTGCCTCGGATCTTTTAGTAATATACTAGCATACATCTAGCGCGTTGCCACAGAGTGAGTTATACAATATTTTTATATATTCATTCATATAAAATTAAAAAATAATTATTTAAAGGTATCATGCAAAAAAAAGTTCAAAAAAAAGAACTAAAACATGTATTTCATAATTTGCAGCGAGGTTGGCTAAATAAAAAGTTTACAAAGTTAAATAATATAATGTTACTAATTAGATATTGTTTGATATAACTAAAATATGTATAATAACTGATAATTAAAATAATAATGTGATAGTTTTTTAAATTTTAGATGATTAATTTTTATCATATATTATTCATATGTAATTTGTTAATAAGACGGAAAAACCACCCAAAACAAAAAGACAAACAACCTTTGTCAAATCAAGAATTTGGCAAAGAGAATAAAGATAAAATTATACACAATAAAAATTAAATGATAAAAAAAATAAATAAGAAAACTTTTACTAAAAAAAAACTTATAAACAATAAGTCTAAAAAAAATTCATTATGCATAAGGCGAGAAACAAAAGTAAAACATTATAGAATTTTAATGATCAAAATAAAAAAAAATTAATAAAATAAGAATCAAAACAGAAAATATTTTTTAATAAAAAAACTTAAAATAGTTAAACTGTATTTAATTTTAGTGTAAAATGAATAATAATTAAATATAATAAAAATTTAATAATCAAAATAAATGAAAGATCATAAAAAAAAAATCAAAATATAACAAAAAGTTTTACTAAAAGTAAAAAACAATTTCTTGTAGGGAAAAAATAAATATAATAAAAATTTAATGATCAAAATAAAAACCAATAAAAAAATATGGACTATAAAAAATTCTACTAAATTTAATGATGAAAAGAAAGAAAAAAATCACAAAACATGAATTATAATAGAAAAAAAGTTTCACTAGAAGCCAAAAATAAAAATAAAAAAAGCTTAGGATAGTAAATTTTATTTATTTTTAGTATAGTAAGGATAAAAATCAAATATGATAAAACTTAATGACTAAAATAAAAATATTTCACAAAATAGTAATAAAAAAAGAGCATAAATTTTTACTAAAAGCCAAGAAAAAATATTTATTATAGGGATAAAAATCAAATATAATAAAATTTTAATATTTATTATAGGGACTAAATTAAATATAATAAAACTTTAATGATCAAAATAAAAAAAGATTAAAAAAGGGGACCAAAATAAAAAGCAATTTCCTTAAAAGCTAGCAATCCAAACGGGAAAAAAAAAGATAAACAGTCAATGAACAGTGTATTTCTACAGTGGTTTTTCATTTTTTTTAGTTTTATTGTAATTGTAATTGATAATATATATATATATATATATATATATATATTAAACAAAAGAAAGAAAAGAAAAGAAAATGTGTCGTATTCCCACATGTTTTGCAGGCGTTGAGTGGTGTCCCATGATGTCCGTATTTGATGCATGCTCGACATAAATAAAGAGTAATTTTTATTTTTTTTAATTAAGTGCATGTTATTCCGAATTTCCGATTATATCTTATTATAAGAGTTTTCTTCCACGACTTCCAACTTACCATGTTTGTTGAATTTAAGTTTTATTATAAGAGTTTTCTGTAACTAAATATTACACAAACACGAGCATTTTGCTTATTTTTCCAATTGCAACAAAATGAAATAAACATTGACATAATATCATTGTAACAATCACTTTTATTATATAGACTTTAGATCGTCTAAATTTATTCTTACAAACATTGGTTTGAGCCTTAAATCTTAGTCTGAATAGGTTTTTTTTTGGGTTAAGTGTATCGGATATAAATTGTTTCGGATTTGGGTTGTAGCTAGCTTTTGATTGTATTTAGATTTGGATCGTCTTCCTAAAGTATTAACGTTTGAACAATTTCAAATTGACAAAACTCAAATTTGAGAGTTATTTTTATTATTATTATAGTAAAGGAAAAAAATTCCAAAAGTCCCTAAGAGCTTTATCCATCCATTTATTTTGAGAATTTTCAAAATTGTTATGCACTGTTAAAAAAATTATTAATAGTTTGATTTTCCTAATTAAAAATTCACTTTAATTTTTTTAATCCAAATACTTTTTCCCTCATTGGCTTCTAGATTTAAATTAAACTCTTTTGTTTCTTGTACTGTCACAATATAATTAAATAAATTAGGGAGTAAATATCTCATGAATTTTTAAAGAAATATTTTTAGCCTTAACTATACTCTTTATCTAGGTTTAATTTATAGTCTAGGTTAAATTTATAGGGTGAGCATAATTAAAAAATATATTTTTTTTGGTGTAAATATTTCTTAGATTTTTTTTTCTGTATTTAAAATATTTTTGAATTTTTTTTATAACTATTTTGTATATCAAACTTCTTATCACTAGTCCTTCAAAATAAGTTTAAGAGTTTATGGACATAATCGATACGATTATAAATAGAGAGATTTGTTGGAACTAACCTTTACAATTTATGAATAGATGATTTACTTATTCTATTTAGAGTCAGAGGTATTTTTAGCTTAAAAATAGGTCATGTGAAAATAATGTAATTTTTTTGGATGAAAATAAAATAAATGAAAGAATATATTTGAGAAAAATTATTTACTCAGTAGTTAAATTGACATGACTAGAGATATTAATACATATTTAAGAATTATCCTATGTAGATTCATTGATAGTATGTTTTTCAAGTCGATTATAAAGTTAATTAATAGTATATTCCATTGTGCATAAAGTTGGATTTGATCAATGATGAACTAAAATTGACTAAGAAACTCAGCCGATCTAGGCATATAGGCTCAAGCTTAATCAGACCAATAAGTAGGTCCAATCAATATACATTAGCCAACTAAACAAAAGTTATGGATAACTTAATAGTCATATAGTATTAACATTCTTAATGGCCATTACAAGACTATAACTAATGATCACTAACCCTCTAACTTGTAATTTACATCTATCAATTTTCTTATCGACCAAGAATTCATGTCACAATGTGACAACCAAGTCGCACTGCACATAGCTGCCAACCCATTTTTCTTGAGCGAAATGGACTGTCATGTCATTCGTGAGAAACTCCTTAAAGGATTAATCCAACTATTGAAGATTTCACCTACGCATCAAATTACAGATTTATTCACCAAAACTCTTATTTTAACATATTTTTTGTATATATATTTCTTTTTACATAATGAAAATTCAGAACCCTATCATATTTTGCATATATATGATGACAATATGAATGCAAGCCGTGTAATGAAATCTGTAATATTCTTCTTCTTTTTATTTTTTTTTGGTCTGCCAGAAGCCTGTGAGATCAAGTTTAATGATCATACTTTTTCATCTAAGCATTTATCATCAAGTTCAGACCTGAAACTTACGTGTTTCACTGCAACTACGCAGCATTTTTGTAACAAGCTAGCTAGAAAGCAAAGTTTGACTCCCCCCCCCCCCCCCAAAAAAAAAAAAAAGGTGAAAAGATAATTAAAGAAAACACTGGACCATGTAGCCACCAGCTAATTAGAGACAGATCAATTTAGTGGCTTAAAAAAAGAAATGCTGAGGATGAAAACACCGTGCAGCCCAAAACCCAGACAACGGCAACTTCAACAGACCTGTAAAATCGGAAGCCTTCACCATATATGACAGCCCAAAACAATGTTCCCTGGCATCAAGCACCAAGAACATGCATCTAGGTTCCTGCAATAAAGGAATCAAATGAATTTTAGATCACAACGCATGATAAAGGTCAAAATTCCGGGAGAAGAACAAAGGGGATTATGCACAAACTTCAGGATTCAGAAAAAGACATTCTTTTCAGACTGGTTCTTGGAAAAATAAGGTTCTCAGATTATTAACATACAATAACTATTACATTACATAAATGTCAGCAGCCACCAAAATGCTAAAATTAGATTTACACAGGATAGACCAAATTAGGAGAAAGGCTTGAGGCTCATAAAGCAAACAGTGCATCCCCAGTTCACTGAATACGACAGGAATAGAACAGTTGGCATACACCTTAACACGCATCAAACTTGACTGTCTAGACCGATCAGGTCCTAAGAAACTGGCAATAGTGTTACCAAAACATGCAAGGGGAAAAAAAAGACAGAGAGAAAAAAAAATCCATGTATAATAGCAGAATCTAGAACAACCCTAAATTGAGGTTTGTAAAAATTTTAACAAATCTAAGTGCTGCTCTTGTCCAGAGTTTTTGAAGTTTAAAAATCCATATGATGCAACAGGGACATGGACATAGTAACAATTCCTGATATCTCTTCAATTTATTTTCAAAACGTAAGATTGAAACTAAGACTTATCCCGCACCCAAACCCCACATCAACTCTTTCCCATGTGCAGAAACTCCTAGCATACAAAGAAAAATACGCAAGGGGATATTGGATACTTACTACTTTGTGCATGCCACTTTTCTATGCTTCCATACCAGTTCGACTGGAAACACAGCACTGCAATACGTATTGCGCCGGCAGCAATAACCTCAATAAATGCCATCAAGAATGATCTCTGAGGAGATAGGCCAGCTGTCGCTATGGATAATAAGAATCCCTCAAAGTTGCAAGGGATAATAAATCTAGCAAATTTGATGCCATCTAAAGCTTTCTTGGCGACTTCATCTGCTTTCATTACTGCAGAGGAGGCTGCTATGATACTAGTAACCTGTGGTTTTTTTTCATTTTCTGCATTGTGCATCTCTTAGTTCATAGTCTCACTGAGCCAATGTACTGACAATAGAAGAAAGTCCTTCAAAGTTGAATGAATGTTTCACAAGCAGGGCATATCAAGAACCACACACATTTTATTCATGTAGTCAAAAGGCAATATTTTAAGGAATTTTGGGTAATAATAATAATAGTAATGCAGGTAAATGGGTTAAAGATTCAAGTATTCGTATTAACCAGATTGTTTGATCCGCTAAAGCAAATTCAGGTAAAAGAAAAAAAATTTCAGGTTGGGTAAAAGAAAAAAAGAATGTAAATAATCCGAGTAATTACTCGAAATGAAATTTTTTTACATGCATTACTAGAATGCTGACCCCTAAAATTATCTACTATGGATTGGGTGACCCCAATGACGGATCCCACTCCACAAAAGATCCATCATTGACTAGCTGATCCTACTCAACAACATCTATGAAATGCAAACTCTTGAAATACAAAATAAACTCAACCCAGTTAATAGTTTGTTGTATGAATAACATTAGTGCATGCACCTTGTATATAAACAAGCTGCATCAGTCATTACATATATAGTAACCTAACAATGGAGCTGAGACAAGTTCATACCTCGAGCTAAAGCAGGAGTTTCTGTCTCCGGAGGGAATACAAGAGAGACATGGATGTTATCTTCAATAACCTCCTGCTGCAATGCTTCTGCTAAACCCCGAAGACCAAACTTACTTGCTGAATAAGCTGTATAACCATAAATCCCCACCTATGTATGCACAAACAATGCCACATTCACAAAGACAACAAATAACATAGCAAAATTCTGAAAACCGAATATCAATTAGCCTTACCTGACCGGCCTGTGATGACATGAGGGTAATAGAAGCAGGCCCACGATTCTTCCTGCTACTCTTCATCGCAGGCAGAGCAGCTTTGATCATGTTAAAACTCCCCATCAAATTAACATCTAACATAAACTTGACCTCATCCAATCCCTGCTTCTCCAGCTCTTGAGGCACAAGCACTCCTTGATTCACAATCAACACATCAATGGGCCCTGCTTGATCCACTGCTCTTTGGACAGCATCAAAGTCCCTCACATCAGCTGCAAAAACCGCTACCTTAACGCCAGTGGAGAGCTGGATTGTTTGCTTCGCGTCCTCAAGCTTGTCGAGGGAGCGAGCTAGAATGGAGACTTTGGCACCCTCTGATGCTGCTTGGTGGGCCAGGGCTAGCCCGATTCCACTGGACCCACCTGTTATGAAGACGTTGCGGTTCTTTATTGGGACATTGACGGGGCGGGGTCTGACAATAAGAGCTAAGAGGAGGAGGAGGAGAGAGGGAGGGAGGAAGAGGAGAGTAAGGTATGCTAAGCTGGCGTTGGCCATTGATGGAGGATATCGAAGAAAGTAAATGTAGTTTGAGGGGAAAAAGCTGAGGCACTGTGACTGTGAGTTGGGAGTTGGGACATGTGATTGTGAGGGAGTCAACGATGTTTATCCTATCAGCATGCATTTGAAGTCTACTGTGAGTTGTTTTCAAGGGATGTTCTTTCTTTTATTCCTTCGGTTTCGAAATATTGTATATAGTTTTTGATTAACCAAATTTTTATTTTTTAAAAAAATAAAATCGAATCAAAATGTTATTCGATTTTTTTGATTTAGTTTAGAAATATTTTACGAAATATTTTAATTTTAATATTTAATAATTTCATTTTTACTCGTTTTATTTTATTTTATTTTTATAAATAACTGATTCTATTAAAGTTTTTACTTTATGGACTACTAATTAAGAAATTAAGTTGTGTAAAAAAAATAATAAATACATTGATCGATAAAAAAATAATAAATTGTTTATTCAAGAAGGTTTGAATTGGAGACGATAAAAAATCTATCAACATCTTTGCTATTTTGTATACATTAAAACTGGTAGCTACTAAGACAAAGAGAGCACGAACAAAATTATTGGAGAAAGTATATTTAAGGAAGAAGGATTTTTCAATTTGAAATTGTAGTGAATGATCTGACTTTATATATATTAAAAATTTCGATTAACCGAATTAAAAAAAAATAAACCCAAACTTGAAAACCAAAATTATTTCGTTTCAATTTTTTTTAATTTAAAAAAACTATATTAAAATTTATATTTCAATATAATTCAATTCGATTATTAGGTTTTTACCCAATAATTAACACGCATAGTTTTCCTTTGCTGCAGCCTGGCTGAGACTGGTGAGGAATATAAGCTTTGACAACTCAGCCTATGAAGATTATAATTCCAAACTGGGGAACAAGGGCATGAACATGGGATCAAGGTAATCCACAACAAAGAATACCGGGACACGTCAATTCTTGAAAAATACGTTCAATTTTTTAAATATTAAATATATTATACAAAATAAATTTTAAAAAATAACACAAAAGATCAGGATAACCAATAACAATATATAATCAATTATATGCACAAATTTGTAAAAGTATAAAAGAAAAGGATAGATATCATGTTATTCATAGTTACTTGAAATAAAATAAATTTGTATGTTTAAAAATCAAGTTATATCGGTGATGATTGTAAAAGGATTGATGACAGCTTGTTTTTTTCCTTTAACATTTATTTACTACTATATATATATATATATATATATATATATATACTATATCTTTTTAGTTTATTATTTGTGATAAAATTAAATAATTTTAATATCATATTTTTAATCAAAATTTAAAAAATATTTTTTTTATTTAAAAATTTCTCATATAAAAATATGATCATATATCATTATTAATTGATTAACGTAATTAAAAAATAATTAATTAAAATATCATAGAGGTAAATTTCTATGTTTAAGTTTTTTTTTTCTTTTTGGTCAATTCCACAAAAATACACGTTGTTTACGAAAATTAAACTCAAGCATGGTGAATTCACAATCCACTATCTTGATCCAATCGGCTACATCTGCTTCTAATATTCTATTTATAAATTAGTAGGATTTCAATTTCCAACATAAACCATTCAATTTAATCTTTTATAAAAATTTTATAAGAAAGAAATATAAAAAAAATATTTAAAGTCAATTAACTATTTCTAAAATAAAAATACTAATAAAAGAAAAGAAAAGCAATGTCAACTCTCTTGATAGAACAAGAAATTGATGATTGCTCGTTAAAAAAAAAACTCATACATATTAAGATAAAAATCTTATCCATTTGTAGATGGAATTTTGACCGTAGCTAAGTCTAAAAGGAAGTTATTATTAAATTCATGCATAACTTTTATATCAAAATTATACGTATTAATTACAGGACCTTGAGTTAAAATAATATTGAATAATTTTATTTTAAGCATTATAAATTTAATTCTAAAAATATCCCTGGCCATGACCACATTTACCATGCGTCTATTCGTATATTTCCCGTATTTGATGCACGAATACAGAGTCATTTTTTCAATTAAGTGCATGTTATTCTTAAGTCCCGACTATATTTTATTATAAGAGTTTTCCTTCACGACTTCACGTTACCTATGTTTGTTGAATTTAAGTTTCTTTCTGTAATCAAATTACACAAACACAAGCATTTTGCTTTTTTTTTTTTTTTTGGCTTTTGCTTTTTTCTGGTAATTTATTTTAATTTTTTTATTATTGAATTGGATGCAAAAATTATTAAAAATAATGGTTATTTTGTTCGATTTTTCATACAGAGCTAGTGATTATGAAATATATACGTTAATTATATTTTTATATTTTAAAATAAATATATATATTACTTTTGTTATTTAAAATTAATTTTTTCATTTTGAAGTTTTTTATGAAAAATCTCATCAAATTTACTATACATCTACACCAATAACAATAGCTATTTGCTATTAATTTTTTAAATATTTTAAAAGAACCACTTAATAATTTAAACATAATTTTTTATACTGATTTATTAATTATTTTTTAAATAAATATATTTAAATAAAATATACATATTTTTAAAAAGTTATTCTTTTCATCAGCATTAAACAAGAATAAAAAAATTCATTTGTTAATCTTATGAAAAGAATTTTTAGATGTTTTTAAAATTTTATGTTTAGATTACATGTTTTTACTTAAGAATGAATGTATAAAAAATAACAAGTCATGTTTTTTTAACTAAAAAATTCATTAAAAACATAAAGAAGAATAAATTAAATTTAAATATTTGATTAAAAATTATGAAATTAATTTGACAACGTTAAAAAAATAATACTAAATGGTTGGTGTTATATATGTGGATGCATAATTAATTTTTAATAAAATCAATGATCTCACTTATATATAGTGTGCAACATAAATTAAAAAATATTTTTTTTCAAAAAAATTAAGTTGTAAGAAATAAATTAAAGTTAGTAGATTGCGATAAAAACAACAACAAAATTAATTTTGATATATTTTAATTATACAAAAAAACAAATAAAACACAAAAATTATATTTTTTTAATTGATTATTTATTGAAAAAAACTTATTCCAAATTCTATAAATAGAGAAAAATAAATCATATTTTTTAACAAATCAAATTATATAAAAAAAGAATAAAAAAAATTGAAGAGAGTTTTCATAGAAATGGCAAACTCGAAGAGATTAATTTTAAACAATAAGAAACGTGTTTTTGTAATTACAAACTTTTTGAAAAGCATAAACAAGAGTAAACTAAATACAATTTTTTTTATTAAAATTATGAAATTAGATGAAATTTTTTTCTTTTGCTTTTAATTTTATATATTTTAGTTGACCAATAATATAGTATGGACCATCAAACTAAAAAAAAAAAAAAAATTGTTCGACCCGTGACGTAACGCGAAAAACCCACTCGGTTTTATACTATAGGAGTAGAATTGGAGTATTGATGAATTATAGGGGGAAAATCAAGTTTACCTTAAACCAAGCAACTTGATTCGTTCTTTGTTTTTGTATTTTGAGTTTTTCACTTGCTTTTTCTTTATTTCACAATACTTTTTTAATTTCAATTTAAAAAAGAATTTCCTTATTTAAAATTATTCTTTTTAAGGGTGTATATTAGTAAACTTATTAATTTTTTCCCGATGAATTTAATAAATTTGGATGAAAATAAATTATAATCACGACCAAGAAACCTACGTAGAGCTTAACTTTGATTGTTTTTTGGATAAGTAAGACATCTCTACCAAAAATAACCAAGAAATCTATATATGTATCTTCTACGTAGGATCGTTAAGAACTAACAAAACTAGAACCAAGAACAAAAATTCATACAATTATTTCTTTCTACTTTCTATAATTTTTGCAGCTCTTAATTTGCAATTGAGCCAATTCCGTAGCTTGCGACTAGTATTGCAATTCATTGCACAAGTACCTAGAGAAGAAGCCTTTGTTGGCCATAGTGTTTGAAGAAAATTCGGCAATAACTAAAACTAAAGAGAAAGCAAAATAAACACACCACCTATTTGAAATCCAATAGCAAAAATTATAAACCAAGAATGATTCTTGTGTTTATAAATTCATTGAGCACAACAACCTTGTATTTGGATTTAAGGGAGCAAAGCTTCACGTTAGAAAAAGGGAAAACGAGAGGGGAGAAGAAGAAGTTAAGGGAGACAGAGTAGAAGAAAGGTGAAGAAGGTACAAGAATAATTCTAGTTGCCCTTTGTGTATTCCTTATCATGCTTTATAGTTGGTATCTATAACAAACTAACGGAATACCATTTTTACAGCTTGCATATTCTCACTACATATAATAGACTCACACACTCTTTGTATAATTATAATCAGCATATTTTGCCGGCATTCTCCTTACACGAGTTCCTATTCCGTTGCTAGCATTTTGCGGGCTTGGTCGGGCTTGTTCTCGACTAGTTGTAGCGACTGCGAAACCCGGCTCGTAATATTGTTCTCCTCTTCAAGAGAAACCTTATCCTCAAGGTTGAAGGTTGGAAGATCCCGATAGAACTCATGAAGAGTTTCCCAAGTAGCATGAGAGGGTGATTGATGTTCCCATTGGATCAAAACCCGAGGACACACGTGACCTCGTTGGATAATTTTTCCGAACCCCAATACCGATGCTCGGTTTCGGAACATGGTGATGATCCATAAATTATTGTGGCAACGAGACTTGCTGAACCAACGGGTTTCCAATACATTTTTTTAGGTTAGAGACATGGAACACATCATGTATGAGTGTAGAGGGAGGAAGTGCCAGTCGATATGCTACGGACCCCACACGATCTATAATCCGGAAGGGTCCGAAAAATCGTTTGGAGAGTTTGTTAGATTGCCTATGAGCCAATGAAGATTGTCGATATGGTTGGAGTTTTAAGAAAACCTAGTCACCAATGACAAAAGACAGATCGGTACGCTTGTAATTCGTTTGATTCCGCATCCCGATCCGAGCTCGAAGCAAGTTTTCTCGAAGAGTGGTCGGCATGGCCGATCGAGACCGAAGCAACTCATCCACAACATAAATGGAATAAGTGTCACGCACATAGTCCATGAGTGAGGGAGGAAGTCGACCAAACACGGCTTCAAATAGGGTCATTTTAATAGTTGAATGCCGGGACGTGTTATAGTGCCACTCAGCCTATGGGAGGAATTGTAACCGCTATTTTGGGTGGTCCGAAGCAAAGCAGAGCGAGGTAATCCTCGAGACATCCGTTCAAGACTTCGGCTTGATTGTCCGTTTAGGGATTATAAGCACTGCTGGTAGAGAGAGTGGTGCCTGTGAAGTTTGAACAATTCACGCCAAAAGGACCTCATAAATATAGGGTCTCTTTCCGAAACGATGCTGGTTGGAAAACCATGAATGCAAATAATTTCACGAATAAAGACTTCAACAACTTGAGAGGTCGAGAAATGGGGTTCGAATGCGACGAAGTGAGCATGTTTGGATAGTTTATCCACCACTACCATTACCGATGTTTTACCGACGGAAGGTGGTAGGTGGGTCACAAAATCCATCGAAATGGAATCCCATATTTTGCTAGGAATGGCCAGCGGCTGGAGGAGTCCTCGGGGGCTTTATTAAAGGGTTTGATGGTCCGACACACAGCACACTTGGCCACAAAGGCACGCACTAATTGTCAAAGCTTAGGCCAGTAGAAGAGACTCACAATTTTAGCTAGGGTCCTCTCGTATATGAGCATGTCCTCCAACAGAGGAATTATGAAATTCCATGAAGATTAATGTTTGGATTGCCGAGTCGAAGGAATGAATATTCTCCCCTTGTACCATACTAATCCATCCTTTATCGTGTGTCGTGGGAACTCCGTAAGAGAGTTTTGAATGGAAGCAATTAGTTGAGCTGAGGGAGCATGGATCTTGTAAAACTCCCATAGTGCATTCCATAAAGCTATGAGAGGCTTGGAGGTCGTTTGTAAAGCAAGGAAGAAACCTTATGAAAGATGAGATAATGCATCTGCTGGTTTGTTCTCTACTTCGGGTTTGTAAATAGTGTCGAAATCATATCCGAGCGAACTTGGTTAACCACTTTTATTATTCGGGGGTTTGGATGGTTTGGTTATAGAGAGGTCTAAGACTCGATGGTCCGTCCGGATGGTAAACCAATGCCCAAGGAGATACCGGTGCCACTTTTTAATTGATTCGGTTATGGCCAACATCTTCCTAGCATAAGTAGATATAGCTTGCAAGCGTGGAGATAGCCCTTTACTAAAGTAAGCTAATGGGGTGTCCTTGTTAAGCTAGTATTGTCCTAATGCCAATGCCGGATGCATCGGTTTGTAGCACAAATGGCTCGAAAAGTTTAGAAGAGCTAGAACGAAGTGCTTGAAAGAGCTCGTTTCAATTCCTTAAACGCAAAGATAGCAGATGGTGTCCATATAAATGCATTTTTACATAGAAGTTGAGTAAAAAAAGCTATAATTGAGGAACACCTCGCTATAAATCGACGATAATAACCTATCAAGATAAGGCTTAAACTTTTAATGGAGTCGACAACTATCATTGATGGATAGTAGCCACCTTGTCGGGATCCACCGCAACACCCCTACCTAAAATCTTATGCCCAAGATACCGCAACTCCGAACGACCAAATTCACATTTGGATATTTTTACAAATAGGGAGTGGGATTGAATGGTGGTGAACACTACTTTCAAGTGCTCTAGATGCTTTTCCCAAGAGGGACTCGTATACTAGGATATCGTCGAAGAAGACTAGAACAAATTTACATAGTATGTTTTTGAAGATTGAATTCATCAAAGCCTAGAATGTTGAAGGAGCATTAGAGAGTCCAAAGGGCATCACTAAGAACTCATAGCGACCCTCATATTTACAAAGTGTCATTTTCTCAATGTCCCGTGGTTGAATCCAAACTTGGTGATAACCTACACGAAGATCAAGTTTAGAGAAAACACGAGCTTCATGAAAGTTCATCTAAAATTTCATCCACTATAGGAATTAGGAAGCAATCTTTGATTGTGACCGTGTTCAAAGCTCGATAATCAATGCAAAACAGCCACGAGCCATCCTTTTTCTTCACTAGAAGCACCGGTGATGAGAAGGGATTGGAGCCGAGCGAATCACCCATTCCGAAAGCATTTCACCTACCAGCTTTTCTATCTCGGATTTTTGAAAATGAGGATATTGGTAGGGATGAACATTTATTAAGGTTGTGTTTGGTAGTAATGGTATGTGATGGTCAATGGGTCTTTGAGGAGGCATATCGTTGGGGTTAGAAAAGTCGCTCCCAAATATGGAGAAAAGGTTATGTAAAGATGCAAGGAAAGTAGCGAGTGCAGCAGCTCCCGTAATAGGTTATGGAGAGGGCTTGATTGTGTCCTATGGAAAGATGGTAGTATTGGGCTACTAAGCAAGTTTGTGTGGAACATTTGAGAGTTTGTAGGTTGATATGGGCCAATGAGGGTTCGCTGTAATCTAAGGAGACAGATCTTAGAGCCTTGGTGATGGAATTCCATCCATAAAGATTTATAATCAAACAAAATAGGTCCTAGCTCGGATAACCACTGCACCCCTAGGACCAAGTCGAGCATCAGTATATGAGGAGGAGGAGCAAGTCTACTAAGAACTTGGCTTGGTCCAGTTGGAGAGGTGTTTGGAGGCAAGTTCCACTACGAGCCGTGGAGTCCCCGTTGCCCACCGTGACTTTGAGGTGGGAAGAGGGCTGGATGGGTAGGCCCAAATGTGAGGCTAACCTTGTTTGTATGAAGTTATTTATGGACCCCCTATCTATTAGCACTATGACCGGTTGTCCATTTATTGAGCCTGCAAGTTTCAATGTGGAAGAGACCATTTGGCCGATGAGAGTATGGAAAGAGATCTAGGGTTCCATCTCGCCGTCGTCACCTATACCCATAAGATGAGTGGTGTCCGCCGATGTTTCATCGTTTGTTAGATCTCGTATCGGGGGCTCATCATCACACACTCAACCATAAGGCAAAAGAATTGGAGAGGTTTGTATTGGTGTCCTAGCATAAACTTTTCATCGCAATTGAAACAAAGCCCCTTCTCCCTTTTAGCAACCATTTTTGGTAGAGTAAGGCATTTAATGGGGAAGGGGGTTGGTTTGGGTTGTGGATGAGTATGAGTGGGCTAGAAATTTCTTGATAGATTTGGGTTCGATGGTAAAGATGGGGAGCGTTAGAATGGTGAGAAGGAGGTGTGTATTTTGGGTGGGTTTGCTCTGGTTATTAGTCGTTCTTGTAGCGTTATATTTATCTTTCACTAACCTAGCCATTCCCATGGCTTCATGGAGGGACTCGTGGCTTGAGGAGACATAGCTCCCGTTGAAGGTCATCTCTCGGACCCGAGATGAAGCGAGCTTAGCAGATTGGTGTGGCTAAGCCCGGTGATGCTAGAGGAGATGGTCCCAAACTCGGATAAATAATTAGCGACTATGGTGAGTTATTTAAGCTTGTAAAGTTGAGTTTCATGGTTGATGAATTTGGAATGCCCAAACTTGAGTTCTAATTGTTGGGTAAAATCCTCCCAAGTGGACGGTTACAATGTTGAGTCCATCAATTGGAACCATTGCATTGTTGTGCTTGTCATGTAAAAGGCTCGCTATTATCAACTTTTGATTTGGTGGGGTATTGTGAAAAGTGAAAAAGTGCTCAATCTGGAATAGCCATACTTAGACATTGGCTCCAGTGAACAATGGTATCTCCGAGTTTGGGTAGTCATGGTGTGGCGAGTGTGGAATAGTTCAACTATAGATATAGTGAAGTTATGATTGTTGGGTGGATTGCTAACGGGGTGATAAGAGGCGGATGGTGTATGTTGTGGTGATCTAGGTAAGTTATTTAGAAGAGGGAGAAGGGGAGGCTGAATAGGTTGTTTCTCCTATTTGGTTAACTTGAGCATCATGTAATCCATAATTGTCTCGTTGGTTAGAGATGGAGTTTTGAAGTTTCTCATAAGTTTCAAGGTGTTGTTGTTGTAGTTGATCAAATGTAGCTAAGTGTTGTTGGCCAATGGTATCAAGTCTAGAAATCATGGATGATTGATGGTTAAGTTGATCGGATAACTTAGCGATTTGGTCTTCGAGTGCCTTTACATGAGTCACTATACCCTCTATCATGGTATTCGATCGTTCTCAATGAAAGCACAAAAAATGGTGCAACCTTGTATTTGGATTTAAAGGAGCAGAGCTTCATATTAGAAAAGGAAAAACAGAGGAAAGGAAGAAAAAGTCAAGGGAGACAGAGTAGAAGAAAGGTAAAGAAGGTATGAGAATAATTTTGGTTGCCCTTTGTGTATTCCTTATCATGCTTTATAGTTGGTATCCGTAACAAACTAACGTAATACCATTTTTACAGCTTGCATATTCTCATTATATATAACGGACTCACACACTCTTTAGTGCAATTATAATCAATGTATTTTGTCGGCATTCTCCTTACACGAGTTCCTATTATGTTGCCAACATTTTGTAGGCTTAGTCGAGCTTGTTCTCGACTAGTTGCAATGGCTACGATAACTCGGCATGTAACATATTCTTGTGTTTATAAATTCATTGAGCACAAGAGTCGTACCATATTGCATACCGGATGAGATTTTAGAAATCCACTAGATATGGCATTACCGTATCGGTTGAACGCTTAATCAATATATTTAGGGTATAAACACTATGGGTAACTCCAAACAAATCTATTTGATTGCACAAAGAAACAATAGTGGAATACCGTTTCTTTTTGGAAAATGTCTTTAACAATTTGCCAAATTCCACAATAGAAGGCCTAGGATTCATGCGAAAGATGTGATTAAAAAAAGCCAAGGCATCATCACCGAGTACAATTGTTGTTATTGCTATTAGTACTAAGAAACCCACCATCTCTTTTAGGCAAATAAGGTTCATTGGTAGAAGTAGAAGTAGAAGTAGTAATGTGGTAATGATTAAGGACAAAGACGAAAAGCAAATTAGGAAAAGAAATAGAAATACCCATTTGCATATGTTGTAGTAGCTCTAAAAGCGCTTTTTCAAATAATCACCATCGTCATCGGTGTTCTTCGACAAACCCGCTCAACTCTCTCTCCGTCTCTTCCGTTATGTCTTCTTTTTGCACAAATCAATAGACAATATTTCCTTTTGAAGCCCAAAATTTAGAAATAAAACAATAACGAGCCCGACCTAATTACAAAATGAGAAACATCTTGACAAACCCATTTCTTTTTGTCAAAACCCCTTTTTTTTTAATCATTGTAATCAACATCAATCAATTATAAGAACCAAGCCTAATTTATCAACAACTAAATCTAATTAATTCAAAACAATTTTAATAAAAAAAATACTCAAGTAAAATTAAAAAAATACCTAAAAATCATAACACCAAAACAAAAATAAAATAAAATGCATATTTCATACCTAAAAATTATAATATATATATAAAAAAATTATAGGACATTTAATGTTTGTGTTTCATACCTACTAGAGAGGTGGCGGGAGTGAGAGGTGGTAGAGGAAACAATGATGTTTTTCGGAAAGGAGACGATGAGAGTGGTTGTGGATTGTTGGAGAGTGGAGTAGTGGGATTTGTGAGGTATTTTGAGGGGTGTTGTAGGCCGCAGCGATGCTTCGTGGAGGCTGCAGCGAGAGGAGGACAGGGAGAAAGAAGAAGAAAATGAAGAAGAAAGAAAATTTTATCAATTTGGGGATTTAACTTCAGCAACGAACGCGACTTTTATCGTTGATTTTAAATTTAAAACAAGGGTTTTTTTTTATCAAAATAGTAATTGGCATGATCCGTTACTATTATTTATAAAGTTAGTGATGAACATTATTCATCTTTGATTTGCGACAAACTAAAGGAATTAGCAATAAAGTACTTCGTTATTAAAAAAAGTAGAAAAAATCAAAAAATAACAACGAACTGAATGATCCGTTACCGAGTATTCTCACAATTCAGTTGCTAATCAGCAATTAAAACAATCATGAATACTTTGTCATCTTATTTAACGACACACCAAACACTAACTACGCATATACTAATTTAATTAAAATCCACAAAATCAATTGATAAACTTAATTCACATATAAGACACTAGTGTTTTTTTAATCACTAGATCTAGGCGCGCACACGGAACAACACTAACCCACGACTTTACACACTGCACCCCACAAACACAAGCAAGCATTCTATGCCCCTATATTTATAATTACCATAGCCGACCCTGTAAGTTCTCAACTTTTAAGGACTTCATTACCGACTCAACCTTAACCAATTATCATGCGGATTGGTCTTGGTTTAACTTACAATAGGCATAAAGTCTGGAAAGAATAAAAGTTAATCTGGACATAAGTTTGAAAGATAAAATACCTTTCAAGCAACAAAAGTTTTGAAGCAACAAGCTTATAAATAAAAGTCTTTTATCAGACCATTTAGTAGTAAAAGTCTTTTATCAGTCGAGGTATTAAAAAAAAAATGAAAGAAAGAATCCGTTACCAACATGTTTTTAAGTAAGAATTTTATGAGGCAAAAGCTATGCCAATACCTGAACATCAATCCAAGTAATTGTAAAAGCTTGTCAAGAAGCACGCGAAGGCAAAAAACTTGTCAAGGTATTGCTTACCTGATAATAATAATAATAATAATAATAATAATAATAAAAGCTTAGTAGGTTAACTTGATTGTTCTGTAAATTCTAGCCATTTCATCGATCTAGCGTGCCAGTATATATAACAATGTTTATTACACCAACCAACTACTTTTTTTCATGTGTCACATCTCATCAATATATATTTTTGACGTTAACAATCAATTTATACATATTTGAATCAAGATAACAGAATTTTGTGGATTTAACGTTATTCACTTTGACCAAATTTTTATTCGAGCTTATGAAATTGTAGGAAAACATTTTCCATTTCTAGATGCTCTTTTTTTTAAAAAAATTATAAAAAATATAAGCATATCTATTTGTTTCTTATATTTGGTTTCATTTTAATATGCTGTTGTTAAAGAATATGGTGACCAACTAAAGAGTACGATATTGAATTATCTTAATTTTTGTTGTCTACTCTCCAATCTAGTATTTTTTTTTTTTTTCACATCTCAACAAAATTCCAAGATAGATTCGAAGAAATTTTGACCATAAACAGGAATGATTCATATGACCTTTAAAAGGTATTCATGAAATATGATATAACATTCATATTGTTTTTTTTTTAAATAAAAACTTTACTAGTAATTATTTTGATTTAACCGGTTTTTTTTTTTTCAATTTGATCACTTGAATTATATATTTTAAATACCAAGCAATTACATAATATCTCCATTTATTAGATTTGTCGTTAAACTATCGGTAACAAACACCAAAATTTATAACGAATGACCGGTAATCTAAGGAAGTGAAAGAGTTGATTATATACTTGCTTATATATATATATATATATATATATATATATAGAATACCGAAATATTACTACGATACCGTTCCAATAAAAAATCTGGAACAATTAGTAAAAAAAGTTACAACTATTCTTCAAAGTCAATGGAGGGCCATTCTCATTCGTTGAAAGAGCAAGGCAGTGACATGTTGGAAAAGGAGTCCTTTAGAACCACAATGTCTAATGGGCCAGATTCTGACCTCTTACCTACTAGCCCACTTAGGCAGAGCTAATTTGGTTGAAAAAAGAGTTAAACTGGTTGTAATGTCTTAGATTCATTAACATCCATATAAATTTGAATGTATTTATATCCAAACTGAAACTTAGAATTCTCTCTAAAATGGGTATAATTAGATGCAAAGATACCGCATAAACTAACCCAATTAGAAGGAATCGCAAAAGTTAGTTAAAATTCTTATAAAATGACTCCTTTCCCAAATGTGCAAATTTGTCTTCGTTTTCTGTTTTCAAATTTTGCAAAAGCAAAATAATAAGATGGAAATACAAAATAATACTACCATTCCGTACTTAACTAAGCATAGTTTTCATTAGATGAAATTAAAGAGATTCATGTCAATCATGTCTAATACGTTCAAAGAAACAAGTATAATACAAAGTTGGGTACAGACGAGTGGTCAAACCTTGTCCCCAACCCAGGAACCCATGCAAGGTAGTAGAACTGTAGTCATTATCAGTCAACACCACGTGAATTTAGACTCTGACCATGGATCAAGGCTCAAACCATCCTCCCTTGTCGGCCACCGAGTTAACCCTTCGCATATATTCGACTTTCAAGGGAAGAATACACGACTAGTGAAGCTTTATTATTTTTATCAGTCAACGTCTTATTGATGAAACTTTTGTGAGTAAATTATTAGTCCCTCTAGTTTCACAAAATGAATTCAGTAGTCCTTCTAGTTTGAGAAACTAATTAATTAGTCCATTTCTTCTATTTCACATCCTTTTTCAATTTTTTTTTAAGAAATAGAAAAGCTAAAAAAAAAATGTCATGGACATATTGATAAAAAAAGATTTATTTTTTTAAACTAAAGAGATCATTTAATTCGTTTTGCAAAACTAAAGGAATTACTAATTTATAATTTACTCAACTTTTATTCATTCATAAAAAATAAAAATCAAAAGTGGAGCATACTAAGTACTGTTCCAAGTTTCCAATACTTAACTTTGTTTAACTATATATACAATATGCTAATAAGAACTCTTATTAAATGGCAATGAGTTGTTTGTATTTACAAAAAAAAGTCCCGGTTAAAAAATATCAATCAAAAAACCATAATAGTCCCTCAACTTAACTTATAGTGGTGATACTCATACCTGAATGATAATTGTGAATTGACCAAAATATAAATACAATAATATACTTTTCAAAAGAATAAAATTCTCCGGTCATCTCAATCCGTCTTAGTAGAAATCATTCAATGATGCAAGAAAAATCATCTAACCGGTAGGACCATGACGTCCAACGTCCATGAACTTACACTTCTGATTTATCTCCTAAAGAAATTTTCAAAGACAAAAATAAAGACATGGCCTACCAATTCTGTCCTGCTTCAAGAACTTTTGGTTATAAATACAATCCTGTGAGATGCATTCTAACACACCACCAACACATCCTTCTGATACAAACTTTGCTAATGGCTTGTGCAATCTTCATTCTCTTCATCACCATTTTCTCTTTCTTAAGTCCAAGCTCTGTTGCTTATGCACAAAACGATACGCTCAAACAAGGCCAGCTGCTCCGGGACTATGAGCAGCTAATTTCTGCTGGAGGGGTCTTCAGGCTGGGATTCTTTAGCCCCAACCCAAATGTAGGCTTGATCGGTACAGCTGGTGCCCGGTACCTGGGAATATGGTTTGAAGATATACCAGTTTACTCAGTATGGGTGGCCAACCGAGACAGCCCAGTTCCTGATTCCTCTGGTGCATTAACCATAGGTAGTGATGGAAAACTGAAGATCACATACCAAGGAGGCCCAACAATAGTTATAAACTCAACTGTTGAATCAACAAAAAATTCAAGTGGCAACATTACTGCCACGCTCCTTGATTCAGGAAACCTCGTCGTGCGACAGGTTGATTCTGATGGGATACCAGGATCTGTTTTGTGGCAGAGTTTTGATTACCCACATAACATTTTATTGCCTGGAATGAAACTAGGCATGAATCTCAAGACCGGACGGAACTGGACACTTACTTCTTGGTTAAGTGAAAAAGTTCCCGCCCCTGGTGCATTCAGGCTAGGCCTGGATCCGAGTGGTGCTAACCAGTTACTTGTTTGGCGGCGAGATGAGATTTACTGGTCAAGTGGTGTGTGGCAGAATGGAAGTTTTCAATCGGCACCTGAGCTAACTAGGGTAAATGATGTATATGATTTCAAGTTTGTAGCAAATGGGGAGGAACGTTATTTCTCATATTCTATCAAGGAGAGATCTATTTTATCCAGGTGGGACTTGGACACATTAGGTGAAGTTACAGTGTTGACTGTGGACAAACGAGATGGTCATAGTGGGTGGAGATTTGAAACTTCTGGTGCATGCAATTACGATTTCAAGAATTCAACTTCAGTTTGCCTAACTGAGAAGCCTATTAAGTGCAGGAATGGTACTGAATCTTTTGTGCCCAAGAGAGGGTACATCGATTTATCTCAGTCTTGGTATGATTCTGATACAAGCTTGGCTCTTAGTGATTGTCACGCCCGATGCTGGAAAAATTGCACCTGCGATGCCTATCAGGCTTTAAATCCTAGTGATGGCATCGGTTGCCAGTTTTGGAGCAATGTATCAAGCTTCACCCCTAGTGACAACTTGGAGTTTGTTTACCTTCTTACTAATGAAAGCAACGAAGGTAGAACGGTTTAAGGAATTATATTTGGGGAAAAGAAAGAATGAAAAATATTATGAAATAAAGGAGGCAGTTGAGCCTGGAGAGATATTAGCTAGAAAAATGACCCTTCTAGTGGTTCTTAATATAAAGAATGATTTTTCATTTTCCAATCATGTTTTTGTTATCGAAAGTTTCTATATATAGAAACATTTTCCGGTGAAATATTATGAAATTCTGTTGTTATTTTTCATTGTGAGAAACATTTTCCTGTGATGATAATGTCTAGAAGATTATATATATATATATATATTTGGCTCTTTGAGAGACCATAGGAGCATTGATTATACATTGTTTCTGGAATTGGAATCAATAATATAACTGCTTTTAATAGAATCATCTAAAGTATAATATGGTGGAAGAAATATACATATAAAAAAAGACCTACAATGCTGGATCGAACTAGAAAATAAGAAATTATCTCCAAATTATAATTTTCGAATAAATTTACAGATAATATATATATATATATATATACAAGATAACAAGGTATCTTCGAATAAGTTTTTTCATTAACGAAGACTGTATATCTATATTTATTACTTTCTGAACTTATCAAATATTAGAACACGCTCTTTCATTGACCACTACACAACAAGACTAGGATTGAATTAGTTAAGAAAGTTAGGAACAACTAGCTATCTTGTCCATTGTTTGGTATATTTTGAAATACGCTGTGCAACTTTTATTTTATTTTTGTCTATATTTTGTGTTAGGTAAGTATGGTATCCAACAAAACAACATGTCAAAAGGATAACAATACACTACTCTCTTATGCATATAATACAATTAGTAATCTTTTATATATATATATATATATATATATATATATAAAAAGGGTGTTCAAGTCATAGAAATAACTAATTTATTATTTTGATAAATATTTTATATAATTTATGTTAAGATAAATCCTATTATATTATATTATTTAGTTTTTACTTGTTTCATAAATAAATTTTTATTTTTTATTGAAATATTTCCTTTTTATAAGTTTTATAACAAAAATAATAAATGATCTTCAATTCATAAAAAGTAACTACTTTATTTATTTATTAAAATATTATTAATATTAAATATATTAATATCTTTATTTTTAAAATAATTATCATTTTATCAATATATTCATTACTTTCATAACTAAAATAATTTTAAATTTCTCTCTCACACCAACAACTTTAAACTCCACATTTTCATCAAAAAAAAAAAAAAACCAGCCTCTTTAGTTGTACTGTACTAGAAACAGAGAAAGGGAGAGGGATGTTAGCAACTTTGACTTGTATGGAGAGAAACAAGAGGGGAGAGTTTTTAGAGCAAACCTGAAAAAGTCCCCCAACTATGGATCTTATCTTGATTGAGATAATGAAGAATTTTTCACTCAATTGGATCCTTAAAATATTAAAAAAAAATTCCCAATTTAGTTTCCCATCAAAACAACTTTCCACAAATTTTTCATAAAAAACTTTACATTTCCTGCAAAACAACTTCGTTTATTCGAAAAATACAATTTGGATGGACTGCTCCGGAACTACGAGCAGTAAATTTCTGCTGGACGAGTTTTCATGTTGGGATTCTTTAGCCCCAGCCCAAATGTAGGCTTGATCGAACTGCTGATGCCCGCTACCTGGAAATATGGTTTGAACATATACCAGTTGATTAAGTATGGGTGGCCAACCGACTCAGCCCGTTTCCTGATTCCTCTGGTGCATTAACAATAAACAGTGACGGAAAATTGAAGATCAAACACCAAGGAGGCCCGCCGATAGTGATAAACTCAAATGTTCAAGCAGTAAAAAATTCAGGTGGCCACATTACTGCCACGCTGCTTGATTCTGGAAACCTTGTCGTGCGACAGGTTGATTCTGATCGGATACCAGGACCTGTTTTCGTGGCAGAGTTTTGATTATCCACATTACATGTTACTGCCTGGAATGAAACTAGGCATGAATCTCAAGACTGGACAGAACTGGATACTTATATGCTTCATAGTTAAGTGAAAAAGTTCCAGCTTCTGGTGAATTCTGGCTAGGCCTGGATCCAAGTGGTGCTAACGAGTTACTTGTTCGGCGGCGAGATGAGATTTACTGGTCAAGTGGTGTGTGGCAGAATGGAAGTTTTCCTTCAGCGCCTGAGCTGACAAAAGGAAATGACATGTATGACTTCAAGTTTGTGGCAAATGAGGGGGAAAGTATTTCTCCGATTCGATCAAGAAGATGTCTATTTTATCCAGGTGGGACTTGGAGACCTTAGGTGAAGTGATGACACTGGTTGCCAGTTCTAGAGCAATGTATCAATTAAGCTTCACCCACTAGCGACGACTTGAAGTTTGTTTACCTTCTTGCTTCTTACTAACGAAAATAATGGAGGCAATAGAATCTGAGGAATAGTACGTGGGCAAGTGAAAAATATAGGAAATGAGCCTTGTTAACTCTTTAGGTTGTCTTGATTAATGGACGGTTTTTCCTTTTCCGATCCTGTTTTAGGTTTTCATCGTTCTACACGATGTCTTTGAAAGGATGAAGTTCATGTCTATGTTGCCACAGAAGCTGTAATAAAGTGTGTATATATCAACATTAAATTTGCTATTGCACGTGCAAATATTTTTAGAATTATACTAAAAATGAGCACATACTTAAATTTATATGAGTTTTTGAAGACCATTAAAAAAAAATTGACCTCATTCAAATTATTTTTTATAATTTTATAAATATTTAATGTTTAAAAAAATTTAAAAAATAATTTTTGATCTCAAGAAATTTTCAAATTATTTTTTAAAATAGATTGAATTTTTATTAGCATACGTGGAAAATTTTAGATCAGATTATTGAAAAATAAAATTTTTAAAAGGGGTTTTTGGTATATGATAATGGAGAGTAATAAACCAAGAACAAATGAGAGACATAATTACATATTGTTGAAAAGTGAGAAACTAAGTTATAATTGTATTGAAAACTTACAGATGAAAGAAAAAATTACTCCTTTTCCAATCAATAAATCATATAATCATTTTTTTTTCTTTTTCTCTTTTTCGGAGAATATCTCTTTTTCCAGGTTTCCATCACGAATTCACACCATGGAACAAACGACAAGTCATAAATCCATCAACACGACAAGCCATCCACCAATTCTAAAACATCATAAAAGTGTGCAAACTACTTGTCGTTACCTGGAATTCCCAAAATTAGAAGCCCAGGGCAACAAGACTGGAGTATCTATTAGATCTTGTCTCTGTCCCCATAATCCGCTGCCTCTTTCTCTATCTAGGCAAAACAACAAACACAAAGAATGCAAGAAGAGCAAGAAGAAGAGATGGTGACACCAGGAGAAATACTAGGCAAAGCAACGGAAGTAAAACCAGGAAAAGGAGCCTACATAGGATCATACCGCAACACTGAAATACAATACGTCTTCTCTTCTCTCACCGGTCTCCGCCGCACTCTATCTCCTCCTCCTGACTCTCCTGACCAGGTACTTCTTTTTCCTTTTTTTTTTGTGGTTTAAGTTCTAAGTTTTACTATTCTTTTGATTGTGGAAAGTTGGTTCTTGAAACCAGAAAGGAAAAAATTGAAACTTTTGTTTTTCTTTTTCTTTTTTTTTACTATACGGTTAATGTGTATTGTGAATTTGAGTGGCGTTTTTTTTAATTCGAATATTTTAGATGTTTTGGTCTATTGGGTATTAGTTTCTCTCCGTTTTTCTTTATGGGTTTTTGCTAGTTCCCTTTTTTTTTTTTTTTTTAAAAAGTGGTGCTACGGTAGAGAATGTAAGATATTGAAAGTTTTGAGCTTTGGTTGTTAGGGATGAATATAAAAGTTTGGTTCCTTGTGGTAATTTGCTTGTTGAGAAGTTGGAGAAGGGGTGAAGTGAGATGAAGGGATAAATTTTTTGAGTATTGCTATGTAATGAAAGGAAATCATATATGCTAAAATGCAAAGAGAGGAAGCTAAATATCTGTTTAAGGAACTAGGTTTTTTTCTCTACGTACATTTAAAGCTCAATATTCTTTGAAAGAGGTAATCTAATTGACTCATTCTAGTACTGAAAACGCATATGAGATGATGCAAGGAGGGAAACCAGAAATTAATGGGTTCATGCTGAATCATGTTTTATGATGTATTGACAAGCCATGTCAGCAGATACAATTTCTCAAGTTTTTGAGTGTTATACCTTAATTAAGCACATGATAATCTTGGTATGTTTGGTTTTTTTGTTGAGAATTGGAATTATTGCAGAGACCAACTGTTGAAGTAACTGGACACAAGGCCCATGGTGCTGTTCCGGAACCTGGATGTGTTGTCATTGCCAGAGTAAGTTTATCATTTATCCTCTTTACTTTTTATTTATTAAGCGCTTTGGTATGTTTGTTTAATTTTATGATTTGTGGTTTTGTGATTTTGATAGGTTACTAAAGTGATGGCTAAAACAGCTTCAGCTGATATTATGTGCGTTGGTCCTAAGTCTGTGCGAGAGAAGTTTACCGGCATAATTAGGTATGGGCATTGTTGTTTGTTATCTTATTTCTCTTAATTGCTTCTTTTATTTGTTTGATCTTAGCATGCTTGTATTGAGAAGTTAATAGTACATAAAAATAGCGGATAACTCTTTATTTTAACAGACAACAAGATGTAAGAGCAACTGAGATTGACAAAGTGGATATGCATTTGTCATTTCGGCCTGGTGACATCGTCAGAGCTCATGTTGTATCCTTTATACTTGAAGTTCTTTTACTTTTCTGCTATAAAGATCTTTGCATGCACATGAATTGTGGTGTTAAGGGGCACAATTTTGTATATCAATTCCAAATAAGCTTATTATTATAACAAAATAGGAAGTTGTTCCTTGATGCATTCCTGTTAACAAGTTATCACTTGGAGATGCACGGGCTTATTATCTTTCAACTGCGAAGAATGAATTAGGTGTTGTGTCTGCAGAGAGCGCAGCAGGTAAGCTTAAACTAGATTTATTGTTTAGAAAATATTCGTATTCATTTTGAAGTAAAAATGAGATAGAGCATCCTATCTGTTGCATTTAACAGTCTGTGCTATTCAGTACCTGTTTCTTCTTTTTAAAACTCAGTGGTGATTGTGCACCTGTATTCCATTAATGTGGAGCTCTTGTCATTTGTCTCCTTATTCTAATTTATTTCTCCATATTCTGGTTTCTTTTCTGCCTTGCTGCTTTCATAGTTTGCGGGTACATCTATCAAACACAGTTACCTTATTGTGAGAAGGCAAGTGTTAAATCTCTCTGCAGTCCTTTTAGCATGAACAAGTGGACTCTGATGGTTGTTGTTTAGTATTCCCTAGGGGTTAACATATCAGCTTGTACTGATTTTTTTTTTTTTTTGATGCCAATGCACTCTGATTGAGATGCAATTTTTGCAATCTTGTGATATGGATGAGCAAGATGTGGAGCATGCACCAAAACCTTTTTGTAACCTGGGCTAATGGACACACATTTTATCCTTGCACTTGCTTCAAGCTCTTTTTCCAAAGTCCTGTTTTCCACCATAGATGCATTCATCAAACACCATTTTATTCTCAGCAAGCTATAGAGATGCTTTTATTTATTTATTTGGGTCCATATTCTCAGAAAGTGAGCAACGGTCAGGTTAATTTGGTTATGAGATTGTTATACTGTAAATTATCCGGTATGGAACAGAAAAAAGGTGAAGAGTATCTAATGAAAACATCTCTTTGAACTCTGATCTAAATTTCTGATGGAATCCAATGCCTTGAAGTGACTTAAAACCACATAAAGTACTGTCAGTTCACTTTCAAAACTAATAAAAGTACTGTTCTTTCATATTACTCTGGCAATTTGCAATCTACTTTTTACCAAAAGGGGAGAGAATCTTTCTATGGAATTAAGTTACCATAAATTTGGCAACAAATTCATGCTAGAAATATCTATGTTATTGATAAGAAAAGAGAGCCATCTCCGATTCGAAGTCTTCTTCTAGGTCCTAGGCTGCCAGTGCCATCTTTGGTGACAGTAAATATGAAAACATTCATGATCGAATTCACTGCATAACTATTTGCTATATTTTATGCTGCATATTAATCCTGCATGGAATGGGTTTTCTATCTTCTTGAGAACAAATCAAATAGGTGAATGCATTGATTTTCTTTGATGTGTTGGTGATTGTTGTAGGTGCAACAATGGTTCCCATAAGTTGGACAGAGATGCAATGCCCATTGACAGGCCAAATTGAACAAAGAAAAGTCGCTAAGGTTGGAAGTTGAATACACCGAGTAGTCAAATAGTGTCGTTACATGTAACTTCTGCTGAAATCTTTTTATAGAGGAAGTGCTATTAGAATTTGCAATTAGTTAGGGCAGAAGCAGTTTTTGTATTTGGTTCGAGATATATTGTTCTAGTTCTGGGAGTGCCCCATCTGCAAATTACAGTATGTGTTGTGACAATTCGAAGAACAGACAATTTGCTGGATCTCCCTGTGCTGAGCCATTGTTATCAATGCAGCAATTCACCGAACAAGTCTTGATTTTTCTTTTAGATTATATTGCTCTATGCTTTTGTCGTCTCTGCTATGTAGGTGAAAGATCGTGCTATTTTTTGACACTCCTAATTTAGTAGAGGCGATCTTTCAATCCACAAGAACGGGTTAAACCATCAATTTTTTATCAGCTCATTCTGCAAGTGGTTTTTTCCACAAGTTTATTCTGAAATTCAAACCCAATATTCTGCAAATAACTAATTTTAAGACCAATATCCTGATGTAAGTTTTAGCTGGGAAATGCTTTTCAAGTCTCTATGCCGTTCGATTTCAAGGTACAGTTGCAAAAAAAATATGGCTACATTATGCTCCATTCTTTCTTTCTTTATCTTGTTTTGTCTTGTTTTATTGAAGAGAATTTTGCTCCATTCTTTTCTTCAAGAGAAATTGGAATTTTTAGTACACTGCTTTGGCGTTTAAGATAGCAAATGAGTGCGACTGATTTTGTCCAATGATATATTTTGAGGGGAAATATGGTTACAGCAATGGTATACGTGGGACCTATCCCATCATTTCCACAATTTTGAGTTATGCCCTTTCATAAAAAGGAAAGAAAAAATCATTACAAATCCTTGGTTGGAAAACATCAAAATTCTTTGTAAACAAAAAACCAATACAATCAAGCCACCTTAAAGAACATTGAGAAAAGATAAATCTGCTTTTAATGGAACAAAACAAAAAGCCACCTTATCCAAAATCATGTTTTGGGTCCCTGAATAGACCCAAAACCTCCATAGACCTCACAAGTGTCATGATTTTGATGCCCCAGCTCAGATATTCTTCTTTCTTTTGTAGAACACAGTCCTTTAACGGTTTATTTAACTACCTCTAACTACCAGGACCCTAGTTGCTGACACATTTAACTGAACTGAAACACAAATGCCTTCTTTTTTCTTCTCCTTCAACCTCTCCCAACTCTCTTTTCTCCCTCTCCTACCCTTCTATTTCTCCAAAATCCACACCATGTCCCTTCTCTAACCTCTCTTAAAAAACCCACAAAAATTCTCCTTTCAAAACCTCTCAAAATCCCAACTTATGCTCTCACAGAATCATCAGACTCTCCTCAATCTCTTGACCCTTCTCCGCAACTCCTCCTTCAAGAGCTCTCTGTAAGCTCCCACATACTCATTTAGATATACAATCATATATGTGTATGTACTATTATGTTTTACATTTTCTGAATTTGTCTTTTGTTGTGTTCTTGTGGGGTTGCAGGATTGCTTCGATCTTCCACCAGATTATTTCCAACAATTACCCGGTGATCTTCGATTAGATGTGAGTTGAATTTGTGTTATTTATTTATTTATGTACTTTAGTAGTCCATTTTGTTAGAGGCTGTTTTATTGGTCAATTGAGAGAATTTGTGTTGGTTTTATATTTGCATTTGTAGTTAAATGATGCAGCTTTTGATCTTTCAAATGGACCGGTCCTTGATGAGGTTAGTTGTTCTTGGTTGTTGCTTTGATGTTAAATGATCCAAAGAAACATGGGTCTTGTTTTTATTGAGTTTACATGTTATGAAGTGTTGGGAATTAATGGTTCTTGTTTGCTGGGAAATTGCAAAGTTATGGTTCATTGGAACTTGAATTTTGTTTTTTTTTTTTTTCACACTGAGCCTTCAATGATTGATACTGGGATATTGTTGTACTTCTAGAAATCATTAACCTAGCAATGGATTTCTTTCTGTATGTCTGTATCTATAAGGCCAAAAAGAAAATTCTTCATGAGGATGTCAGCTCACATGAAAACCAAATTCTTAATTGATTGTTTTCATACTCCACTGGTTTAATTACGAATGAGAAGCACAATATACCAAACAGCAGGACTCCAGTCTGGTAGTCCTTCGAGCTTAAAGAATCTGTAAAAAAATCCATTACAGTACATAATAAAGCTGGCATAGTTATGTTTGAATGATCTGGTATGATAAGATATAGTGTTAATACTGGGATAGAGTGTAAACATTGAGTGGTTGCCAAGTTTGATTTTAATTATTCGTTTGACTTTTGTAGTTCCTATCATTTTTTTCGTACCAATTTGTTGCAATAAGAACTGCAGGTGTATGTCAGCAGTTGGCTTTCACCTAATTCTCATTTTAGACTTCCTCTATGTTTGTCTATATTTGTACAGTTGCTGATTACAATGAAAAGCATTTTTTTGCTGAAACTACTTTTGGCTGTAACTTTTTAGTGTGGTAAAGAGCTGGGAGAAATCTTGTTAAATCTCTCTCGAGCATGGGAGCTGGCTGACACATCAACTTCCAGAACTTTAGCAAGCAAGTTGCCTATGCTGGAGAGCTCTTTAACAAACAATGCTAAATCAGGCAAGAATAGGAGCATTCATAACTGACATTGGATGCATGGTTTAGATTTTCTTCTGAATCTGAAGCTTGAACTCTCCTTTTTTATGCTGGTTTAGCATTTGGCAAGCGTTTGGTATCTGCTGGAAGAAGGTTCCAATCCATGGGACAGTATGGTCAGGGTGAACTGCAAAAGGTACTTCATCTAACTTTAAAGCTCATCTTGTGCTTTCATTATTGGTATTTATGTTGAAAAAAATGTAGTGGATACAGTATGGTCTGGTGAGAGTACGCAAAATGTATTGTTGAAAAACCTTTTGTAGTGGATACAATATGTGGGATAAAAAAATCAACTTCGTAATTAATGGTACTATTTTTGCGTTTAGTTTTTAACTTGTATCAGCGTCAATTATTCTTGTGAATTTCTTCTTCAAAAGTTAAAATTGAAGAACAATTTGTCTCAAGAAAGGAGCATGACAAGATGTTAATTTGAAACTATTGACGCACAATCACTAGCAGTTATTCTGTTGCTGCTTTGCCACATTTGACTATGTTGACTTGTCTTGTAGTTGCTCGAATTCAAACTATATGTATTTTTTTTCTTTTTCTGATTTTTGAATAGAATTGTGAAGGATTTCTGTATCTCAGCACAATTGCAAAGGTTCACAGACTGCATTTTTGGTTTCCTTTCTTGTGCTATTTTGAGTTGAAGATTCTATGCTGGATCAATGTTTTTGGATTGTGGAAATTGATCTATTTAGAAGATACTTTCAGTTAGCAAATTACTTGTCCGAGATCAAACTTTTGCTCCCTCTACAAAAGAAAAATAGTAATATTCTAGTTGCTATTGGAAAGCTTTGTTAAAATAACTAGGAATGGATTTATGCCAATTGTAGTATATCACATCTCAAATTTATTATCTACTCTTTGCTGGCTCATCAACATCATTCCCTTTTAGATGTGACGTTAGTTACACTGGAGATTGTGTTTCTGAAGTAACGCAATTGATTTAATGCCATTCAACCATTATAGATTGCACAAGCAATGATTACAACGGGAAAGCTTCTTTCTGCAAGTTCAATACCAACAGAAAGTGATGAAGAACCGAGTAAAGAAACAAGAGTCTTCAAGGTAGACGATAACCCCCTGTTATTGTGATGTTACCTCAAAGAGATGCATTACAAATAAAAATATGTAACAAGCAATCTTAATCCCATCTGCAGTTTGGAGATCTACAGGTTGAAATAACACCAGAGAAAGCTAATATTGGGGCTGTCATTGGACTTGCATTTGGGTAAATATTCCATATAAAGTGTCAGTTCCATTTTTCAACATTTTATTTTACAACAAAGAGAAGAAACATTTTTAAACATCCAATTTTGAAATGTAGGATTCTTTCATGGGAACTAGCTCAAGGCATTCAAAGCATTCCAGAGAGTTCATTGGAGTATGCAAATGACAATGCTTTACTGCTGGCTAAGGTTCTGGAAAAATGGGAAATGGATTTTTATTGCCTCTGTTCCTTTTATAACCTATCGATAATTAAGGCACACTAAAACCTGAAATTTTCTGGATGCAGTCTCTAAGAGGAGCTCTACTTGCCCTCTGCTACTCATCAACAATTCTGTCTGCTTTTACTGCAGCGGGACTTCTCTTACTTGCAAGACGACTTAAGTCAAAGGAAGAATGAGGTTCTCTGGACAATTTTTACCTCACCTTTAAATGTTCTTGTATTCGAGTGACTAGAATTCATATATCCCGCAAAAAGTGATTACATCAAGGTTTTAGTATTTTGTCTAGCAATGAAAGTACAGAACTACCCATGTAAGATGTCATAATTGCCTAATTCCTGTTTTTCTTTGACTTACCTTTGGAAACTGGACTAGGTCATATGAGTTAGAAGTTTTGTTATTTTCATTCTGCCTTTTGTTTTTGTAGCGTAGAGTTCTCGAGTTCTTTTATATACAGATTTACAATATAGTTGTACGGCCAATATATATACATGCACACCTTCCTTGTACTTTTGTACATCATACATTTTTTTGTGTTCTCTCTCCTTCTCAAACAATTCTCTTTTGTCTTTGAATTTCTACCAGATTTTCCCTCTGTTTTTGGAACTTCATTGCTTCAACCAAAAGCGATAGAGGCCCAAGTGATTGGGATGTAGAACTTGTACCAGAAATGTTTTCATTCATTTCAGAATTGATTGTTAGTTTTAATTCTTATACAGCCTTGATCATTAGCGAGTGGCTGCTGATTGGTTTGCATGATAATTTTCATTCCTCCAGTGCCAGGTACTTTGCCAGCTATTGGCAAGGCCACAAGTTGGTTATTTTACGAATGAAAACATTTTATGTACTCTTGAGCCAGCATCAGCCCTGAATTTTTCCCCTAATTGATGCTGATTGCAGCATATTCTCTGTTTAATGCATTAGTATCTGATGAATAGATGTGCTTGCTTGAGGTCACGTCTGGAAGGTGGACAAATGGTTTGAAAATGACAAGTTAAATTTTTAAATGTTCTGTCTCTTTTATCATATTGATTATGAACTTCCATGGTAGCTAAGGTAATTAGTATGCTCAGAGACGCGGCAATTAGCTGGATAATGCATAGAATAATGCATTAGCAAAAAGACATCCAGGAAAATGACAGGAAATATATTTGCAGAAGTTGGAATCAAGGTGTGCATGGGGTAAAATTAAAGAACTATGTTCTATGAAACCTTAAATTTGATGTGTTCTGCACTCATTTAACCTGACATTGGGATTCCATAAGAACTGCCATGCATCTCTAAGGGAGAGAGAGAATTCATTTGAAACATGCACATCCTCACTGTTCACTTGTATTCTGATGTTACGAAACTTCAGCATCCCTTGATTTCATTTCAATCGCATTAAAACTCTGCTTGGAATGCATTGCACTGCAATAAGTCTACGCCATGCAGGTAGAAACAAGTTCCTACAGAAATTTTTCTCTTTTTTATTTTTACTTTGAATTGATTAGTCCCTAAAATCCGCAGGATCAGAAAAGATTCATCTAAGTTAACCCAATCTTCTCTTTTTGACCTGAGTTAACATGCTTAATTTGCATTATCGTTCTTAATGTACTGACAGAGACAAATAAGAAGCTGCCTGAATTGGCTGACATTTCAAGCCTTAGATTTCATGTGGTTCTTGTTTTTAGTAAATTTGTTAAATAGTCTTCAGCTTGTGAAGTGACACCATCTGTGGGAAGATTTATGGAATAATTTTGTCTCAATTTGACCAGGCATAAACTTGCAGCCAGGCAAGACATCTTCATTTAATAATTCAGCTTATGGTTAGAATCTTCTCCCCACAGACATTTTTCATAGACTAAAATAATCTGTCATATTGGCTACTCACAGATTCTTTGGACTTTCTGCATTTGTTTATCATAAAAAATTCAGATTCTTCAGCTCACCAAAAGGCATGCTGTCACAATCTGATTACGTGTAACCTTGAGGTAAGATTTTTTTAGCAATCTGGAGTTATGGTTGCCACTTGATTATTGCTGCTATAGTCTTGCTGATCAAATTTTAAAAGAGGGAAGGGTTAATTGCTAACTATTTTTTCTTGTGTTGGCCCCAACTTCATTGAGAGGTCATGTTCCTTTCCTTGCTATTGACCTTGCATTGTTTTGGTTTCCATTTGTCAAATCTTTCGTTGTCATTACTAGCTTGTATTCATCTCTTATACCATTTGTCATCTTATGCAGAACTTAATGAATCTTCATTGAGATGCGCTTAGTATTGATCAGAATTTGTCTCAATATATGAAGATATGTGCTATTCCAACATGTTTCAGTTAGCACTACAATATGATTATTTCTGTAGGATTCCAAATGAAAATTGATTAGTACTGAGAGGAAGAAAACTATTCAATTGAAGGACACGACTTGAGTATATCTGATTATTTCTGTGAGATATGTTACATGATTCAGTGATTCTTTAAATCTTCTTAAATCATCATATTCTACCAGTTTGACTTAGAAAAATGAATCTGTATTTAGAATCTTTTTAAGTGTATGTTGCTGAAAAATATTGTTTGGTATTATTTATAATCGGGTCTACTAAGTAAACACCCCAACTTTGATTTTCATTTCCTTCACAAGAACCCCCACCCCTCCATTTTTTATTTTTTTCCACAGTAGACAATTCCATAATTAATATAGTGAGCAAATTCATAATCTTCTTTCTTTTCAACTACTACTGTATAGATTTGTATGAGATACGGTTTGAGCGTACAGCTCGTGTAGATAAACAAGAATTCATACATAGAGAAAAAATGAACCAAAACAGGCCCTCCATATCTGATGCTACATAAACCCTAGCACTGTAATAGTTATTTTCTGCTGAAAATAATCAGTGAAAAAAATTCTGCGCTCTATTAGGCTGAGATTAGTGATAGAGCCCCAGTTTTTCTGCTTCGATGTTATTCTAAGTGGATATTTTCACTCGAAAATTCAAGTCATTAAGATTGTTGGTGGTTCTTGGAAAAGAAGTAACTCAAATAATTAACCAAAAACCAAAGACAATATCGTTGTCTTAAGTAATAATGACAATTAACAAAACCTTCCCTTGTCTCTGCATCATCTCCCACGTCACCGAGGACCACAGTAACTTGATCGATTTGCTGCAGTCTCACAAAATATATAAACTTCTAACACTCCTTGTCAGTAAATAAACAAATCAACTGAAAAAATCAATTAATTATCTTTGATGTCCAGTACGTGCATGAATCTCCTCCAAATCTGAAATGCTCGATTGTTTATCACATAAGTTATCAACCCCATTTGGCTTTCTGGTAAAGCAAGTGAATGCTATTGGTAATAGATTCTTCTAATGAGGTGTGCTATGTATAGTTTATTATTCAGTTAAATCAAGTTTGAATATTCATATTTGTTCTTTGTGTTTGGTGCGCCACTGTATTATGGAGATGCAAATTATATATACAACTTGGCTCTACATTAATGCAGAATAAGGCACTTATGTTTGACTTCAGATCAAAGTGATGAACTCTTTTCTTTGGTTGCATTAAACTGAAGAAGCCTGGATAATTGGGTTTTCGCACCTTATATGTAGCAGCTAGGGACTAGAATGAACAAAAAGAAAAGAAAAAGTAAAAGTAAAATTAAGGTGATTTTATAACCAGTTATTAGTTGTTGTAGCAAAGTATGTATGAGAAAAGATGGAATTCTAGGATCTTTAGTTGCTTGTCTCCATTATTGGACTACATGTTTGCTCCTAAAATACTAAATACTAGATGGAGAAAGATTTTTCAAGTTAGAATACAAAAAGGGACCTGCTAATCTTTGGCATTTCTTCTCGACTGTAGATGGATCTCCATCCTGCCAGCAGTTCATATCAACGGCAAAAACTAGCACCCTCCCCCCCCTTTTTTTTTTTTAATAAAAACTAGGCTAATTAAACATATTGTATTAGCTATAGCACGTAGGACTTTGGGGAGATGTGGACCAAAATTCAAAATTATTGTAAACGTTACTGTCATGGCTGACATTACAATTGTCCCAATATAATTCAACGTAAACAAAGATATAGCAAGTGGTTAACTATTTTACTACTAAAGTTTAGGGTTAGCCTATTAGCAAGTTGGTGCTTTCGTATTTTGCAGAAAGATTATTGTGCATATTCACACACATATATATATATACACCATGTAGTTCAATTGGGTCCATTTTCTAAAAATATCAAGTTTCGAACCTTTTTTTTAAATAATAATAATAATAATGATGGTAGAATAGCTTTTAGTTAGATACTAGTTTTTTTATCCGTATTATATTGCAGATTTAATAGAACACATAAAATTATTTTAGTTTGATGTTCCATATTATATTATGCATATATCAAAATATATCAAATCAAAACTAAATAAAATTTCATTTAATTTTTAATTAAAATTTTGTATTTGACTTATTATGTTTTATATTTTTCTAATTTTCATAATTTTTTGATTAAAAAGCGTTATTTATCTCTATCCACAAAGTAAAAATTTTATAATAGTATAAAAATGTCAAAATCAATATATTTTTAACTAAAAACTAATTTTGTAAATTATTTTTTCTAAACATTTTTTTACCTTGAAATTTTTAATTAAAAAAACCAGAGAAAAAAATGAAATGACCAAAATGAAATAAAAAAGGATCAAAATTAAACAAAGAATATTTATAAATTAAAAAAGTAATGTTTAAAAAAGAGGAATAAAAAATGTAATGTCACGAAAATTTTCATTATAAATGTCTTTAAATTGTTTAAAAACTACAAATTTTAAATAGTGAAATAAATAGTAATGTATCGTTTTATTTTATTATTACTTTTAATTAATTTTCACTTTGTGATATTAGTACGTACCTCTCAACCCAATAAGTGGTTAATTATTTATGTTCGGAGATATGACATGAAATAGTGACTAGTACCTAATAACTTCATTTGGTTTTCACTTTTATAATTTCTTTCAAAATAGCGAAGGGACCAAGCCTCTGTCCCTCTGTTTAAGGCTTGGGCTTCGTTTTCCTAGCTCACATTGCCTGACATCCAAAAATAGTACAGGGACCAAACTTCTTTTTCCCAATAAGCTAGGACCAAACATCACTATTAATTTCTTTCCAAAGTCATTATTGGTGTCAACTGATCAACCCCACATTCCAAAGTCTTTTACCTGGTTCGTATCTTTTTATGAATCTTACAATTTACATGATTGAAAATTTTGCGAGAGAGAAAATACAGTCTATATATATTCTCATGCCCAGCTCTCCTCTCTTCCATAAGCGTTTGGTTCTTCTCTCTCTCTCTCCCTACTTCCACCATGGCCTGCTCAGCTTCAGACTTAGCTCCTCTCCTCTCCGCCACTATAAACTCTACACAAGCCGCCACCTACTTATGCTCCCAGTTCACCAGCATAGCCAACCAGCTCTCTGACACAACCTATGCAGTCAACAACACTTACCTCCTTTTCTCTGCCTACCTAGTCTTTGCTATGCAACTTGGCTTTGCCATGCTTTGTGCAGGCTCTGTGAGGGCCAAGAACACCATGAACATAATGCTTACTAACGTTCTCGATGCTGCTGCTGGTGGCCTTTCTTACTATCTCTTTGGCTATGCTTTTGCCTTCGGCTTTCCTAGCAACGGCTTCATTGGCCGCCATTTCTTTGGTTTGAGAGACTTTCCTTCTTCTCAAGCTGACTATAGTTTCTTCCTTTATCAATGGGCTTTTGCTATAGCTGCTGCTGGCATCACTAGTGGCTCCATTGCTGAGAGAACCCAATTCGTTGCTTACCTTATATACTCCACCTTTTTAACTGGCTTCGTTTACCCCGTTGTTTCACATTGGTTTTGGTCCGGTGATGGTTGGGCCAGTCCAGTTAAATCCGATAATAATCTTTTATTCGGTTCGGGTGCGATCGACTTTGCCGGTTCAGGCGTGGTTCACATGGTTGGAGGTATTGCTGGCTTGTGGGGTGCTCTCATAGAAGGCCCACGCATCGGCAGGTTTGACCGGAGCGGTCGGTCCGTCGCATTACGCGGTCATAGCGCTTCTTTAGTGGTGCTCGGTTCGTTTTTGTTATGGTTCGGGTGGTACGGGTTCAATCCGGGTTCTTTTTTGACGATCTTGAAAAGCTATGGTCAAAGTGGAGGGTACTATGGTCAATGGAGTGCTGTAGGAAGGACAGCTGTCACTACAACATTGGCTGGGTGCACAGCTGCCCTTACTACCTTGTTTGGCAAAAGACTATTAGTTGGTCACTGGAATGTAATTGATGTTTGTAACGGTTTATTAGGGGGTTTTGCTGCAATCACCGCAGGGTGCTCCGTGGTAGAACCATGGGCTGCAATCATATGTGGCTTCGTTGCTTCTTGGGTTTTGATTGGGTGTAATAAGCTCGCAGAGAAACTAAAATATGATGACCCACTAGAGGCGGCCCAATTGCACGGAGGATGCGGCACGTGGGGGTTACTGTTCACCGGGCTGTTCGCGAAGGAGGCGTACGTGAACGAGGTTTATCCGAACAAGGCGGGGCGGGCATACGGGCTGTTCATGGGTGGTGGTGGGAAGCTATTGGCGGCCCAGATCATCCAGATCTTGGTGATATCAGGGTGGGTCACGGCAACAATGGGCCCACTGTTCTATGGGCTTAACAAGTTGAAGCTGTTGAGGATATCAAGTGAGGATGAGATGGCAGGCATGGATATGACAAGGCACGGAGGGTTTGCTTATGCGTACAATGATGAGGATGATCCATCAGGAAAGCCACCTTCGTTTTTGATGAGAAGGGTTGAGCCTACTAATGAAACCACACCTGATCAAAACTCACCAGTTATCAGTGTCTGATCAAAATCTTATGCATTACCATTACAACGTTCCCCAAGAAAACAGAAAAAAAGGTTCCTTTAGACATATAGTAATAGAAAGGGGTAAAAATGGCCCAATAGTAGAGGGGTGCATGATATGATGTGAATGTGGGATATTAGCTTTGGTTCATAACGATCTTCAGGTTTTCATGGGAATGTGATTACTTTGAAAATAAATGTATAAGAAAATTTTCATGAAAGTTCAATGGATAAAGAACGAAAATTTCATTATCAACTTTCTGGCAAATCCAAACAAGTAAGAAGATTCATAAGGTCATCCATACAAGTCTTCATTTCCATTCCATCTTTTAGCTAGAACTGATTCCTCTGCTGCTCATAGATGCGCAACTTGGGCGACTGCATATATGCTTATTGTTTAGGATTTTCATTAAAAAAAAAAAAAAAAAAAAAGGACTCATATTTGTGTGTGTGAGATTTAATTTTTAATTTGAGTAGATTAGACAATTTATGTGACCCAATGATTAGATTTGGTAGCAAGACAAGTTTTTATATAGTCAGTCAGATTCGTTAGAATTGTGCAAAATGACCCAATGATTAGATAAGAACCTTGTTGTCTCGATTATTGCAACCGTATAAAATCAACCTTTTACCGAAAAGATGGGATGCCACCACTCTCTTGGTCTTAGCCAGATATCCAATAAAAACTACTTGTGGTTACCATATTCTCTGTTTTATCCCATCCAGACACTAGAGCTCTTTTCTTCCATCAACAATATTTGAGATTAAAAAAAAAGCTGTAAGTTGAATTCAACTTGCATTATCTATCACATAGTGCTTTTGCCTTAGTTCGCTTTTTCCAGAATGATCTGATTAATTCAGAATAGCTTAATAAATTTTCTTAGATGTTTTACTCAATATTTGAACCAGAAATTTAAGAAAATAAACATCCATTTTTAACCATCACACCAACATTTTAAAAATTATATATATATATATATATATATATATATATATATATATATATTGTTGGAAATTTAATTTCACTCCGTATAAATTAGATTTCATACAAAAATAATTAAAGCAAACACACAAACAAAAATAAAGAGCAGAAATAATATAAGTTATATCTCGTAAACTTGAAAAGCAAAAATATGGATAGTAATATAAGTTATCTCTTTAACTAAAATCGTCTCAACACAAAAGCTTAAAATCTATAAAAATTTTATATTTTTGCTAAGTCCAATAATATGTGAGATCATCACCTTAAACACTATAATTTTTTGTAATTATAGTATCTAAAAATCAATGTTAGAGAAAATTTCAATATTTGGTGCATGAAAAAATCATTAATTTTTTCTTGTGTGATTTGTCAAAAGAATAAGTAAAAACCTTACTTTCTTTTCTTTTCTCTCTAATTGCTCTTTCTTGGCAACTGTACACAAAAGAAAGACAAACAATTTCTCTTTTATGCATGTGCAAGCTAAATAGGAAAAATAAAACAAGAGACATATTTTTTTCTTTTTAGTTTCACAATAGTCCTTTTTCTATTTAACTTCAATCTTTTTCTTGATTCATCCCCTTCCTAATTGATTATTTTTTATAATTTATGTTTTTATGGGTTATGCTAAGGTTGCTAATGCACTGGACCTATAGCATATACCCAACAAATCTCTCTTTCTAAATTTATGAAAGGAAAATCTCAACTCATCATCCAGATTTCCTACTAGTCACACTCGACACACAATCCATTCTTCTCGTGCACTATTAACCCTGTTGACATAGCAACGGAATATTTAATTTGGAGAATCATTCTCAACATCATCAATTATTTCTCCATTACCTCTAAAAGTCAATCACATTCTTGATCATTAAACTTTAATTCCCGACTTTATCATAAGTCAAAATAGCATGATAATTGTTTAGCTCTCCTTCCTTCATCAACAAGACATTATTAGAATTAAAATTCTAAATAAAAGAATAATATTGACTAGTAGAGCTACTCACTCGAGTATATCATGAAGTGAAGGGTCCTACTCTCCATGCTTAACACTTTTCTTATCCATGTTATCATCGTTACTAATTATTGACTCAATATCAATTTTATATTTTTCATTCAACACTTTCTCGTATATGACAATCTCCTTAACAAAAGTAACACAAGATTTCTTTGTTAATCTATTTTCATTCACTTGGGCATGTCTGTCCGGACCGTAACTTTGAAGAAGTTTTATGTTTAATTACACTCTTTTCAAATATGATTAACTACTTTTTTGTCTTTGACAATTTACCACAAATACTTCTAACAACGAGGCATTGATCCCTTGGTGAGTTTCTTTCTTTCACCACCAAAATGATCATAGTATTTGACAATATGTAAGGCATGAGTAGAAATTAGATTCGGATATAAATTATACATGCATCACATCTTTTAAAGTCAATGCATGACATGTACATATATTTATACACACATCACCAACTCCTAGAAGACTAGCATAACTATTATTATTTATCTTTACTTTGTCAAAATCTCTTACTTTGTATGCTACAAAGATTTTCTTCCTAAAAGTAGCATGATATGGAGTCGTTGAGTCGACAATTATTTCAACACAAAGGATTTACGACATTATACTTATCCTCTTTATATAAAAGTATTATCATATTCCAATCCGAAATCAATACTATAGTAGTGTTCTCATTATTTTCTTTCTAATTCTTCAATTTTTCTTACTTTCATTCATGCCTTATAATTTCTCTTGATTTGATTGTCTTTTTCACAAAGATTACATTTAAAAGTGTTGGTTTGTGATTTGTCTCTATATTTATCTAGCCCATTAAATTCTCTATTCATACTCCTCTCTCGGTTCCTTGTGACAAAAGCTTGTACTTTATCTCGCTACTACTTTGCTTCAACCAGTTTCTTCATTAACACAAACTATCTATAACCATAGAAAGCAATTAAACGCTATTTGAAATAGAATTACCAAGTATCATAATTAAAATCTCCCAACTATCTAGCAAAGTGTCTAATAGCAATAATGCTTATAAACTCGTCATCTAGTACTATTTTTATGATCATCAAATGATTAATTAAATCATAAAAGTCACTCAAGCTAGTGTTCAACAATAGACCTTCTATCTCAATATTTCAAATTCACAAGTTTCATAATCAAAGAAGGCCTATTTCGTGCAATCTTCCTTTCATACATACTATTTAATTTTTTTCGTAGTTGTTATGCATCTGTCTCTTTGGATAAGTGGTGAAGCACACTATCATCCATCAATTGTCTAATAGCTCCAATAGCTTCGATGCTCCTTTTTCCAAACATATCATTCTTGACAATTGGTTTGGTTTTACTTAATTCAATCAGATCAAATAAATAATGTTGATAAGATGAATTCTCTATCTTCGATTTTCAAATCGAATAATTCAAAACTGCCAGTTTGATCATGGTTTTTAAATTATTTTTCTCCATCCAATTTACATAAATATTCCAACTAAAGCTTTGACACCATTGTTGAAAATTTAATTCCACTCTGTATAAATTAGAATTTTTTTTTAAAAAAAAAAATTGAACTAAACAAACATAAAAATCAAAAGTAGAAATAAATCAATCATAAGACTACAATCATAAAAGCACTAAATTTATGTGGAAAATCCTCTTTATCGTAGAGAGAAAAACCACAAGATTAACTCCAAAATAATCCATTATAATAATAAAAAAAAGTAATGCAATAACTCAAGTTTCTTTGTGAATTTGAGAAACAAAAGTATTTTTAGTGATATAAGTTACTTCTCTATTTAAATCCTTTTCACCACGAAAGCCTAAAATTTGCAAAATCTTCATATTTCTATAAAGTCCAATATTGTCCGAGATCACCACCTTGAACATTGCATTTTTCTATTAAGTAGTAACCAAAAATCAATATAAGATAAAACTCTAATATTTTATGTACCAAAAAATCATTACTTTCTTCCTATAAAATTCATTAAAACAATAAGAAAAAAATCTTGATTTCTTTTCATCTCGGAAAAGCAATTTTTCTTTTTTAATTTCACAATATTTCGTTTTCTATTTAACTACAATCTCTTTTTTTGATTAATCCCTTTTCTAATTAATTATTTTTTAATTCATTTCTTCATGAGTTATGCTAAGATCACACATAGAGTAGAACTATAACACACACACAGATATATATATATATATATATATATATATATATATATTGAGGGAATCATTCTGCATGTCATTTAGTTATTTAAATAATTTAGGAGCCTAAAATATATACCTAGCTATTATCAATGATTTTATTTATTTATTTTTTGAATTGGCATTTAGGAGCTTGTATTTGTCATGGCCCAGGAGAAGGAGATGGAGGTGTTTATTGGTTGGCACACATATAGCAAGGTTTCCTTATGAGGTCATATTTTCAGTAATCCACGTGAAGGTATATTCTCTTTGTTGCATCTTAATTAATGGAATTAGAATAGCATTACCTCGTATAAAATGTATATAATTTTCGTTCTTTGGGCATCGGCCTCTTTTTGTCCCAAAATAAAAAAATTACGGGTTTGAACGTTTCTTCAAACTATAACATTACCAAATAAAAAATAAAAAATCAAAATCAAAGAAAAAGTAAAATTTCTCCCCACCCCTTAATCACGTGCATCCTTGATATTAGTGACCATTTAACAACTGATTAAATGCTGGTTGTAATGCTAGAAATGGGCCTTTTCGTACCGCAGTTGTCGTTTCTTTTTTCCTTATTTTCAATAGATTTTTAAATTTTTTTCTTTTAAAGGAACAATGAACAGTCACTGACGTCACCAGTAATAGAAAGTCAATTTAAAAACCCTGGACGAACTTTTGATCAATGATAATACTAGAAATAAGCAAGTCTTTTTTTTTTTCTTTTTTATGGTGATGTAAAAATAAGTCAATATGAATCAATAGGCCAAAGATAATACAAGCTAATTGAAATTTTTAATTTATATATAGTAATCTTTACATGATTTATATATAATCGTCTTTATATGATTTTTTGTTTTTATAGACTGATTTTTTTATATTTTGCAGTTGACATGATTGTTTGATGCGATATAAGTTTATGTCATGTCAACGTAAATGAATATGTTTAGGACCTGAAACCAACATAGTTCCAATGACAAGACTTTATTTATTTATTTATTTATTTATTATCTTTATTATTATTTTATTTTATTGATGTCATTAATTTTGTTTTTCTTGTAGATTAGCTGAAAAGTTGATGTTAGACCTTAGGCTCCTTTTCTTTATTTATTTTTTTTAAAATTGCATTGTAGGTTGATATGGACTCAAGATTTATGTCCTTGCTTTTTTGCTTTTTTTAACAAGTTGAACTTGTAGTTTTTATTTATATAGTTTGGTAAGTGAATTTGAACTTAAGGTATAAATTTGTTATTTATTTATTTCATATAGCCTGTTTATGTTTGAATTATTTAATTTGAAACTAAATTTTAAATTCAGACTTTTATCCGATTGAACTTCAATAATCTGATAACAATTTAAATGAGAAATTGAATTTTCAATCTATCTTCAAATCATTTCATTTAGAATTGATTAGAAAATACATAATAACTCATAATTGATAATAGAAAAGAAAATATAAAATGAATTTGTATAAATAAATTTTCGAAAGACTATATATACACCACAATTTAATTGCGAAGAAACGTGAGGGTAATTGTAATTTTCTACATCCACCAAGGTTACCACCTCATCTGAGGATAAGGATCCATATGTTCGGACATGAATACGATATCTTATATTGAACAAGTCATTTTTTCTTACCACGTGAATAAGTCATCACTCCAAAGTATCTTATTCAGACCAATGTCCGTTCCTAAGAATATGCTCCAACCCTTAAATTTTGAGACTTTCATTAGGAGGTGTCGAGTTCAAATCTTAGGGAGGATCGAGTAAAATTATTGGATCCAGAACAGTCCTAGGTCCATTGAACCTTCCATGGGACCAAAATAAATAAACCAGGGACTTCAAAAACGAATTCTACTATAGTTTTTTTTTTTTTGACATGGGTCCATTGGGCCAGGGTCCACAATTAGGATACTCTTCCTCCAAATCCTTTGGGCCAGGGTCACTAGCTCACTTTTTTAGGGTTTGAAACTGAAGTAAACTTTAAAGTTGTAATTATAGCATTTGTAGTATACCTTGATAAATAAATTCAATTTTTTTCCCTCTTCGTTAGAACTCTTGCCGTTAAGTAATTCGAAATAATATAGAATGTTTCCCTATTCAAGAAAATACATTTATTACGTGTTTAAGATGACTTGATTATATATATATATATTTTTATTTCCAATTGCGTTGGGCTCTTTTCTTGCATTATTTATGTCATAAACATGGAGGCTGCTGTTCCCTCCTTCGACTAGACCTAAATCCCAAAGCCCGTGCTTTTGAAGCTATACCCATTCTCCCATACTATAGTTTGCTAGACGTGGAACATACATGGGATGAGATTTAGACTAAGTTGAGTGTGAGATTTAGACTGTGTTAAGATGGTCAGGAGAATTGAAGATTTGGAAGGTGTTGACGCCTCTTTTGAACAACTTGTGGAAGCTGTAAAAGAAGCTGCCGATTGGGATGAAACAAAGACGGAAAATTTGGTCACGGAGAAAGTTGTGACAGAGTTTGTGAACTTTCATGTGGAAAAGGCCGAGAAAGAAAGGGCAAGTAAGAGATTAAAAGGAGGAAAGTCTTTAAAGATGAACAAAGGAAATAAGTTGGGAGACATACAAGGTCATGATGCTGAAATACCGGATAAGAGAAAGAAGACTCCAGATAAATCACATGTTAATAGCTTGCCTAAGAAGAGGCTACAAGAATTGCTTGAGAGAAACTGACAGGTTAATATGTTTTACGTTATTTTTCAATTTAGATGTGTGCTTTTCGTTGATTAAGTTTCAAAAAGATTCAATTTTATTTATTTATACGATGGAAGAGATTTCTTTTTTGTTTTTGTTTTTCTGTCTCCAGATTTTCTTAGGCTAATAGTATATATTTACTTAATGTGGAATTATTCAGTTTATTGGCCCTCCTATAATAACAACTCCGCCATAGACATTGTCAATTAAGCAAGAGCAGCCATAATTAAGCAGCAACCCAGACAAAAGGAGCTAGAGACCTTTGTTATTATCTGACATTATAAATATATGAACAGCATTGCTGAAAAACTCATGCGAGTGAGAGTTTAAAACAGAATGAATACTATTTAATTTGGTATCAGAGTTTCTGGCATCTTACATCTCCACTTCTTCGATCCCCTTCAAATGAAAATCACAATTCACTAAAAGTACCTCTTTCCAATCGATTGTACAATTTATCTCACTCAAACTAACTCCAATAAATTATCTTTTCTAGCACACCAAAATGAGACTTTTTTTAATTGGACAAGGATTATTTGGATTTATTGATGACGACAACCAATGCCCTCCTTCTCACATCCTCTTTGATGATCTCCCAAAACCAAAGCCACTGTTTCATTCTTGGGTTCAACAAGATCAATTGTTAATGAGTATACTTATCGTTTTCATGTCCACTAAAGTTCTGCCATTGGTGATTGCCTACAATACCTCAAATAAGCAGGTTTGGACTGTGTTAAAACATGCTCTTGTCTCTGCCTCTAGCACAAGAATTATGACCTTGCATTTAGCTCTTCAACGTTTTGAACAAAAGAGCTGGAAATCTTGGAGTCCATGTCCTGCTGCACTTAAGGAGATAAATTTGCTAGTAATTAATCAACCATACCATCATCATTAGACCACAGTAATGATTATATATGAGTAGTACAAGTTACCTACAGCTCCATTGTTGTCAATACTCTTGTTAGTGTGAAAAATCCATGCCCTTTCCATTCTTTGTGAAGATAGCTGCAAAACAAAGTCTAGTATATCAGTGGGTGTTATCAAAATCGTGCTGGAGTTTTTAATGAAAAATAAAAACAGGCCATAGAGATTCTCAGAACAAACCTTTTGGGTGCTATAATATTGGCTTAACCATATTGTACCTTAATTCTTTTTGCACTTACTCCTGCAAGGCTGCAACTTATAGAAAAAAGGAGCACATCAAAATAAATTGAAGTAGAGTTTCCTAAATTTTTAAGAGGAGCAATAAAGCAAAATGATTCTAATAATAAAGCATAATGTTTTCAATTTCACAGATTAAGTTAGTAGAAGGAGAAATTACCTGTGGATATGTTAGCTGATAATTCCGATGTTGGGAGTATGAGAGATGGTGGACCAGCTCTTTCCTGTTCCCTCTTGGGAATGTTTTGCTAGAATGGGGCTATCTATGATTTGCAGTTCCTCCAGAGCTGTTGACTGATAGAGGTAATCTAGAAGTGCTTTCAATTTTGGGTAATCACGAATACTCAAGGAACGAAGACATGGCATTATTGACATGTTTGTTTTATTTTCATTTCCTCTCATCCAGCTCCCATCATCCCAAACTCTCCAATTTTCTAAGAATTCAAAGTAAAGGTTTTTCAGCTTGAGGAATGCAATAATATTTGATAGGGATGCCATTTCTCCTTTACCCTCCTTTTTAGTTTCAGCATTGTCACGATCATCATTTTACAATCCCAAAAATTCATGGCCCATCTTTGTCTCCCCACGCATGAAAGATACGTCTAAAATTTCAAGAGATGGCAACTTCCCAAAAAGGAGGCAAATTCTCAATCTTGTGGCAATCCATGAGTCTAACCACCTTTAGTTTGGTTAAATACATAATCCAACCAGGGAACCCTCTGATTCCTTGGTAATCCCTTACACACAAAGTTTCTAAGATTGGAGGTGGTTCCAAGGCTTTAAGGACTTCATCATGCCAAATCATTATCCTATTTCTATCCGTCGTCTATAAAAAATCTAAGATTAAATCAACGAGGTGTTTCTTACTTTAATTAAGTTCTGCTTTCTTTGCGTCTTTTGGATATGTCACATCTCCCAACCAGACTTATCTAAAGAGACCCTTGAAGGTGGTTCAAGTTTTTCAAATCCCCAAGACTAGACATTTCACTACCATCCTCACTCGCCACTCACATAAAACACATCTAATTTTAGAAGAGAACTTAACCCTTCTAATCCTCTCATCATTATCCCAACAAAACAAAAAACATTGAGATATCTTAATTTGATCAGTTTTCCTATGTTATTAGGCAGTTTCTTAAGATCATTTTTTGAGACATCTAAAGTTTGCATATCGTACAATTCACACATTGCTTCGGGTAACTCCTTGATTCTATTACAAGAGAAGTTAACATGCCTCGGGTGTATCAACTTTCCTATGTTCGATGAAACTTCTTCTATATGCCGACTTGGCAAGGACAATGTTCTTAGACAACTCAAATGATTAATTAAGTTAGGTAGGGGTAGGGGTGTGAGTACATTAATCCATAGAGCAAGCATCAACAACCGGATCGAGAAGCTTTTTAAAACTACAAATGGTAGGAGGAAATGAAGTTTCAGAATTTAACACTATCATTAAGTATCGTGCTTCTCTAAAAAAGAGTCTATCTTGGACTCTGCGAGCACCATTGACTTCTACGCTAAAACATTCATTCTTTGTCAAAAATATTGCAAAATCATACACAATATCATGCATCTTACATTTGATAATGCTACCATCAAACTCTTCTTTCTCAAAATCTTGAAAGAAAGAGCGTGTAGCTAAACTTTCGAAGCACTCATGACCCATTGCTTCCATCTCTTTATTTTGTGATTCCCGAAGATAACCTTGGGCCATCCACAGCTTGATCAAAGCATCTCTCTCTCTATTATGTAGTCTTTGGGAAAGACCGCACAATAGGAGAAATATCGTCTCATTTCGGAGGGCAAGCCATAGTAGCTCATCCATAGAGGAGCTAAAAGATTGCTTTCAGCTTCTTTTATCTCCCAAACACTAATATTCAAGACACTTTTCCACTCTTCTCTACTTCTTTTGAAGCGTAAAAGACTTCCTAGACTCTTTGCGGCAAGAGGCAAGCCTTTACACTTAGCTGCAATTTTTCTACCAATATCTTCTAAATCTTCATACTCTCTAGTGTCTTTCCAAAAAAATGCAAACTTGCTAAAGAGGGACCAACATTCCTCCTCGGAGAGCGAGTCCTAGTTCTAATATGTCGGTGGGTGAGGAGCCCATGCTACTTGCCACATTCTTTTTACGAATGGTCACTAAAATTATACTTCCGGGCAAACTACATTCGAGGGAGTTTTTCAGTTGCTCCCACTTTGTGGAATCTTCATTCTACACATCATCTAGGACAAGCAAGAATTTCTTACCCCTAACGGATTGTTGTTATGTTCCGAGTAAAGTCCGTTATTAATTTAAAGTTTGGGTAGAATTCTTGAGAACTTTAAGGATTTCCTTGGCAATCCTTATCTCATCAAAAAGATCTAATACACAAACCCATATTCTCTACTCGAGAAAGAGCCGACCCTATCTCGAGAAATTTTATAATACATAAAGAATAACCACCGGTAGCAAATAAGTTACTCTTTCTATTGTAAACTTCAACTACCATGTGATAAAAAATTTTGCTGCACGTGCATTAAAAAAAATCTAATCTGTACTTTAAAAAAAAATTACGGAATTAAGGTTATGTTCAGTGGCTGCAATTCTTTTCTCGCAATCTTTCTAATCTAAGAGAAGAGAAAAAACTAAGGAATTAGGTCAGTGGCTATAATTTTTTTCTTGCCAAGCTTTCTAATTAAAGAGAAGACAAACAGCAGGGAATTAGGTCGTAATATAAAATGGATTGACTTTTTGCTTTTGATTGTCTTCGCACTGTAAGTTAACTGCCCTTTTTTTTTCAATATGTAACTGAGAATCTATTAATGTGTTTTAGTTTATGTGTTCTGTTTTATTGTTAAGCATTTCGTGAGTAGCTTGCTCTCATTCATTAATGTGATTGATATGTAAATCATTTGAGTTTTTTGGCACAAGAAGACTACTAATTGTTGCACTGACTAATTGTTCAAGATTTTCTACCTGCTGGACTCCCAAATTGAGTTGATTCTGTAAAATCTCTAATACAAAATTGGAAAGAGTTAATATGTCTATTAGATTTGCCCCTTTATAGGAGCAACTTTAGCTGCTTTGGTTTCTAAATTACTTTTCAAGAAGCCACCTATCAAAGACAAGAAAGCCTGAAGAGGAGGGATAGATCATAGATGTTGTACTGACTAAGTTTAGTATTTAATTTTCATCTTTAATGTAGAACTTAAAAACATATGCAAAGCTGCCAATCCAACATTCTGTAGAACTTAAAAACATTAAATGCTGTCAAGTGTAATACTTGTAATCCTCCTTAAGCCACTTTTTGCAAAACAAAGAAGCACAAGCCAACAAGAGACATGAAAGTGAGGGAAACTGTTGAAGTAAAAGGAAGATTTTAATTTGCAACTCACATGATTGTCAGAAAAGTCAAAGAACAATTTTAGTTCATCCACAGTTACACTACATTGCTTTGGAAAAAAACTACTAGAATGTATCAGATCGGAATATAGCAGACCGACAAGCCTCTAGAAGCTGTTTTGGAATATTTAATAATTTCATTCTAAAATTTCATTCAATAACTTAATTTTTTTTTAACTGAAAAAGATTTTTGACACGAGACCCCCTTGTTAAACTTCAATAATGTTAGGTAAATTCGGAGATGACTTTGGAATATTTCCAAGGCATTGGCTTTACGTTCAGCATTTTTCAAGACAAGCATAGATTTTTCGAAACGCTCAATATAGCATTTGCAAGCTTTTTTAACTTTTAGTAGCAAGCATAGATCTAATCCATCCCACAAACAGTTATGCTGCAATTCTTGTAAAGAAGTCACATGACTCAAAGATGTTTTAGTTGATCTTTTTTCGATTAACAATGTAGTCCAAATTAAATAGTACTTTATATTATGTTTCTGAGAGCATGAAAATTTTGATATATACACAGAGATGATATATTTAATTACATGCTTTTTCGATCATACAAAGCTAGAGATCATTTCACCGACATGCATGAATGGCCATCCTACACATGTCCTAAGTTTATTCCCTCGCTTTCCCAAGTCTTTGGCACACAAACCGTTCCTCATTTACTAATTTTACCAACAATATTGATCATCCAAAATATATTCTATAGGAGGAGCCCGAACCAATGTCCTAGTTTCTTCCTCACCGGTTCAATCAACACCAAATTAAGGTCTAAATTTCCACTTTCGTTTTATTCTTAGCTCAAAACATTGAAGCCTGATTTTTGTTACAAGATGAAACTTCATAAGTTCTCTAAAAATCTTCATCATCATCCCATACTCTTACCGATCTTTTACGCATTGTTCTTAACTTCAAGAATCCCATTTGCTTTATCCGAAATCAAGGACACGTATATTTTTTATGATTCTCGTTCCATGATCGTGTTTGAGCAATTTGGGTTCACAAAAGGTGGTCAGATAGCCATTTCCGTAAAAGATGTCTCTTGGAAATCAAGCAATCGAAAGGCAGAACTTAACCCTTCTTCCATGGGATTTTTTCTGGCTAGAGACTCTTCATTTTCAACAATATTCATGAATGATTCGCTACAAAGTAATGACGAAAGCTTTTGTGTCTTGTCTAGCCGGTATGTAAAGCTCCTGTTCAATTTCAATGATCTTAGCCTGAATACGTCAACTTATAATGGTTCTACAGCTATTGATGAGGCTGATGAATATAGTTTGGTATTTGGAAATTGCCAGCCAGAATTTGAAGTTTCAATGTATGTACATACCGAGATGTATAACTTACAAGATGGTGCAAAAAATTACCTTCCTGTAGGACAAACTTTTTTGCCAAAATTTTTTTCTTGATGTTTCTCATTTATACTTGCTTTTTTGGGATATGGAGTTTTATCTGCATCAAACAAAGACCAACAGTTGACAAGATCCACCTAATAATGGGGGCATTGCTTCTTGTGAAGGCACTTAAAATGATATGTGCCTCCGAGGACAAAATGTATGTGAGCGAAACTGGTACACCTCATGGTTGGGATGTGGCATTCTACGTTTTTGGATTCTTCAAGGGCATAATGTTATTCACTGTGATCGTCCTTATAGGCACCGGTTGGTCATTCTTGAAACCATACCTTCAAGAACGCGAAAAGGATGTTTTGATTATAGTAATTCCCTTGCAAGTTCTGGAAAACATAGCTTATGTTGTTATCAGTGAAACTGGGCCAGCAACTAAGGATTGGTTGACCTGGAACCAAATTTTCTTGTTGATTGATATCATATGCTGTTGCGCCGTGTTTTTTCCAATCATTTGGTCGATCCGAAATCTGAAAGAGGCATCGAAATCGGACGGAAAGGCTGCTCGGAACCTACAAAAATTAACCCTCTTCAAGAATTTTTACATTTGTCTGGTGATGTATTTGTATTTCACTAGAGTTGTCGTTTCTTCTATGGAGGGTATTTTGGATTATAGATATGAAGGGTTTACGTATGTTCTTTCTGAAGGTGCAAGCCTGGCTTTCTATGTGTTTATATTCTATAATTTTCAGCCCATAGAAAGGAACCCATACTTGGTGATCGATGAAGAGGAAGAGCTTTCTGCTGAACAAATATTGCAAGATGATGACTCCTTTGAACTATAAATCTCAATTCATTTGTTGTGTACGAATTTGTACGTAAATTTGCACATTATATTTGAGAATCAAAATTTCATATGTAGTTGAATCCATTTTATGTATCAGGCTTCGATTGCATAATTTCTCCTCATGTAACCTGATTCAATAAAACTACAAATCATATTTCTTACATTTCCGAATGTGTTTTTTTTTTTTATTGTCCGAATGTTTTCTTACATGTTGTTCAACAACAAGTAAACACCAAATCAATGAACAATTTCTCTAAAAAAAAAAACATTCAACAATATGTGTTACTACAAGTAAATTATAAATTAGTTTCTCTAGTTTCAAAAACTGAATTAATTAATTTTTTTCGTTTCAAAAACTATTCCTAGCTCACAACAATCTATTATTGTCAATCATGATGATTTCATTACATTTTTCAATTACAAATTTAATAAAAAAAATCATAAGAAGTTCTCATGCTTCTTTTTTAATTTAATAATTACTACGGCTCAAAAAAATATCTTCTTGAACCATAAGACAACGTATAGATGCCTCAACTATAAAGTATTGGTCAAATGATGGTGGAATTGATGCAAACGAAACGAAGACATCGTTCCTACATAAATAAATATTATAGTCTCTAATCTAATTCTTGCTGAGATGAAAATATTTCATGATGAATATTGTCTGACATAGATCATGGTTTTTTCAGTCAATAAAGCTATTTTATAGATGAGAGATAACAATGTTTTCTTTATCTAAAAATGCTTATGCATGACGAAATATAATTATTGTTTAGTGATGAATTTTTTACATCATAGGTTATAATTTTTATATCTTCTTTAGAATTTTCAAAATATCTTATATCCAAAAGTCTAAAATAATTTTTCATTATTCGATCCCGAGATAACAAAATAAGCATAATTATTCAAAAATCATGAGTTTTGTAGTGTATCTATAAATATTTAAAATTAAAATTGCTTATTTAAGTGATAAGAACCAGTTATTATTAATCCAATCTTGTTGAATAGGTTACAATTTTTATGTCATTGGAAAATCTTATTAAAAAAAATGACTATGGGTGATGAAAATTGCTTTTCGTCACCACATAGGATTAGAGATGACCTTTTGTGGGACCTTGTTGATGACGAAAATTTTTCGTTCCTGAAAAGCTATAGTGACGAGAAAAGTTTTTCGTTTAAGGCAAATTTCTTATTAGCTGTATGAGAAATTATTTAAATATTATGATTAAAAATTACTTAACTATTAATGCTTTTATGAGGTGTGGTACAACTATCTCGTATGTTAGATTCCTTCGAATATTAATGAATTTATGAGGAGTGGTCAATAAATTTTCAAATTGTAAAACCTTTTAGGAAAAAAGTAATTATGTTCATCCTAAAAAAATTATAAACGTTGACATATATATATATATATATATATATATTACACAATTATAATATTCTTGGGAATTTAATAAATATTAAGTCACTGGTTTAATAGAAAATGAGTTGGTTTTCAAATAAATTTTATATTAATATACAATATTTAAATTCTAAAATTACATTTGTTGAGAAGGGTTAAAGTTTATCGCTACCTTTCTAAACATGATTAATCATATTTTTAATGTGGGATAGAAATATTTAAAAAAAATAAATATTTATAAAATGATGATACAAATATCCATATTAGCATTATTGCAACATAGTGTCTTTATTCGAATTTTATTTGATTATATTATCCAATTAAGAATTATACTACAATATATATATATATAAAGAGAGAGAATATCCTAACCATGGCATCAACGCAAGGCAACAATTTAATATACATAATAAAACGGGTGAGCTGTGAGGTTGGCTGTAGATGTAGAACTGACCAAACCACACAGTGTCTATGCTCCTTGGTATCGATCAGGTTTGTTTATTCTGGTCCTGATCAAGTAGTAGGGATGGTCACCTAACTCTATCTTTGATGATGAATTGCTCATCTTTTTTAGAGCCTGTTTGGTTTTTGTTTTGTTGTGTGGTGCTGTGAGTATTGTATTATGCTGTTGTATTGTATTGTGTTGTCTTGTCTTGTAAGATTGAATATATTAAATTTTTTGGGTAATAAATTGATGTGTTGTATTATGAGTAAAATCATTCAATTGTTTAGGAATCTATTTTTGTACTATTTAAATTAAAGTTATTATTAAGAACTTAACTTTAAGATTTTCATTAAGAAATTAAAATAAATTACTTGAAAAGATGAAAATATTTTCAGTACTAGAATCAAAAGTCACGAGTAATATAAGTAAAAAAAAAAATCAAACATCATATAATATTTTTTTTAAGCATTAGTATAAAAAACTATATATTAAGGTAAAATATGAAACATTGATTTTTTGTGATTTAAGGTTTTTTTAAAAAAAATGTTATTTTGGGTAAAAAAAAATCAACTATATAAGCGTAGAGTAATAAAATTAGCTATATCAGGTATTTTGTTATTTAAACGAAGATAATTCGGATATTTATGCCATTTAATAAAATCAAAAAAGTTTCTAACAATTAGCTCAGTCTCGTGGGCTCCTAACATACGACGTAAAATGTATTCTCTCGAAAAACATAGGGTGTATCTGATTGAATCATTTTGTAGTACTAGTTTTATTACCTCACGTGCACCTATATTATTCAACCATGTATTTATTATTTATTATTTATTTTTGTAAATTTATTCTGTATTCGATATTGAATAATTAATAGAAATACAAAGACCATATATATTTATCATAAGAATTCTTCGAATAATAATCTTCAACAATTTTATTTTTATATCTTTCTTTCAAAAAAAAAAAAAAGAAAGAAAGAAAGATTAACAGACAAACATAGCTTCATTTTTCATTGCGATGCCCGAACAAATCGCTTCAAGCTAAATGTCAATCATGTTTTTTTTTTTTTAATTTTGATTGCTTATATTTAATAATATATCTAATCGAACACTATTTTAAAAAAAACTTGATAGAACAATATTGAACCTTAGATTCTAATGTTTGTATTTTAATAATATAAAATCCCAACGTTTTCCTCTCTCAAAATTATTGTTATTACATTATAGTATATGTGAATTACGTAAATGACTTAATCTATCCTTATATACTTGGTTAACCCTTCCATGTGCCCTTTTTGTTATGTTTTTCTATTCAAATTGACATAATTATATTTTTCATTCTGAAAATATCCTTGAACTATCAACCATATAATTTTAATTTTCAAAAAAAAAAATCGTTTTTAAAAATTTAATGGTTTGGTAATTTTGAAACTTCTTACTTCTTAAAAAATGTTAAGCAATTTTGAGAAACTTTTCTATTATATTCTTACGTAACTCGAGGATAATTTTAGAATGAGAAAAATATATAATTTTATCAATTTGGGTGGAAAAACTTGACTAAAGTATATATTAGAAACTTTTAAATATTATATAAGGACATAATAGATACATTTAGAATTATAGAAATATATTAGATACTTGGCCGATTATAGAAGGATAAATTGAGTTATTTACCCTTACATTTGTCTAGAGAGGGCTTTGTTAAAATTAAATCCATATATAACACAAATATATAATAAATACACAAGGGGCATCATGTTGATAAAATTTTTATTTAGGACTCTACTAACTTTAACTTTTAATATGATAATGTTAGTGTTATAGTTCTTATGAATTTTTTATTTGAAAGAGTTCATTTGAATTATATATGAGGTAAATATTAAAAATATAGGCATGAATAAAAATTATATGCTTCCATTTGACTAAAGAGTTAACCACTTTTTTAGTGTATAAAGTTATCATTTTTTTTTCTATTTGAATGTGTCAACTTTAAATTTTTTTTATTTGAGTATACCTTACCAAGTTACAATTTTTTTTATTCGAGTAATTCTGCTAACTTCTATTAACTTTATGTTGATGTGGTTGTTAACTCGTACACGTGACACCAAATTGTGGATCCTACTATCGGACATGCGACAACCGAAAGAAAAGGAATTTATTAGATTTTTTATAGACATACTTATTATTATTATTATTTATTTTTTTTGTTTGAGTGTGTAAATTTTAATCTTACTATTTGAATGTATCAACTTGCAATTTTATTTATTTGAGTGGTTTTGTTAAGTTTAGGCTAATGTGCTCATTAACTACATATGTAGTACAATCATGTATGCTCGTATTGTCAAATGAATGACAACTAGAAACTTCACGCCATTAGATCCAAATTAAAAATTAAAAAAAAATATTTAACAAATGTTTGTATATAAAAAGGGAAAAAATATTACAAAAATAAATTATAAAATTAAACAAAAACCTTCATAGCTCAACCCATCTTACCCAACTCGCATTTAGCCCATCCTTTACTCTAAATCAAAATTCATTTTCATCTCGCCATCTTTCAAATAGTCATCATAAACTCCAAATCAAAATTCATTTTCATCTCCTTATCTCCAAACAGTCACCATTCACTTTGCCAATATTCAAAATTTCACATTCTCATCTCCTAAAGAGAACACCAAACCACCAAGCCAAACCTCACAATTTGCAAGTAAACCTAATAGTTATGCATCATCAATAACAATTACCACAACCATCCAAATAGTAAACCTATGCCTACCATTATTAGAAAAACCCATTGCTGCCACTAACACATTGTCTCATCTCCCAAAGAGAACACCAAACCACGAAGCCAAATCTCACAATTTGCAAGTAAACCTAATAGTTATGTACCATCAATAACAATTACCACAATCACCCAAATAGTAAACCTATGCCTAGCACTATTAGAAAAACCCACTTTCGCCACTAACACATATTAAAATCGATAACTACTCGCTAATTTATTGTTTTAAAAAATCGGGATGAGTGGATGAACTATAATTGCTAATGCTTGGAGGATAACATAGAAGAAGAAGAAATTAAACATGAAATTCTCACAATCGAACCACCATGCAACTTAGCTAGATGGACGAGGTGTTGTTGAAAAAAAAAAAAAAGAGCATAAAAACTCATGTCGGTAATTAGGGCACGAACTTGGCCGGATGGACATATGGCGTTGCCATTAAAAAGAAAAATTGAGGATGAAAAGCTTACAGTCCGACCAATGTATAACTTGGCCATGTAAACATAGAGTTGCCATTAAAAAGAAAAATTGAGCATGAAAAGCTCATGACTTGGTCGATAAAGGGTTTGAGCAGATGGACATGGTGTTACCACTAGAAAGAAAACACAAAGCATGAAAAGCTCATAGCTTGATCGGCATGTAATTTGACCAATTAGACATGGCGTTGTCATCATAAATAAAAATTGAGCATGAAATGCTCAAGGACTTACCAACATGTAGTTTGCCCAAATGGACGAAGTGTTGCCATCGAAAGGAAAAAAAACAACTAAGTATTAAAAGCTTGTGGCTCTGGTCGGTATATAGATTAGCCAAATGAAGATGACGTTGCCGGTAAAAAGAAAAACTAAGCATGAAAAGCTCACGGTATGGCCGAGTGCACAATTTAGTCATATGAGCATGGTGTTGCCATAAAAAAGAAAAGAAAAATAAGCATGAAAAGCTCATGATCTAGCCAACATGCAACTTGGCCAAGTTTTACATAATAAAAACAAATTGAGCATAAAAAGCTCTTGGTTTGATTAGTGTGTTGCATGGCTAGACATAACATTGTTGTCTTGGAGGATTTTGAAGTATTGTTATTATTCTTGCTATAGTATGAGTTAAACATTTTGCAAAATCTTCATGAGTTTGTTGATTGTCTAAAGGCCCGGATGTGTAACAATCATGATAAGAGCTTGAGTAATGGGTAAAGGTAGGCCTCCTCCTAGTAGTGCCTGGCGACTACAACTTTCAACTTAAGGGTTTGAGGATTGTTGTCATTATCAATGTCATCACGCCTCCTTTTCTTGCCACCATCATGGGTGCCTTTCTCCTTGTGATTTTGAAAGGAGCCATTGTTATTTCACAATCACCAACTTCCTAATAGAGTCGCCAAAAAGTTTGGGGTTCCCGAAAACTAATCAAACAAAAAAATAATGATCGACCAATCAAATAGAATGGATATAAATAATGAAAGACATATAAAAAAGAACAAACAAGTACCAACAAAAAGCAAGTTGAGTGGTTGATAGACAAAGTAAATCAAAGTCCAAACGTATAGAGATTTAGACGTTGTCCGATACGTGTGAGTGGAAGAGTTTTAAGAGAGAGTTTAGATGTTTTTTTTTCTCTAAAAATCAAAGAGTTAGAATACTATCACAAGATGTAAGATTGATATTTTATAGTAAATTGAAGATGACCCTTAACTCGCTATTATCATCGTGTCACGAGCATTCATGTTTAATTCAAATTATAGTGAAATCACACCTATAGTTGCAACTTAAGTAAATATCAGCAAGATTATCAAATGGACTAATATAACTCTTATTTCAAATTTTTAGATGAAAAAATTATAAAAAAATAAAATAAAGTAAAATATGATTTTACTATTCATTTTCACTATTTAAAACATTATTCACACACTCACAAATTGCTATTTCTCTCACTATTTATGCCATTTTTATTTCACTTTGGTTCTCAATTTTTCTATACTTTTTTTTTCAATTTCAAATTTTAATTATATTGTGATTTAGTCTCATTTTGTTTTAGTATTTTCTTTTTATTATTTTTATTATTTAAAATTAACTACTTTAATTTTTCAATTTTTAAAAATTCTCTTTTTTTTTTCAATTTCAAACTTTATTTATATTGTGATTTGGTTCCATTTTGTTTTAGTATTTTTTATTAATTATTTTTATTATTTAAAATTTACTACTTCAATTTATCTTTTTGTTTTAAAATTCTCATCCAATTAATTTAAAATTATATTTACTCATAGTTTTGATTTATTTTTCTATATGTATGGATTTTGGAATAAATTTTTAGGACATGACTATTTTTTTCTTTTGAAAAATAGATTTAGATAAATTTTAAATTATGGCGGCATGATTAATATATGTAATTTGTTTGAAATATATTTTTAGATCAAAAGTGTATTTCAAATAATTGTTTCTCAACTTTTTATATTATTTTAAATTTACTACATTAATTTGTCATTTTTTTTCAATTTCAAACTTTGATTATATTGTGATTTCGTCCCATTTTGTTTCGAGTGTTTTTTGTTAATTATTTTTATTATTTAAAATTTAATTTTTTATTTTTAAATTCTCATTTAATTAATTTAAAATTATATTTACTAAAAGTTTTGATTTATTTTTCTATATATATGGTTTTTTAAATAAAATTTTAGATGATTATTATTTTTTTGAAAAATAGATTTAGATAATTTTTAAATTATAGTGGCATGATTAATATATATAATTTGCTCGAAATATATTTTTAGATTAAAAATGTTTTTCAAATAATTTTATCTTTGTTTTTTTATATCATTTAAAATTTATTACATTAATTTGTCATTTTTTTAATTTTTTTTTTTGTAATTTCAAACTTTGATTATATTGTAATTTGGTTCCATTTTATTTTAGTGTTTTTGTTAATTATTTTTATTATTTAAAATTTACTACTTTAATTTGTCATTTTTTTTAAATTCTCATCCAATTAATTTAAAATTATATCTACTGATAGTTTTGATTTATTTTTCTATGTGTATGGATTTTGAAATAAATTTTTGGAACATGATTATTGTTTCTTTTGAAAAATAGATTTAGATAACTTTTAAATTATAGAGTTATGATTAATATTTATAATTTTTCTAAAATATATTTTTAGATTAAAAGTGTATTTCAAATAATTTTTTCTCAATTTGTTTTAGAAAAAACTCTAATTAATTAATTAATAGTTGAAAGTTAAATGTGAAAAATAAAAAAGAAGATGGTTGCTCTAGCCATGCATAGCATAGAAATTAAAAAAAAAATTAAGAAGGAGGGGAAAAAAAAGAAAAATAATTCACATGTTTTATTAATTTGTTTCTTCTTCGTATAATAAAAATTAGTCGAAATCAAATTTTTCATAATTTTTATTTTGGTCTATTAACTTTAAATTTAGTCAATAGATTTCTTGCGAGTTAACTCTCTTTTTTTATAGTATTTTTTGTTTTAAACTAAAAATTATGAACTTACTTAGTATATTTATGATGTATAAAAAAATATTGAATCGTTGTTTTTTAAAAAATTAACTATGAAACTACTACTACACTAATCATTTACTATTTATTTATTTATTTTTAAATTAAATAATTAAAATAATTTTTGGCTTAACCACTCAATGATTCAAATTAATATAGTTTTTTATTTTAATATTATTCATTATTTTATAAATAAATACATAAAAATTAAATTAATGTTTTTTCAAAAATCAATATTCTCATCAACAATGAATAAAAAAATTATTTGTTCAATTCTATGTAAGCTTTTAATAAATGTTATTTATGGTTTTCAACACAATCTTATGAAATATTAAAGCTTTTTTAAAAAAATTATTTAATTTTTTTTTAGTTAATCATCAATGGATTAATTAACAAGGATAATTCTTTTTTTCTAAAGAAAAAATTATGAAAAATACAAATAAGAAATTGTTAAATACAAAATTTTTTATTAAAAAATTATAGATTCACATTATAAAACAGATTATCAAATTGAAATGATTTCTCTAAATAATTTTATATATTTTATCCAACCCACAACCATTGCAAGGGCAAAAAACTAGTTCATCAACTAAACAATCTAAATACTTTAACCACATTTGATTTTTTTTTTTTAAAAAAAAAACAGTATCTCTACGCTATTTAATGAATTGTTTAGAGAATTTGCGTGATTGTGTAATTTTGTACTAAAAAATACTTTCAACTTAAAACAACATTTTCCTTTTGCATAATGCTATTCATTAGGAAATAGGCATCCGAAATAAACTTTGAGTATCAGATCAATTAACTTTGTCTGATTTTTTTTTTTTTTTTTTTTTTTTGAGTTCAAGTAAACGTTCCAATTAAGTCCATCCGATTAATGATTTGGGTATTATGAATATTTCCGAATGGATAAAAATGTTTTCTTTTGCCTCTTTTAAAAGTACAAACCTCCATTCCATTTCCCAAACAGGAACCAAAAAAGAAGAAAATATAGATTAATGTTTTAACGGATTATTGTTACAAAACAATAAAAATCAGTCCAGCAAATGGAACCTCACTTTCTTCTCGTTCAGCGCTCCTTCGCTACTAAAACAACACCAGCATTACTTCCACTTCTAAACCAGAATAACCAACTCTCCACCGCCAATAATATTAGTAGGCCTAGTGGTCCTCACTGCTGGGCTTGGAAGAATCAGGGTCCCACTTCAACCGGACGCTCCAAGTTCAATCTTGAAGATGAGCTCTATACTGATAGTGGTGATTATGATAATGAGTTTGGATTTAGTGGAACTGGGAAGCAGAGGGTATGGTGGTTTGATGATGATGATGATGATTGGGATGTTGATAATGAGGAGAATGAGTTTTGGGTTTTCAAGGTATGTTAATAAATAAGGGATGTTGATTATGTTGGTTTTTTATTTTTATTTTTACTTTTCTGATCATGGGAAATTGAGTTTTTTTTTTTAGTTGATAAAGATTGGATTTTGGTAACTGGGTTTTGTTTGATGCGATAGAAGTGTTTGAAATGGAAGAAAAAGATTGAAGTTTTGTCATTAATCAAAGAAACTGAGTGGGAAAATCCTACTACACGATGATAGAAAGCTTCTAAGAGCTACATGAACAAGCAATTACTGCATACAACAGAATACTCGGGATTAGAAATTGCATACTTAATAGCTTAGTATTATGAAGTTTATTGGTACTTATGACCTGCACAATCCACTTAAGAAGTAGAACCAGCCTAATCATGAATTCGTTTATTCCTTTCAACCCAGATGCCATAAACAGCAGCATTCCATGACAATCTCAACAATACAGAGAGAAAACACTTCTTCTGCAGAACATTTTTGCCAACCAAACTCAGTCGGCCAGTTGCCAACACTCCTTTTAATCCCCACTTTTTTGCAAAATGGAAAGCCACACACTTTTGGAATTATCACAATAAGTGCTTAGTATCCTCTCTGCATATCCACTAAGTAGACAAATAGGATTCATATTCCCGCGCCTCTTGATCTGTCTGTCTTTGGTTAAAAGTCTCTTAGGAGTTGCCAGCCAAATGATGAAACTGCATCTTGGGTCATGTAAACTACCCCAGTTCAGTTTGTGCTAATCCACCCTGTTGTTTTAATCCTGAGAAATTCCCAGAACTCCTTGATGAAAACTTCCCTCCTGAGCTCAACTTCCGCATTATACTGTCATCATGTATATCATTTGAGAAGATTACTCCACAAATATCTCATTCATCTTCAGCTAGAGATTTAGACCTTGTATGAGGCCAACTCCAGTCAGTACCTCTAATCACTTCATCTACCTTGGCATCAGCTTGAAGCCTTAGATTTTGAATTACTCTCAATCTATGCTTCTTGATAAGATGACCATTGGGATGCCAGCAATCCCACCAAAGATGAGTGGCATTGCCATGACCAGTTATATGCTCAATCTGACCCCAGCCTATCTCCTTGAGCTTGAGAATTTCTTCTATTTCCAAGTGCAGTCGCTTAAGCTCCAGCAACTCCTTCCTCCAAGCTTGTGGCTGAAATCCAGGCCTAGGTAGAAAACAATGTCGTGTTGATTTTTTTATTTATATAAAAGATCTTGAATTGCATCTATTTGTCAGATTTTGGAACTAAGAAAGGATAGAGAGGGAGCAATCTTATTGATTGCTAAGGTAATTTCATGGTATTTCTTTGAATTTTGGAATTGATTGGACGTTTCATTACCTTTGTAGAGCAACCTTCTTTCACTTAATTTGTTGTTGATGGCTATTAGGGAAGCAATAATCTTATGATGTAGGTGATTTTGGATTTCTGCTTTTGTTTGTAAGGACAATAATCTAGCTGTTGATTATTTGGTTAGAAAAAGGGGGAATCTTTGTAAAATATGGTTAATAGTGGGGTGGAGTTGTAATTTTGCTTCGCATTTCAGAACAAGTGAATTAGATTATATTAGAGGTTGTGCGGCTCAGAGGATTATTGGTTGTTGATTTGTTTAGTACCTAAGAAGAAAAGAGATGGAAAACGTTGTCAAAGTGGAAATAAGAAGGAAGAAGACGAAAAAAAATGTTTCCCTTTTAAAAGCTGGTTCCACCTTTGTGATATATTTGCTTGGTATTGATTGTAGCAACATTTTAAGCTGGGATCACTTTTTTTAATTAAGTGGTAAAGAACAAGGCATATTTAGGCAGACTTCTTGCTGGTTTGTGGTTAAAGAGTAATGTATAACTGGTGACCAAGGCAAACTTGCAAAGGGTGAGATAAGCTGAGAAGCTCGTAGTTTAAATTTTTTGGAAGGAGACATTAGAAATTGACAGGGCTGCCCACAGAATGATCATTGTTATTCTATAGCTATTTTTAGTGCCTGATACTTCTAGCTACATATATAAGATGATCCTCTTTTGTGCTTATGGAAAATTATGGTCTAAGCAGTCAATGATTGTTGAAAAGGAAGAATCACACCAATTTGGATAATGATTTCTGCATGTATAATGAGCGCAATCCATAATTGATCTGTAACCCACATCTATGAATTTGTGTCATCTATGGGGCTGTTAAAATTGCAATCTTGGTTGCCAATACATTTGTAAACTAGCCAATCCTTATTTAACTTTTTTTTCTTTGGGTTCTTGTTGATAGAAAGTCCTTCTCAACTGTAAAACTTAAATGAGTTTAGATTATGTGCAGTATAATTGCCTCTATAACATGACCATATGACATCATGTGGTTTAGTGCAGGTAATTAAAGCTTTTGGTTGGATGCTTCCAGCCTTCACCATATCATTTCTGCTAGGAACTGACAGTCCAAATGCTTTCTTCATGGCATTAGCAGTTCCATTAGGACAGACAGCACTCTCGCTTGTGATGGATAAAGTCTGGGGAACTTCAAGCACTAATCCAAAACGCAGACCTAGAACCAAAACCAGGAAAAAGCCATTTGCTAGAGCTGCCACAAAAACAAAAGCAACCGAGCGTAAGGCAGAGGAATACAAGACTAATGAAGGAAAAGGGAGTTACCAGTCATGGATGGCAACAGATGGTTCGAATAAGAAGGATGCCAATAGGGCACCCAGTTTTGGTGGATGGGATGATCTAGATAGCGCAAGCTACAAGGCCACTGGAAGGACTCAAAAGGAAGATGAGCTTCCTAAACGGAGTAAAGGTAAATTAAGTAGGAGAGGAAGAGTCAAGGACAGACCACTACTGCTTAGGCTGCTGATTGCTGTTTTCCCATTCTTGGCTTCCTGGACTAAGTTCCTCTTTTAATTTTTTATCGACTCATAGAATTTTCTCAACTTTCCACAATTGGATTGCAAACTGCCTGGAGAGATAGATGATCAGTGTGCTAATATACATGGAGATAAATTTAAGTACCATGTCAGGCTATCAGAATACATTTGAAACCAGTAGCTTGGTCTCAGCAACTAGCTTTAGGTATGGGCTCCTATCGAGCCGCTTTATTTCATTTTATTACTCATGCTCGTTGGCATTGTTGTTTTTAAGATCTGGAAGAGCTTTGAAATGATATGGATGTGTACATCAGTGGCTTCCCCTCGACTCATTATTTTGGGAAGAATGATTCGATTTCAAAAGCTTTCATTTTGCAGCCTTCTGTATCAACCACCCTAGAACTTCAAAGCCTTGTAGTCTATCACGCACTTATAAGGTATAAATTGCCAGTTCCTGCTGCAGAATTTCAGGACTTCAAGCATGCTGCATTTATTTGTAAATAGTGTTTTCTTTATTATTATTATTTGGGGTTTTTATATAATTCTCAAAGTTTTTCATCTATCTCTAGAATTTCAATTGCATTTAATCTCTCTCTAAAAATATTTAAAACGTTCAATTTGTTTTTCCAACCAATTTTTTCGATCATATAAAAAAATTTTGATCAAAAAACCTCTGATTGAAGTGTAAACAAAGTAAAATTTTAAAGATTTTAAAAATAAAAAATATAGGTTATGTGACTTTAATTGTTTTTTTTTAATATATATAGTTTTTTCACATTTTACTAAAGGATGTTTTGATTAAAATTATCTATAGTCAGAGACATTGATTAGAAGAAAAGATTGAATATTTCAAAAACGTTTAAAAACAAATTGAATGTATTTGAAAATATAGAAACAGATAGGAGGGTTTGAGTATTATATATAAAAAAAAGGTGAGAAATTTTGAGTTTTATATAAAGATAAATAAATAAATTTATTTTTATTATTTTATGATCATAAAGACTTTTTTTTTTAACAAGAATCTTGATGATATAGTGGTCAAAACAAACTGAGCTTTGGGTAGAGGTCTTACTTGACCTGGAGAGTGTCTTGATTAAGCAAGTTGTGCAGGTTATGTTAATTTTACAAAGCTAACCTTAATTTAGTTGTGAATCTATATTACATTGTTATAAAAATATTAAAACACAGAGATAAATTACTGTTCCTTTCTTGTAGACCAAGACTCAAAGTTACTGTGGACTGACTTTGACTATGACTTAGGCGACCTCTATTGCACTTCTTCGTGCCTTTCAGTCGTTCTTTTTCGCTTCTATTTCATCAAAACTTCATTTGCTTCGTTGATTTTTCAGCCATTTATGTCTCTATTTCCGTTGTCAATTTAAGGTCCTTGTAATGTATGCTTAATTGTTGTTATGACACTTAGTGGTGGTTTTCAGTTATGTTTTTATGCTTGCTTTCTTTTTTCTTTTTTCCAGTTGTTGTAACTTTATACTCGTTTGAACAAAGCAATTAATGCTTAACAATGACTGCAGCACCATTATTTCTTTTCCTTGGAATATGTTTGTTGTAAGTTTTGATATAGATATTTTTATTTTTTTAGTCCTTATATCATAAGTATGTTTTTGTTTGGTTTCTTAAATTTCAAAATGTTTAAAATTATCCTAAATTATATATGATTAATTTGAGATATATTTAACAAAAATAAAATATTTTTTTAATAAATGGTGGATTTTGCATAATTAACCTAATTTGAAGTTTTATTAATTAATAAGATAACTTTATATGGTTATCCAAAGTAAAATCTTATTTTTTTTGATTAATTTTGAAACATTATTATATATATTTTGAATTTTCATAACCCAATAGTTTGGGGGTAATTTTTGTTATTAAATCACTAGACTAAGCTTTTTAATGGACAAATGCCCATAGTTAGAGTAGAAAAATCGTTAATATTTTTAATACCCTCTAGTTTTTCTTTCGCTCCTTTAGTAAACAAATTAAATTGATTGAGTTACATTCTTTTCTTCTAAACTTTACGGATTCTTTTTTACTAGATTGGTTAAGGAAAGAAAGACAAAAAAAGATATAGATAGAAAGAAAATTGTCATTTTGGGTTATTGTTTGGTTAAATACAGATAAATTTATCACGGCCCTGGCTTCTTTTTTTTTTTTTTTTTCAAATGTCAGAAATTACTGTTTATTTTCTCATATTATTTTTTTCCCTCTAAAGTCTTGTCTGTGTGGCCTTTTTTTTATGCTTTTGCTTCTTTTTTTCATCAATTTATTTTGATTTTTATTATTACAGTTTATTGGGCAAAAATTATGGAAGATCGATCATTATATTTTAGATTTCTCAAACAACCTAGAGATAAAAAAATATATATGATATATTTTTATATTTTAAAATGAGCATATATTTCAGATTATATTACGCTTATTATTTAAATTTTATTTCTTTAATTTATCATTTCTTATATAAATGTTCATCCAATAGATTTTTTTATTAAATTTTATTTATGAACAAATATATTTTTATTAAATTTTATAACATTCTTATTCGCTTTTTTAAATATAAATGATATAATTTATATGATGGATCCGATAATTTTTTAATCTTAGCTTTGAACGCGAGGCTTCAAAATTTATCAAAATCAATTTTGTAATAGTTTTTATTTTATTTTATTAACTTCAAATTTATTCAATTATTACGTACAAATTAACTATTTTTTAACATTTTTTTTGTTTTATGTTGTAAGCTCTAAACCTACTTAGCATAGTTATTATATAAAAAATATAATTAAATTGTTGATTTTATTAGAAATTAACTATGCATTAACACAAAACATAGACCATTTACTTTTTATTTATTTATTTTTAGATATTATGAAATAAAATTTTTTTCAAATTAAATAATTAAAATTATATTTTTGTGAGCATTTACTATTTATTTATTTATTTTTGGATATTATGAACTCAATTTCTTTCAAATTAAATAATTGAAATTATATTTTTGCCGAACCATTCAATTATTCAAATAAAGTTTTTATTCTAATTTTGTTGATAATTTTATGAATAAATATATCAAAATTAAAATGTATAGACTTTCAAAAATTAATTTTCTGATCGACATTAAATAATAATCTTTTTTTCATTTGTTTATTTTATACAAGTTTTTACTTCAATTGTTACGTTATTTTAATGGCAAGGTATTATAAAAAAAATATTGTTCCTTTATTTTATTTTGTATTTTTTTTTTTTTAGGCTATTGTAAGTTCTTAATTAAAAATTTTATGGATAAAAAATAATAAATCATGTTTCTTTAGTAAAAAATTATGAAAAACATGAGAGATAATTAGTTAAATATAAAATTAGATGAATTTATTTATTTAGTATATTTTGGAGACTTTTAGTACGGTCCAGATCATTAAAATATAACGATTTTGTCAAATTAGTTTACATGTTCTGGTTGATCCTCAACATAACACGAACAAAAAGCTAGTCTGATCTAAACAATTGCTTGGTTATCACCAACTTTATATCAGTGTCACCCTCCTTTTCAATCTTCTCTTTATACCTGCTAGGCGTGTCCGGTTGTTCTTCATCGACATCATGATCGCATATTTTCTTGCGCTTCTGGATTCTTCAAATTCTTACTATTTTTGTTTTCAACCTTGTCTATTTACCAACCTCGATCTTGTTCCCTAAATTTGTTGTCGATCAACTGCTTCTGAGTGCTCTCATTAGCTGCTTTATCACCAACTTTTGTCCCCTCCTGACTTTTTTCTAGCTTCTTCAAGAAGTTGTCCATGACATGAAAACGTAGCAGCTTTCTCGTAATCAAGTGTCCACATGCTTGATCTGTCCATCCTTACCAAAAAATTATCAGAACTCAACGCAGGAACTATGAATTAAAGCCACAATATAATATTGAGAGATCAAAACGAAAAATTTTCTTGTTTTTTGGGCGCATCGTCTTTTGATGGATCTGTGTAGACAAAAGAAATCAGACCTTAATCGGTTATTGATTATTTTTTTTTTGTTTATCTGTATTATTTTAAAACTCAAAAAAAAAAAAAATGGTTTCATAGTTTAAACAAAACCGAACTGAAAAACCAAAATAATTAGTTTAGTTTTTTTTTTAAGTTAAAAAACAAACTAAAATTAGTATTCCGTTTCAATTTGATTTTTTTATATTTAAATCGAATAGTTTTCCCTCTTATTTGAAATCTTAAAGTAAAATTTACAATTTAGTTACCGTTTAGCTTCGAGTGTGAGTTTTTTGATTAAAAATTTAACCAATCATGTGTGGTATACAAAAAATTGATTGTGAATTTCATTTCAATCCCATGTAAAAACTCATATGCTAGATTTATTTTTATTTTTATTTTTTTCATTTTGGAGCTTTTCAAAAAAAAAAAAAAATCATATTATCAATAACTTTGGCGTTAACAAATCTTCTAATCAAACACATTTAGTTTCTAATCGCTACTGTAGTCACAATTATAAAAGGTACAACTACTGCTACAATCATAACCCAACTTCTGATCCAAAAAAACTTTAGGGATGTTTTTACTTCTTTGAACTATCTGCAAGCAATACTTGAATTTAAGCCAATGTATGCATAAAACACAAATCATATGCTTTGAGAAAAAGGAGTTTCACATGTGTCCTTTGTGGACAAATGACATAAAAATATAGAACACCTCTCTCTTCTCCTTAATATGATATGCAATTCTCAGTTTTACCCCTAAGTTAAAAATTATATCAATCAGGTCCCTATTGTTTCAAACATTTGTCAAATTGGGTCCTTCTATTCATGTCCGTAACTGTTTTCTGTTTATTGCATGTATTTTGCGGAAGTAAACAACATCTTTTTTACGAAAAAAAATCTACGGGAAAATACTAATGGACTTGGAAAAAATTAAAAAAATTAAAAATACATAAAAAAAATAGGAACCCAAATATTGAATAATTAGTTTGAATGAAAATGAGAATTGGATGATACACTTGTAGGTAATTTGAATTTTTTTTTTCTAAAATTTGTATTTTATATGAGATGAAAAAATTAATTTGTATTTAAAAGTGAAGTATAGATGGTGTAAAAAGTGTTAGAAAATTAATGGTTAAAAGCTTCTATGGGTACTTTTACTCTTAATTTTGTACTAGTTTTTTTAATCTATTATTATTTGTCTTAATACCCCCCTTTACTTTTACATTCGTCTTGATTGCATCCTCATTTGACCGAAAGTCATGGTTGCAAGTTAATCAGCCAGTAACTTATCTAGAATGTTCACACGTGTCCAAATTTATTTTTTTCTTTTCATTTTCCTTTTTTACCTTTTGTTTTTTTTTTTTTTTTTTTTTGGTAGTTGAAACTAATAGATTTTTTGCAGACTGTTCCAATCAATAACGCAAATAATTTGAACTGACAATATCAAAAATATACTATTTAACAACAAGGTGGAAAGAAAAAAAAATTTAGACTTTTTCGATCCTTAATTCCATAAAATCATCACATCTCACAAGCTACTAGAATCGTTTACTCAAAAAGAAAAAATTTATGTAACAATTTAAAAAAAAATGGTGTCAGAGGTATTTGTATGCATGAGAGAAAATTATAAAGAATATTGATTTTTTGTTAGTAAATAATACAAAATAAAAAAATGATTTTCTTTATCAATTAGAGGTATTTTTAAAAAGTATATTATCTAACATTTTGATTATACAGGTATCTTGAGATAAATATAAAGAATGCAATCTCTTTGGAACAGAAAAAATATTAAATATAGTGTAGATCAATCATTATGGTAAGTGTGTTTCTTTAAGAAAGATGTTTAAGTAGTTATATTTCCATTCTATTTTTGATGAATATAAACTTTAATATGTCACTTAATCTTTTAAAACTCCAAAATATCAAATTTGAAAGCATCACTTTATAACATGTATTTTATTAATATCTTTTTCAATCAAAATGTTTGTATTTTGTAATAAAACGTGGGTTTACCTTATATTTGCACTTTGTACAATGGAGAACCTTTTTTATTGAGACTTTTTATGATTTTTCAGTCCGATTAAAGGCTTCGACGTTTTGAAATTTTTTTATCTAAACCCTTCGTTATGATGTCGTTAATAGCAACCTATCGATGATTGACACATGACCTTATGAGTTCCAAATAACAATCTTTTCATCTAGATTGAAAAAAAAAAAAAAAGATTTTAAAACTGATCTTAACAATAAAATAATTCATAAAATTAAAAAAAAAAAAAAAAAGAAGGAGACACCAAATCTTCCCCAATCCATTATTCCCAACCCAATTATTTTTTCTTCAGAAAAAAAAATATTCTCTCTCTCCTCGTCCTCTCTCTTTCCTAATTTCAAGATTCAAATTTTAAAGGTTGGCAAGGGAAATAGCCAAGATTTCAAAAATATCAAGATAGATTCAAGGCTACAGAGTCATACCTTGTTGTGTTGTTTAAAGATACCAAATTGTGTGTTATTCATGTGAAAAGGGTTACTGTTATGATTAAAATATCTAGTTGGCTTGTGTAATTAGAGGCAAAAGGGCTTAATAAAAGTAATTAGTTATATTGGGTTTTTAGTTTTAGGCCTCTAGTGCGATGCCTTCTTATGTTTAGATTCTAAATTCTTGAGATTAGTTTGGGTTTGTCTTCATTGTAAATCATTTTCATATCAAACGAGAAATTGAGTTATTTTTTTTGAATTTCACTTGTTTAATGAGTTTGTCAATTTTTCACTGATTGGAAAAAAATTGATCCTAAATAAAATGGATAGTGAAATGTTTAGTCTAATAAAGTGAATGATTGTTGATGTTGGTATTATTATGAATAATCACATTTTAAATTTTGAATCTTGAAATTAGGAAAAAGAGATAACAAGGAGAGAGGACGATTTTTTATGAAGAAAAAATAATAAGGTTTGGAAATAATGGAGTGGGGTGATTTGATCCTTTTCCTCTTATTTTTTAATTTTATGAATTATTTGAATGTTAAAATCATTTTTTTTTCAATTTAGACGGAAAAACTATTATTTAGGACCTATGATGTCATATGTCAATCAATCGATAAGTTGTTCTTAATGGTGTCATAAGGGAGAGTTTAAACCAAAAAAATTTCGAAGAGTAAAAAGTTTTAATCAAACTAAAAAATTATAAAGAATCTCAATAAAAAATATTCGAATTATATAGGATCTAAACGCGGGATAAACCCAATTAAATATTAATTATTCAAAAAGAAGGAGAAAAAATGTAGAATTAAAAGTTCGGTACGTGCCGGATAGGATGGACAAACCTCCTAAAAATAATGCTTCTTCGCCCTAAAAAACTGACAATACATGCGTACTTCAGGATCAATCATTGTTGTACTTGTGTTCATCAAAAGTGCGTACATAGGGAGAGTCACAAGGCTTTTGAGTAGACCATCACTAAAGTTATCATTTTTCTTAGGCTTTAATGATTTTTTTTTGCTCCAAAATTACTGAGGCTGTAATAAATTAAAGCATGTATTATTAATTTAGACAATTTTATCTCTGTACTTATGTTTGGCTAAATTTTGTCTCTTTCTTTGAATTGACCATTATCCTTAATGAATAATTTTTTTAAAAAAATTAATTTTTAGTTTTTCAAGTTGAATTTTTTCACATATACTAATAAAAATTCAATCTACTTTAAAAAAATTTTAAAATGTATTGTGGAAACAAACATTTTTTTATTTAAAAAATTAGATATTAATAAAAGTATAAATAAAAAATAATAATTTGGAATGATTTCAAGATTTGTTGGTGGGTGTCTAAAAAAATCATATAAATTTATCTACACAAAGTCATGGATGAATATGTAACACCTAACCAAACTTCAAATAGATTAATTTTGAAAACCAGATATGCAAGAATTTTAAGAAATTCGCTAAAATTATGTACATAAAATCATATGGTCTCCTGAAAAAAATTCAAGGCAATTCTAACTTATTTTTATGTTTCATAATTTAATTTTTTTTATTTTCTAAGATTAAAAATACTTTTCGATTTTAATTTTTTTAAAAATTATTTGTGAAAGTTGATTTAATGTTCATTAGCATTTATTAAAAAAAGAAGAAGTTGAAAATACAAAAAATATATATTTTTTAAAGGGATCTTTGGTCAACTAATGGTTAAATGAAACATAGTCCAAAACATGATAGTTTAAGAAAAAAGTAATAAAATTAATAGCACGGGCCTAATATGCTACAATCCTAATAGTTCAGGGGTAAAAATATCATTAAACCTTTATCTTAACCTTTTCTCCCTGTACTTTTCCAGTTTAGTCACGATGACCCTCCCTTTTAATATATATATATATATATATATATATATATATATTATTTTTAAATTTTTTCAAATTTTTTTCTTTTATTTTTTTTAATATTTAATATTTTTAAGGTTTTTTCTAGGTTTTTTCATGCTTTTTGTAGACTTTTCAAAATTAAAATTTCCTTTAATGGTTGTGGAGTTTTTAGAACAAAAAGCGTCAATGGAATATATGGGAGAGAATATGAATACATAAGGGCATATGAGAGTGATTTTTTTAAAAAATAATAATATTTAGTTTTTTAAATGAATCTGTTAAAGTCACTTTCATGTACGTGTAGGGGTTACCATGACCAAATTGGAAAAGCACAGGGACAAAAGGTGATTTTTAACATTTATCTTGGAGGTCCCCATTTAAGGTACAGATAAAGAGTAAATTATAAATTAGTTCCTTTAGTTTTGAAAAATAAATTAATTAGTCTCTTCTGTTTCAAAAACTAATTATTTAATTATTTTTGTTTATTTATATTTTTTTTAATTTGCTTTTTTTTTAAATTAATATCATGAAAAGATGGATGAAAAAAATACTTTTAAAATAAAATAATATTAAATTAAACATGATCAATACAGATTAAAATACTAAATAATTAATTTTTAAAATAAGAAAGATTAATTAATTAGTTTCTTGAAAAATAAATGGTTTAATTTATAATTTACTCCGTACGCAATGCTTTCCACATCTGGGAGTTAGGATATGCATGTTCGTATAGAGTTAAAGGTCTCCCCAGATCACTATACATGTTTGCTTACTTCACGAAATGGTTGGATAAACCAACCGAAAGTTATAATCCGGCCGGCACTTGTCGACAATGAAGTGTTTATAGGGAAGCTGGAATCCAAAACAATCAAATGTTGGCATTAATTAGAGAGAATGACCCTTCATTCCTTTTTGCAAGTTGAGGCTCATCATCAATCAACTTCTACTCATCCAAAAAGAATTTTCGTTTTCATCATTTCATCAAAGAAATTAAAACGATGTGGTCTTAAAAGCTCAAAATATTATTATTATTATTATTATTATTATTTTGAAAAGTGCCAAGCTATCTAACAAGTCTGCGGGCTGTTTGCAGAATTAGATATAGTGATCATGAGGGGGAATTAATTACCAAGTCCCAAAAGACAATCATTAGACAAAGAAGCAAAGAGAGAGTGGAATTAATTGTTTCCACATGATGGAAAAGTCGGAAAAAAGCCATCGAAAGTATGATTCGGGTGGGTAAAAAGGCTTTTGAAAGTCTATGTAATGACGTCTATCTAAATTGGTTTTGGTAAAGATAGTAATTGCGAATCAAAGACTTCAGAGTAGATAATGTTGAAAAAGAAGAGACTTTTATGTATTTTGTTTAAAAGGTAAGAGTGCTTTTAGATCAGCTCATACGTTAATTGAGGTTAAGTTTTTTTTTTTTTTTTGAGGCTTCATAATTAACTCCCCCTCGATCATGATCACTATGTATATTGTTAGGCAATGGGGAAAAACAAACGGATCTCAGATGAGCAATGAAACTGGGAGTGGAAAATCGATGCTTTTCTCGTGTAAATTGGTACCTAGATATTATTGGTCTTTAATACGTGCAGGAATATTAACTTGGGTCCACGAGAAACCCTTGCCTAGATTTGTCCAGATCCATAAGGAAATGAGAACCGCCCTGTTTTCCCCACAGTTCTTCTTTCTTAGGTAGCAGGTAGAAACTGGGATCTGAGAAATAAATAAGCCAATTGAAATGGGGTTAGTTCTTCTTTAGATAAACAATATTTTAGCCCCTATTGTTTGAGTAATATTTTATTTCGGCCCCTGTAAATTAAAGCTTTGAATAGATAACAATTGCCCACCTTTTTCCAAACCTTTTTGTTTCAACTTTTTATTTTTACTATCTTTCTCCTCCCATAATCTTTACTGATATTAAAAAACAAAAAAAAAATTAAACAACATGAACTAAAATAACATTGTATCATAAAAATCTTTTACAAAAAGACCACATAAATTTTTAAGAGAATTAACATTACGGTTAGTCGGACTAACTAATCCGCTATACTTTTAGCTTTTTGTTAACGAGTTAAAACTATAATATTTAACTAATGTATGAGTAAACTTTTAATATCTTCAATAAATGCATCTATCTATTTCCAACTGAATCTTTTTTCTTGGTTGAGATATGAAAGCCACCACAATCAAAATATCTTATTCAACTAACATTTGTAGTGAATTGATTTATTATTTCAATAGTTTATTTTTTTCTTTTAAAAAAATGACTCTTTGTAAAATAGACATAATATCTTATTCATTTTTTTATTTTTTATGATATTTTCCTCAATAATCTGTCTCAAAAAAACCTGTACGTATCACAATAGTTCACGTGGGTGCAGTGCAATTAATAAAAGAAGCATCACAATTAAATTTTGATTGAACCTAGTGATGGGGTACCCCGGTTCGAAACTTTTTGAAAATTCCAATATCGATTTGGAGAAGTTTAAACTACAAGGACTAAGATAGAATATTCTATAATCTATACAGCTTAGAGTATGGTTTATCCATTTTTTTGTTTCTCATGTACTTTATAGATTCGGGTAGAAAAAATGGGACATCCTTGAAATCAATTCATTTACCCAAAGACATTAAATTTGGCACTAAGTTCTTGGAATACGCTAAAGATCCAATCATAATTTCCAGTCTCCATCACAAACCAGCCCAACAAATCAAGCCCACCCAATAACACCACCACCACCCCCACCAGGCCGCCGCCGCCGCCACCAACAACAACAAGAAAAGTCCATTATCCATTATCAAAATCTGAAAAATACACCCAAGCCAACTTGTTAATAATAATAATAAAAACTTCCTAATCCTTCCCCCTTAAGTCCCTTTTAACGCAAAAAGACCCAAATTGCCAACTCACAGACACAAAAACTTTCCATCTCTTGCTTTCTCTCTCTCTTTATTTATTTTTTTTATGCGCCTACTCTTGTTTGCTCCAAACCCAATCAAAACCTCACTATATTTCCTCAACTCCCTCCGATCCAACTCAACCAAACACACCTTGCCAACTGGGAGATCTTTCTTCCCTGCAAGAATGGCAATCCCTCCGAGATTAATAGCATCAGCACCATCTTGCACGACAACATCAACCAACAACAGTAGCATTAGCATTGAAGAGGGTCTTGCTAGTAAATTCTGGATCAAGTTTAGAAGAGAATCTGTTTTTGCTATGTACACCCCTCTTGTCATCTGTTTGGCTTCTGGCACTCTCAAGATTGATTCTTTTAGGCATTACATCTCTCAAGATGCTCACTTTCTCAAATCTTTTGCTCAGGCGTGAGTACCCTTTTCTCCTCCTTTTTTTAAAGCTGTTTTGATTGTTGTCTTCTTTTGGAGTTTTTGATCTGTGTGATATAGTGATTCAAAGATTGTTTTTTATTTCTTTTTTTTTTTTTTTTTTTTGAGGGTTCTTGGTTGGTGGGAGATTGAAGTAATGATTGACAATTTATGGTTACGTGTTTAGGTGACTGAGAGAAAGAGATTAGTGAATTTTGGATATATTGATGAAAGAGTTTCTTGTTTGGTTAATAATGAAGTGAAGAGAAGATAGTTTATGGTTGAGGTTAGGTCATTAGGAGGGAGAAGAGAGATTGTTTGATTGGTAGTAGGGTTTCTTTTTATTATGTCTGAAAGTAACCTATTTGTTTGGTACATGAGAAAATGATCGAGAAAAAAATATGAAAAAGGTTTGATTATGGAGGGATATTGTTATCTTTATTTGATTGATTTAGATTCCTTGAATGTCCTTGTTATGGAGTTGTAGAAATGATGAAAAAGTGGTGGCTTGTACTAATTTAGATGTGTTATCTGTGAAAGGAAATAAAGTAATTGGTTTTGGATGAACTGGCGTTCGGTTTTTATATTGTTCTAGAATCCTATTTGAATGTTTCGGTTTTCATTTTAGGTTCCATATGCTTGTCTTAATTTTCGTAGCAGGTTTATTAGAAAGTTTGGCAAACTAAAATAATTGGAGTAAGGGTTCAATTAAGGTTGGAGAATACCGTATGTTTAAACCTTACCTAGAGAACGATATATGATGTTCTTTGCTTATAATACATAGAACTGAAATTAAAACTTAAGCTCCATTTGGTTGCTGAGAACGGCGGAAGGAAATAAGCAACCAAGAATGTAAAGACTAGTTTTCTTTATTTGGAAACAGAGCTGCTAATTCGGACACTTTTTTAAGTTAAGTTAATTAGATTATTGCCATATTTTGATAAGTTACAGTACTTTCCTGCGGAAACAATGTAGCATAAAATATATGAATAAAAGTCTTTCCATCTTTTCTCATGTCAGTTTTCAGTTGCTAATTGGAGGTTTAAATTGCTATTGTTTGAAAAAAAAAAAATTACTGGTTATACCACCTGATTTGATTTAAACAATTGAATTATAGACTGTTTTATTCACTCTTCTCAAGTATTGACAACACCAATAGAGTTATTTTACTTTTTAGGGGTTTGATTTGTTTTATTATTGGCATCATTTGATTTAGGTATGAATTGGCAGAAGAGTGTGCTGATGATGATGAAGCAAAGCTAGCAATCTCCGAGTTGAGGAAGGGTGTCTTAGAGGAGCTAAAGATGCACAATTCATTTATACAGGTTAGATAATTGAACCAGGAAGCTCTTTTCCTCTTCTTTTTCTTTCCATGTACTATTTGGTTATCTGTTTTGGTGGAGGAAAAAAAAGTTAACTTTTGTGTTTTTTAACCTTCGATTGTGCAATTTGAGTGTTTTTCTTTTTTTTGTTCTCTTCCTCAGGGCTTCTCCTAATGAAATGCTTAAGCGCCTTTCCCTTCTGTTGGTATTTTGTGAGAATCCATAAGTATCATCTCTTTGTTTCCTTGACCAACCTTGCTTAAAACAGCTTTCTTGGGGAGAATATTTCAATTTTTTTCCTCGTGTTCTGACATTCACGACTTTAATTTGGATTTTTTACGTTGTATTATAAAATAGTTGACACGTGACTTGATTTAGTTGATTTTAGGTCAAATTGTTTCATATATGAACTTATCATTTTTGTCTTCTTTATACATTTGATTGCAATAGCGCATGGTATCATTGTTATACTTTTTTGGTGAGCATCATAAACAATGTGGAATGAATGGACAATAAATGACCATGTTTATTTGGTATTAAATTTTGTACACGTGAGGATTTTATCAAGTTTATTGGATTATTGAACTCCAAAAACCAAATTCAGGTGGAAAATGTAATAAAGCTGTCTAAGCATTGTGTCATAGTGGAGAAGGCATAGCATATGGAGGGGAGTGGTTTTTTAACCCTTACTTGAAATGGGTAAAAGGTAAAAAAAGAACTATAAGAATATGAACTTGGAGTTCTTTCTGTTCAGTGCTTGTGGTAATTGATCATTTGCTGTCCAACACTGGTCTGGCGCTCTATTGGAAATGTATATGGAATTTTTCAGTAATTTCATGATTGATGTTGACATAAAACTCCATTCAAATTGTAAAATCATATGGTTTTTACCATGTGAACAACCATTGACAATTTAAATCTCATGAAAAATCCTTTTTCCACAAGATCGTAGTGAAATTGGGATTTAAGTTGTCAAAATCATGAAGTAAGGATCTTATGGGATTTTTGTAGGGTAAAGGCTGCTGAAATTATTGGGCTATTTTCTTGTAATTGGGTTTTCCTCCTTTTTTTTTTTTTTTTTTTTTGGGTTTCATTTTGTGTTTTATTTCAAGCTTGGAGGCCTTTTTTGTTATTTAGTACTTTGGGTTTTTTTTCTTTAATATTTAATTAACGGGATTTGGATACTTTTACTGTGGATTTGATATTTGATATTAATTAATTGGATACTAAATGCTTTTCAATGCCTTAATTTTTCCCTTTTATTTTCTAGAAGGGGTGGATTAAAACATCCTTAATTGAAAGGCTTGTTAATGTTGAAAGATGTGTCCAGAAAAAAAAAAATGAAGTGCTGAAATTATTTTCTCAATTATAAAAACTGATGTAGAAGTATATTTCCATATACCTGCTAAATTCTATTATTTATAGTGCTGACAAACTTAGTGACACTAAGGATGATTTAAAGATGAGTTTTTAAAAACTTCGACATGTTTATTAATTACATTATTTATTACTCCCTCATTCTATTCACGTAAGCTTGATTATCTTAAAAAAAAGATTTTTTTTTCCTTGTATACAGCTTTTCACTCTTAATTGGATTTTCCCTGCAAGGATGTTATTTGTAATTATTATTTGAAAATATGTTTTTTTTAGGATATTTAGTTGTAAATCCTTACTTTGTATCTGATACTATTACAGTTTATTGAATCTTACAACTTTATAGGTTCCTATCTTACAGTATGATTTTTGAACCCTACAATGATCCTAGTTAAAATCCCGACTTGAATAGCCTAGGATGTTGTCATTACTGTTAAAGTATGACAGGAGTAAAACAAAAAGCGGGAACATTGAACAAGCTAGATTGAAATGTGCACAATGGTTGCTTTCCTGTGTGCTATGTGTAGATAAAAAAATCATTGTCGGTGGCATATATAATGTGTTTAAGACTAATAACATGAATGGGATTTCTAAAAGTGCTACACTGATAAAATCATTACACTGCTAGGAAATGTTGCTTGATCAGGCTTTGTAATGCTCACAGTTTAAATTGGGTTGCTTGACAAATGTATTCACTTGGACATGTATATGCTATTTTATAATAATTCCTAATTATCGAACTCGGTGAAAATGTTGCTTAAAATGGGTTTCTAACCCCGGCAAGAAAATTTGTTTTATGGGAGATCAATAAATAAATCCATTTCCGTTTGTTTTATCCCTCTCTGAGCTATCACTGGCATATAAAGTTCCATCGTGCCATAAATTGTCAATTCAATCTAGTGATTGTCTTGAGATCTTGCGGTATAGCCAATGATTCTCTAGTCTGGCAAAATGATAGCTGATACATTTTAAGGAGAAATATGTAGCTGATACTGTTTATTGGTTGTACACTTGTGACTTACAGCAAAAAAAAAGTTGAAGTGACTAAGAATTGTTGTTGAATCTATCTTACTGTAATGTGGTTCTGTCATCATGCATTTTGTAGCTTTACTTCTGCTTGCTCCTTCCAGGAAGCTCATTTCCATCGGTAGGGCAACGGAGGAGAAAAGTTCTTCAACAATGGAATCTTAAGGAACAGTGTTCTGCTTTAACCCTTGAGATGTTCATTCGTCATACTAATGCTACTAAAATCATATTATATGACTTTATATAATTATATTAGATATAGCAAGGAGAAATAAAGAGTTGACTGTGCAACTTTTGTTGCAAATTAAATGAGAGCTGATGAGTTAATGGAAATGGCACCTTATCTTAGTTACAACTTCTTGTGTCTTAAAGATTCATCCTCTTAACCCTTCAGGGCTACTATCATAGATCTGTTGTAAAATTTTAATTTTAATCTAAAAACTCTGTAATTATAAATCAGCTTTATGCAGCTATCTAATCTTTAATTTCTAATCTTATAAGCATATGGATTTCTGTCTCTTACTTGAAACAGTTCTTTCAGTGCTCTGAATGTTTGAATTATCCAGGAATGGGGTATAGACCCAGGTAAAGAGAGGACAATCAATTCTGCAACTGTTAAATACACAGATTTCTTGTTGGCTACAGCCTCTGGGAAGGTTGAAGGACTGAAAGGTCCTGGTAAACTTGCAACTCCTTTCGAACGAACAAAAGTTGCTGCCTATACTCTCGGTGCCATGACACCTTGCATGCGGCTGTATTCCTTTCTAGGCAAGGAACTCCAGGCACTTCTAGATCCGGAGGATGATGGGCACCCTTACAAGAAGTGGATTGACAATTATTCATCTGAGAGTTTTCAGGTAATTCACAGTCTTACCTATGGTATTTTGCGTTGTGTTTTTTACTGGTCCACCTAATTACACTTTCTTGACTACAGTCTAAGAGGAAACTACATTACATAAATAGCCTACTTTACCCTCAACATCTCAACTACTGTACTCTTTGAAATCTAGGCATCAGCTCTGCAAACTGAAGACTTGCTGGATAAACTTAGTGTCTCCTTGACAGGCGAGGAGCTTGACGTCATTCAAAAGCTTTATCACCAAGCCATGAAACTTGAAATAGATTTCTTCCTTGGACAACAACTTGCTCAGCCAACTGTAGCTCCCCTGACAAAAGGGCATAACCCTGGAGAAGACCGGCTTGTCATATTTTCTGATTTTGATTTGACATGCACTGTCGTTGACTCCTCTGCCATTTTGGCTGAGATTGCAATAGTAACAGCACCAAAATCTGATGTGGTTCAACCTGAGACTCAAATTGCTCGGATGTCATCAGCTGATCTGAGGAACACCTGGGATCTTCTTTCTGGACAGTACACTGAAGAGTACGAGCAATGTATTGAAAGCATTATGCCATCTGAAAAAGGTATAATTCTTTTTGAAAATTCTTGTGAGATAGAAGTTGGACTCTGTTACTGTTGGGGGATGGGAAATGGGCTGTTTCGAAATATGTTAGAATAGTATTAAATCCTAAGGTTTGGTTTTGACTTTCTGTGTTTTTGCAGTAGAGTTCAACTATGAAGCTCTTTGTAAAGCACTTGAACAACTTTCAGACTTTGAGCGAAGGGCAAATTTTAGAGTGATTGAGTCTGGAGTTCTTAAGGGTTTGAATCTTGAAGACGTAAAACGAGCGGGTGAACGTTTGATTCTTCAGGATGGTTGCATTTGTTTCTTCCGGAAAATTGCGAAGAATGAAAATTTCAACACTAAAGTCCATGTGCTCTCATATTGCTGGTGTGGTGATCTCATCAGATCAGCTTTTTCTTCAGGTATGCTCCTTCCATGTCAGAACCTTGAGTAAAGAACTCTTAACAGTGAACATGTATGAAAAGAAAAGCTATATCTTGTTATTGTCCTACCAATTTGGTTTTTTTAAGGGAGAATTTGGAAGTGTTCCACCCTTCAGTATTTTTGCATGAAGTGGCTGCTCTAAATGTACAAACCAATACAGTGCACTGTAGCATTGAATACGCACACACATGCATATATGTATATTTCTCCATCGGAGTTTGTAGTTTTCTACTTTTCACATTATTAATTCACTTGAACAACTGACCTCTTAATCACTTTACACTCTTATCATCACACCATATTCTACTCTCCAATGATGACGCCTAACTTTAGATATCAAAAGTAGTTTGTAATGCAGGATAGCTTAACTCTTGTTGTTGATACTCAATTAGTTACATAGTCTACATTTCCTGTGTGCAAAATTGCTCAAGCCTCTTCCTTTAAGATGGGTTGCTGTGTTGGATTTTGGTCCTTGTTTTCCTGTTTTGCAAATCCAACTTTTTAAGGACATATTATGCCTGGGAGAGATCTGCTCCAGATTTAGATTTCCATAATCCATTTTGCATGTGAGTACGGTTGAAAAATCTCTCTCATGCAATATGCTAATTGTGGAAGAAATTTTGAAATAGCAATAAAAACAACATGAAAATCACAGAATTGTTTGAAATGCACACTAACGATTACTTATGTGCAAAAGAAGAGGAAAAACTAAGCACTAACCAATAAATGGAAATGATAGGTGTATTGCAATAAACTTCACTCTTATGTAACTCTGTGTAATTGGATGGATTAATTGCATATTTTGTCTCTGTACTCTTGCAATTTTTTTAATGTGGTCCCTCTACTCTTTCACTTATTTATTTGGTCCCATTTGAGGGGCCATATTAAGAAAAAGTTTAAATTAGAGGGACCAAATAAATAAAAATTGAGTATGAGGGACCACATTAAGAAAATATCAAGAGTACATGTATGAAATATGTGATTAATCCATAATTGGGGAGACGACCTTCGTAACAATATATTTTAATTCATTGGTTTATCTTCTTCACTCTTAAGATCTATGCATTAAAATTGTGCTTTTCTTTGTTGTTGTACAGGGGGTTTGGATGTTCTAAATATACATGCAAATGAGTTAATTTTCAACGAATCAATCTCCACAGGGGAGATTGTTAACAAGGTGGAATCTCCCATGGACAAAGCTAAAGCTTTCAATGATATTTTAAAGAATTACAGCAGTGACAGAAAGAACTTGACTCTTTACATTGGAGATTCAGTTGGTGACTTGCTTTGTCTACTTCAGGCAGATATTGGTATTGTAGTTGGATCTAGTGCAAGCTTAAGGAGAGTGGGAAGTCACTTTGGTGTTTCTTTTGTTCCGCTGTTCCCTGGCTTGGTGAGAAAACAGAAAGAATGTGGCGGAGAAAGCTCTCCTAACTGGAAAGGGCTGTCGGGCATACTATATACGGTCTCTGGCTGGGCTGAAATACATGCCTTCATTTTGGGGTGGTAGAATCGTTTTTGTTCGCACACTCCTGCATGTTAGTTAGGACAAATGTCTATTACATAATGGAACACCAATACAAGACGATGGCCAATTTTATTAGGGCCACAGATCTGCTGCTGTTTGGATTTTTTTTTCCCTCTCCTCTCCACAGGGTCTTCTGTTCCAGAAATGCAATGGATTTTATTGGCTGGATAATGCTGTACTTTTGTTGCCAAACTCAACAATTCTTTTGTTGTCCATTGTAGTTGGTAGTTGGTACTGGTACTATACCTCAGTTTAATATGATTATTTTTTGGCATGTAGATGGTTCTTATCAATTTGTCAATATGCCACCTATATATATATACATTGCTGGTATTTGTGCTATGCAAAGATCATTCTTTGATATTTGGCAGGGAGATGCCATTTCAGAGAAGACAATATGTCAATTTTTATTGACATCAGTATCAAAAGATTAATTTGGTTTACCCTCACTTTTTAGTGATTCTAGAGTATTAGCTTGTTCTTTAGGCCTGCTAAATCAAAATTAGTGCAATATCTCCCGTCAGTGGGCATCAATTTGGTTGCTTTCCTTACACAGGTACAGCATTATACTTTGTAATCATTCAGTCACCCGTTTTGCTTAACCTGCAAAAACCATCAGTGGCCCTATTTGTGGTGGAGGTTTTAATTAAAACTAGTTGGTCCTCTTGGTGGATCAACATAGTAGTCATTTGACATCAACAAGAACGCATCCACCATAAATAGTATGTTTTGGAGGACCAGAAAAATCAAATTCACCTACAGGCGTGAATATCATTTTTTTAAAGGTGTTTGTTTGAATCTCTCTCTCTCTCTCTCTTTTGTTGTAATTAGGACACGTTTTGTTGGAGGTAATGTAATTAAATGTGCAATGTGAGGAAAAATATAATGAAATAGAATGGTCAGTTTCCTTCCTTTGTTTGGTCGCAAAACTTTTTGAGAGACATTCGTAAAGTTTCACTTTAGTCTTTGTAATTTTTTAAATTATTATTTAATTCCTAAATTTTATTTTATTTACATATTCATCCTTATTATTATTATTTTTTTTTTGTACTTTAAAAAATTTACAATTTAGTTCTTTTAATGAATTAACCTTTTTGCAATCACGTTCCTATAAGATTAGTATTGGTTTTCATCATATAATGGTTTATCTCTCTCTCTCTCTCTCTCTCTCTCTCTCTCTCTCTCTCTCACACACACACACACACAATGCTTGTAATGTAATGAGTCATCATAATTGCAATGGTTTTTTATATTACAATTTTTAAAATTACACAACCAAACATAAAAATATAATAAGTCATTATATTACATAGTCTATTACATCCAACAAAACATTTTGTAATAGTTTTATTTGTAATAACCATGTAAAACACCTAACCCAAGCACTCATTCTTAAACTAATACAATACAAGAAGCCCATACTTATAAATATTTTTGGATGTAATATTTCTTTTTCATGCTATATATATTTTCTTTCTTATATTTATTTCAAACTACTCCACCATAGATTGAAATTACGAAATATAAATTGAATCTCATTATGGATCATTAAGATTGCCAACCAAGCAAGAAGAACAATATCAATAACAAGTTTTCAGCTCAATAATATTCTTTTCAATGAAATATGAAGAAGAGAAAAGAACTTGATTAGACAATCTTACTTTTGCTGTCTTAATTAAGAAACTAAAATAAATGATCAATAATAAATTTGGATAACTAATAATATCTATTCACAAATTTCTTTCTAATTATATCATATCAAATGTGGATCGTACATGCAACTCAACAACCATTTAGCAACACTATGAAAAAAAATAAAATAAATAAATGCTCCTAAGAGAAACAAAGCCAATTGACAACCACTTTCTTGTTTTTATTTGGCTGTATAGATTTCACCATCATGTCCCATCCTATAAACTATATTTTAAACAAAGTTACAGAAAAAAAAAAATTAATAACTAACCCATGTAAAGGATTTCTTGAAAAAAATAAATAAAAAGGCTTTTTGAACAACCATTCCAACTAGCTATAGGATGTTTAGCTGTATACAATAATAATTTAGCCTCCAACAAAAATCTTGCAAAAATCGTTTTATGAGTGGTTGTCGTTCGCGATGGACGACGACTTCTAAAGGAAAGCAACAGGTGAATTCCAAGGTGGCAATCATAAGGTGTCCGTTGTGAGGTCGATCATAGATGATAAATTGCTCGCGTTAGATTTTATTAAAATAAATATATGTTTAATAGATAGTGTGACATGTATGGTGGAGGGACCTATTTTATTTGTATGTTTACTTGTAGGAGAATCATGTCCTCCAATAGTTTTCTTGTAGTCTATCATTATTACTATCTAATCTAAATCTAATAATGTGTTTACTATAGTTTAGTTTAGTTCAAATCTTGATTCGGATCAATAAAGCTTTCCTCTAAGTGGGGTCGTTGATGTTTAATTAAGATGTCCTTTGTCGATGAGCTTGCAAAACATGTTCAAAGTATGATTACCTTTATAATACGTAATAATTTTTTTTATAGGAGTTTCAAACCCATAAAGTATATTTCAATGTAGTTATTTGGTAGTGTGGCACTCGAAATCTCTTTCGAAGATTTAGGTTTGATTTCTTTGGGTAATGGTGTTTTTGCCCCCACAATCTTTTTTTTTTTTTTTTATGGATAATATTTTTATATAATTTAATCCTTTTATTGTAAGTTATGTTAAGGTTTTTGTTATTCTATTAATTAGGTTAGATTAAATGCTATGTGTCAGCAAATCTATACATAAACTTGTAACAAGATTACAAGTAGAAATTAGACAAATTGCTAAAAAAATAAGAAAAATATAAAAGACATTCAAATTAAATCTACTATACCTTAAAAATAGAAATAACACATAGAGAATTAAAAAGACTATCTAGCTTCTCTTCCTTCATCATCACAATCATAACTTATAATTTGCACAACTCATCAAATTCATGGCACCCACTAAATTTTCAAAAACAATCCTGTTTTTTAGTAAATCGGGAATAATCATTAATACATTCTTATTGCGAGAAAGATGAAAGTGAAATGGGGTGAATAAGCTACATTGCAACATTAGATAGTTGGAAGTTGTAACACTTATGTGGTAATATTTAGTTTACTTATGATATCAATTAAACTATTGTGTAGGGTTTCAAATATAGATTTATGTTATCTCAATTGTACATTTTTCGTGAGCAAAATTACTTTAGGCTTGAAATTTGAACAAATACACTAGTAGAGTGCAAAATTTTTAATTCTTGAATGAGGTGATAGGATCCAAATTCTTGAATCCGAGGTTATAAAAAGCTCTCACAAAAACACTCCATTCAAAAATTCAAACTACTCAATAAGATGATTTTATATTGATTCACTTAGATGTGCATCTATAAAATTTGTTATCTTCAAATATATATGATTAGGTCATTACCTAATAATTAGTAAGAGCAATGCTATTCTTACATAATTTTATAAAATTTACTTACCGAAAGTTATCAACCATTGAATGGATATCTCATGCATTAAATAAGAATATTTCATTATTAACTTTCATAAATTTAGTGATTAATATCTTTCGATAAGTGAATTTCTCAACATGTTCATTTCAATTGATTCGTAAACTTTGAGTATATCTTGAAAAAAACAAGAAAATTCATGCAAGTTACCTCAATTTTGAAACAAATTTGACTTCTTCAAACCCTATATAACATAGGAGGAATTGGTTGGGCACAAAGAATTTTTGTGTACATAAACTTTTTGTTTCTATTTGATAACCCAATATACCATATTATATGACTGAGTGTTCCAATTGAATATCACTAAATTGGAGGGAAAGGGTAAAAAAAAAGACAAGCAAAGACAAATACTGTTGCTACAAACAAAACAGAAATATATATGCATTTGATAGGCGTTTGTATGCTTACACAAATTCCGTAGGGTTTTAGTAAGGAAAATTAGTGAAAAAATCATATTGCATTCTGGCCTGCTTTTTTTAATTGAAACCTCTTAAATAATTTGTTATGTGATTTCAATCTTTTGAATTATAGAATATTTTAATTGAAATACCTTTTACGTGATTCAATCAATTACTCGGTTGAATAACATTTAAGTGGTGCATTTGTTCCAACGAAATGTCCGAAGATCATTGAAATTAATGATAAAAAAAATTAAGAATTCAACTAGCACCTACATTAATATGTATGAAAGAAATATCCTCAACAAATCAACTATTACATTTCTCATGATTTTTTCTTCATTTTTAAAGAAAACATATGGTTTATGGTGATATTTATCAATTTAATAGAAAGAATGTCAATTGAAACACCATAATCATCCAAGAGATATCAATAAATAAATGAAAAAAAAAACTTATAATTCAGGAGAATGTTTATGCAATCTATCTCTACAATATATTTTGATCAGCCTTGTTTAGTATTTTATGAAGTCTTGTGATAATTTTTTAGTTTTGTTTTCTAACCAAATTATTATGATTTATTGTACTATAAAATTACAAACTTAACACATTTTAATCATTTTGGCATTTTTTTTCAAAATTAAAAAGAAAATACATGAATTAAGTTTTCAATAACCATAATAGCATGCGAGAATTTTTTTGGTTAAAATTTCATTTTCAACTAGCATGGCGGGATATATAAGACGACAATATAGATTAAATGCCATCTAAGATTTCATGTCGCTAAAAATTAAAATTTCTCCCCAATTTCGTTAAGACAAATTGTTTTTGCAGCATAAAAGGTGGATGTCCACGACATAAAATAACATATAAGATCATTTACTTTTTCTTTTTTTTAATGATTACCAAGATCATCTCTTAATGCATGCACATTTCTCTCAATTTTCAATACATTTGAGAAGTGGAACATACATAGTTAATGCCCACATCAACCAATAACGTAAACATCAAAACTTAGTTGGATTACCACTAAGAATCAGACCTAAAGTATGAAA